TCTTTTGGTTGGGGGTCGCGCCGAAAAAGAGGTCATTTTTTTTAACAACATTTCTCGAACAAAAACAAGTGTTGGGGGCCTAAATAAGGCATTTTTTCAACATTTGAGACAACAAAAAGGTGGGGGGGGTGAAAAGGGTGTTAAAAGGCGTGTGTATATAACATAATGGGTTAAAGGGACTCCACTGAGGTGAATCTTTAAAAGGGACTCCACTAAGGTGAATCTTTTAAAGGGACTCCACTGAGGTTTTTATAATGTGAAGGCAATGGAAATTATTTTTTAAGCTTTGTATATCAATTTTATGTAGATCTGGACTTATAACTTTTGTGCAAACTTTCAGGTCATTCCTTTATTCCAAATGTAAATGAAATAATCATTTTAACTGTGCAAAATGACACTAAAACATTAAGACACTTTTCCACTCAAATCAGACTTGGAGTTGCACAAACCGGTACACTTTAATTTTATTCCGAGTATAATTTAGCACCTTTTTTTAATGGTTTAAAGTATATTCATAAGTAAACTTATTTCCTTATATGAATTACAATTGTAAGAGTTATGAATCAAATACAATGTGTTTTTTTTTCTTGATGTTTTTTACTTTTATCATTTTAGTCATATCATTTTGTATGTATTATTGCCACTTTGCTCACTGTTATATTTTTGTTTGTGAATGTTAACCGTATATTATCTAGTAAATGCCCAAGCACATTTTCCTAAAGGGATTTAATTAAAGATATACTATGCTCATCATTGAGTAAAATATTTTAATCACAGATATTTATTGAAGTCTATGAAATTTTTACTGAGTATGTCTGATTTGAATAAAAGAATGAATAAACTTTGTATGGGAAGCTGCGTTCCCTTTTACATGCCAAGTAAAGTTGGTATTTTCTTAAAAATCTGCCAGTTTTTTTTTTTAATTACACTATATTTTCATATTGTGACCATCTATAGTGTAGAATTTTAAACATGATATATCTACTTTGTGTGGAGTCAAAACTTACTTATTAAATATTTTTAAAGAGACTGTATCAATTATCAGTATTTTCTATTATCAAATTTGGCCATTGTATACATGTATCTTTAAAAACAAAAACAAATAAATAATTATAATAATAAATTATTAATAAAAAGAATGTTTAAGGACATTGCGTTGTTTTTTTACTGAATTTCTATTGGAAGAACCAATTTACTGAGTTTTTCTTTTTCTATGTCAAAAAAGGGGGTGTTTATTAAAAATATATGGTACATTTATAAGCCCCTATTGTATTGTATAACCCTAGTTACTAGTGTATGTTCATTATAATTGGAGTAATATTTATTAATTAAATTCAAGATACATGTTATTAGTTTTGGCAATATTTTTTCCTTCAGCAGACAAATATTTGTTTGTTTTTTTTTGTTGTTTTTTTGTTTTCGAATTTAAAAAATTTTGATACGCTCTTTGATACGCTCTTTGATTAAAAAATAAAATAAACACAAAAGTCGTGCCGTGATGTCAAAGAATTCGTTCTTGATTGATAAGGGGTGAATGTACATGAATATTCTCAGCAAATTTATTTATAATGGGTTTTAATATTCTGTAATGTTTAGTTTTTTAAGGGTAAACTACCCCATTTTTTATAATTTTATAAGGGTTATATTAAAGTGTATAAAGTTATAAATTTGCTGTCTATGGATATGTGTAAGTATATTTTATCAAAGAAAGTGGGAATGTGTGAAACCATCGCCAAACTTAATCTAGAAATAGCAGCAGAATATTATGTTCGGGAACATTTCTTTTCTGTGTATCAAATTACATTGACATTCTTTGTTACAAATCTTTCAAGAATCAACCATAAGGTTATGGAAGAAACATAATTTTTAATCTGTAACATTATTGTATTTATATAACATATTTCATCAGATATAGCTGTGTGCACTAAGTCTTAAAGTAGTAAATAAAAATATAATTACTAAATAAATATATACCATGATAATTGTGAGGAAAATCAAAACATCAGTATTATAAATAATCAGACCACCCAAGTTAGAGCACCCTCTTTGTGGAGTCTGTGGCCGAGTGGTTAAGGTCATTGACTTCAAACCACTTGCCTCTCACCACTGTAGGTTCAAGCTGCACAAATGTTGATAAATTCTACATGTAAGTAAGCTACCCAGCTAGTTCATGGAATGTTGGTGGTTCTACACAAGTGCCCATTTGTGCCTGAAATGATGTACAGAAGAGTACCTAAGGTCTTCTCCCACCAGTAAAATAAGCTGGGAAGTTGCCATATACTTATGATCTATACTGTGCTTGTGTGTGAAGTAAAAAAAAAACAACAACAAAAAAGCATCCTTTGGTTAATTTATACATGTAATTGCTAATTGTTTGTTTGTTTGTTTGTTTGTTTGTTTGTTTGTTTGATATAAACATTGTTGTTACATGTTGTTTTTAATATGTAAATTTATAATTTTTTCCCCTGAAGTTTTAATTTACCAAAGATAATAACATTTTATCTTATGTTTATGAAATAAAAACAATCTTAAATATGATTTGTTAATATTCTTTGTACATGTATTTATCATGATTGAAAATTTTCAATGATTTGAAATCAAAGACCTCTAAAAGCTTTAGATTTGCAACCCACAAAGATCTTAATCTCTGAGCTTAGGTGAGCAAAATTACATTGTGTGCACAGGGGCGTTGCTCACAGCACATCTGTGCACACAATTTAGTTTTGATCACCTAAATGTGCACACAGTTCAGTTTTAGCTCACCTGTGCACATAATTTAGTTTAAGCTTACATATGTACATAGTTTAGTTTAGCTCACATGTGCTCAGCTCACCTGTGCACGCATATTAGTTTCATCTCACCTGTGTACATAGTTATGTATTAGCAGAATTTAGAAGAAGGAAGTCTAACAAGGCAGCAGTGAAAATGCACAAGATATGTTTCACTGCAGTAAAAAAAAAATTTTACAGTAAAAATAGGAACAATGAAGGGGCGTCCGTGGCCTAGTAGTTAAGACCGTTGACTTTAAATCACTTGCCCCTGGCCACTGTGTGTTTGAGCACTGGACTTTTCTTTTTTTTCATGTGAGAAAGCTTTTCAGATAGCTTACTAAACGTCGGTGGTTCTACTCACCCATTCGTGCCTGAAATAATGTACGGAAGTGGCATCTGAGGTTTTTCTCCACCAATTTAACTATACTGTGTTGAAGCGACAAAAAAAAACCCAAATAAACAGCACGGACTATGAAAATATGCGTTTTATTAAATCAATATTCTAAGTGTGTGTGGGCGTGCGTGCATGCTTGTGTGTGTGTGTGCGTGCATGCACGAGGCGTGTGTGTGTGCGTGCATACGTGCATTTGTGTCTGGTGGTTTTAATAATTGATTTGAAACATGTTAGATGCTTTTTACATGAACAAAGAGGCTTTGAACAGAAAAAAAGAATCAATAGCTGACCCTGCTTTATACCAGTGAATGGAAATTTGATACATGTCAATAGATATAAGTGTCGGATAAACAAAAATTATAGCATTTTGGTGGTCGAATGGGCCTTTAAAAAACAGGGGGAAACACGCACAACATTCCAAATATTTGCACAGGAACGCATTGCCTTACAAAATATTTACGCATTGCCTTACAAAATATTTACGCATTGCCTTACAAAATATTTACAAAACAATAGAAAACATTGCCTTAAAAAATATTTACAAAACAATAGAAAACATTGCCTTAAAAAATATTTACAAAAGAATATAACGCATTGCCTTACAAAATATTTACAATGAATGCACTACCTAACAAAATATTCACAACAAAACGCACTTCGTGACAAAATATTCAACAACTATTTATAGTATATTTAGCCACTCTCTTTTAATATCAGAAATTTACAAACACATCCTTTAACTTATTTAGTCTACTTCTTCTTTCGTATGATTATTAGGTATATTTAGCCACTCTCGTTAATATCAGAAATTTACAAACACATCCTTTAACTGATTTAGTCTACTTCTTCTTTCGTATGATTATTATCAAAATGTAACCATCCAACATATCGCCAGTTTTGGACAGTCAAATACAAATGTTCAACCTTTAAGGTATTACCATCCTAATGCATTACCTCCGCTTTGTTACATTGAAAATGAGGGCCGTTGGTTCAATCCCCAGAAGGGTCAACTTTTTTTTTTCTTTCTTTTTTTTCTTTTAACATTATTTATGTATCTCTCATGTCCCATTTGGAAAGAAAAAGGTGTTTAATTTTGATTTTTTAATGTATATAGGTATTTATTGGCTAAATTATGCTAAATCTAGTAATAATATGGTACCTGATATTTTCAAAGTGTAATAAAATCAAAACTAAACGGTAAAAGTATTTCATATTTTACAAGATCAACCAATATACTAGTGTGCTAAAATTTTGTTCATATTTGGGCAGTGTGACCTAGTTTTTGACCGGAGACAACCCATCTTCTAATTTGACCTAGAAAGCATCAGACAAATTTCCAGAATATTTGGATCAAAACTGCAGCAACTACAGTGTTAACAAGCTTTTTCTATTTTTAGCTCCTGTGACCTAGTTTTTGACCGGTTATGACCCATCTTCGAACTTGACTTAAAAATCATCACAACAACCCTCCTGACAAATTTCCAGAATATTTGAATCAAAACTGCAGCCACTACAGTGTTAACAAGCTTTTTCTCTTTATAGCTGCTCCTGTGACATAGTTTTTGACCGGAGATGACCCATCTTCGAACGAGACCTAGAAATCATCAAAACAACCTTCCTGACAAATTTCCAGAATACTTGGATCAAAACTGCAGCCACTAGAGTGTTAACAAGCTTTTTCCATTTTTAGCTCCTGTGACCTAGTTTTTGACCGGAGATGACCCATCTTCGAACCTGACCTAGAAATCATAAAAAAAAACCTTCCTGACAAATTTCAAGAATATTTGGATCAAAACTGCAGCCACTATAGTGTTAACAAGCTTTTTTCTATTTTTAGCTCCTGTGACCTAGTTTTTGACCGGAGATGACCCATATTTAAATTTGACCTAGAAATTATCAAAACAGCCTACCTGACTGATTTCCAGAATACTTGGATCAAAACTGCAGCCACTAGTGTTAACAAGCTTTTTCTATTTATAGCTCCTGTGACCTAGTTTATGACCCGAGAAAACCCATCTTCCAACTCGATCTGTATGTGAGACAAATATTCTGACAAAGTTTGATGATGATCCAATCACAACTGTGACTGCTAGATTGTTAACAACCCAATTGTTGACGACGCACGATGCACGATTGCCCCATCACTATACCTCACCTTGACAATTTCGTGGTCAGGTGAGCTAAAAACGATCACATCAATATATAGCACATAAAATCATTCTCATGTAATAGGAATAACAACAGTAATAATAACAAGCTGTAAAACTGAGCCTGCAATTTCACAACGCACATGCTTTTTACATAAAGTTATTAAATACAAATATAACAACATATTTGTTTAATCAAAATTAAACTTATTCATACAACATGACATTAACAGCTCCTACCATGGGCCAAAAAAAGCTTTCTATAACATAAGAGACGACGCCGCTCACCGGCGTCACCAATAATATTAATTGACAATATCTTGGCATGTGCATAAAAATTGATCAATCTAACAAATTAAAAAAATAACATAATGAAATAACATAGTTTCGTTTTATATATCAATTTCATCCGTAGCAAATGAATTATTTTATTAATATTGAGTACTATCTCAGTAATAAAATATTATTCTTACCTTATATTAGATTGGAAACCTTGAATAAATCTTAACAGCTTTCTAGAATAATAATAATAAAGATTTTGGAAAATGTAGTTTCGATTTTGCCAACAAAAATAGAACGTACTTTCGTTTCAAAATTAGGTCACGAAAATCGTTTTTTTTTCTTTTCTCATACAAAACTTACCGTAAGTATAGTAGAAGTTAAAGATTTAAAATGAGGAACCTATAAATATATTAAAGGCCCACTATGCCCCGTCCGTAAATGCATCATTTAGTTTCTTAAAAAAATTGTTTTTGATATCTTGTTACAGATTTCAACAATACATACTTGCCATGCACATGCAATGTATTTTACTGTTGTTGTGTTTTTTTGTTTGTTTTTTTTTTGTTTTTGTTTTCTTTTTTGCTGGCAATCAGTACAGTAAAGTATTTTGTATGGAAGTCAAAATACTTATTTGTTTACATTTTGCTACCTTTACGACACATTACTGATTTGCCAATAAACTTTGAAACTTTTAAAAACTGCCATGGAAATATTTACTACATTCGTCAGATACATAATGTGCTTTTCATGCAACATGCACTTAATCCATAAATAGAACACTTTTTAAACGCATGTTTTATCAATAAAAACATTGGATTTTTAAAACATAATGTGCTTTTCATGCAACATGCGCTCAATCCATAAATAGAACACTTTTTAAACGCATGTTTTATCAATAAAAAATTGGATTTTTGAAACATAATGTGCTTTTCATGCAACATGCACTCAATCCATAAATAGAACACTTTTTAAACACATGTTTAACAATTCTCAAGAATGGAGAAAAAATGGATTTTTGAAACAACTACTATGTGCCTTTAACATTTTTATGTCATTTATTTTAAGATACGAGTTTATCAAGTTCATACATGTGTTTATCGGCTATCTAGCAACGGTTTGAAAAAAACTTGGCGAAAACGATGTTTGTCAGAATAAACATTTTTATATATTTCTGTAATCCATATAGTTGGATACTCCCTTTTAACATTTACTTTCGCGAGATTATCAAAATTTGATTCCTTATCTAACTTCCTACTTTACAGATGTTATTTAAGTGACACAAAGAGATGCACCGGCAATTCAAACAGTAAACAGGAGTTCGTTAATATAATTTTTTATACACATGTGTAACTTGCGTTTTGGGCAGCAAAATAAACACCAAAGTGTTTGGGGGGGGGACAACAACACAAACTGCAATGCCAAATCTTTATCTGAAATTTTCTTTTGAAAACGTAGATAAGTGGATAACAGTCAAGGTTACATTGACTGATTTAATATGCACAACAAGTGGTCTGATAAAAACTGTAGATTTTCCCACGATATGCATGTAAATAATGATACATGTAAAAAACAAAATAAGAAAAAAATAATAAAGGAAAGGAAAAAGAGTGCAAGTCTGAAGGTATTTTCACCCTGATCAACGTTATGCACGACGCGTTAAACAACATTTGCAATGCCTGTAACAATGCCACCATAGGTGTGTTTTGTTGTTATTGTTGTTGTTGTTGTTGTTGTTTTTAAAAGCTCGCCTTAAAGGGTCTATGTTAATAGTCCTGTTGATTTCCGATATCGCGCGACATTCAAAACTTTCAAATGTCCATTCACAGTAAACGTAAATCCTGCTACAATGGCATTTATCTAGATTAGAGCACCAAACCTGATTTTTAGCATTGTACAATTAAAATTTGCATAAATGAAATATAATGCTAGTTTGTAAAAGTGTACAATCGAGTCCGCAATTTTCATATAATCTTGTTGTTTTGAATGCTTCCGAGGGATCACCTTTTTTCCAGATTTTTAATATTTCACAAGTGCATTATGGCAGTTGTAAAAAGTTGTCCTATATTTCATTTCAGTGTTGTTATATTTTTCTGGTCCTTAAGGATTTTTTTATTGCAGCATGTAAAGTGTTGAAAATTGAATACCGCTCAAGGGCATGAGGGATGTTGTCCTTATTCATTATCCCTTATGTAAAGACTCAATCAAAAGCAGCGTGTAAATTTCCATGTAGTTTTGTTGTTTTGCTTAGGAGGGATTACCCTTTTGAGATTACAATTGTAACTTGTATGATTAAATTAGATATATAATGCCAGTTTGTAACTTTAAACAATTACAACTTTGTCAAAATTATCGGACCTTTTTATAGCGTACAATCATCTTATCGCACCAAAATCCCGTCGTACACATAAATATTTTGACAACAATACGTAAATATATCTTAGCGCAGAAGTGTTTGCTATGCGGCTAAATAATGAGTACCTACATAAGTTATAAGTAGAAATAGCAACTAATATTCACGATATTGGCTCTAATCTTATTACTTTGTCATGGATCAGTTACTGTCAATTTACCTTCAATAACCTTTTTACTATTGTACCCAAACTTCTATGATTTCGAGGAAATACATGTAGGTCAGAGCCCCATATCATCCACACAAAATTTGCAATTTTTATTGTCAGTGACTGTTACATATTTATAAAATATACTCACACTGAAGTGTGTTTACAGTTTAAAATCCGCCATTGTTCCGTATCGCACCATTTCACCTCGTTTAGAAATGTATCGCACCGCTATACATTGTACATTCGACACCCTGACAATGATAGTTTGTAATAGAAAGAGCATCGAAACACGAGGCCATCTGATCTGTACGAGGGGGGTGGGGGTTGAACAGGATATTTATGTGTATTGATTCGTTACAGACGTTATTACAAGCTAAAAGATTGATGTAGTTTTGTTTTATAAACTTCCAAAATTACAGATTTGAATAAATGAGTAGAAAACCGACCAAAATAGTCACTTGTCAAATCTAAATATATGCACCTATTTCTATATATTCAATAACTTCGTCAAATCAGAACATATAGGGAGCTGAAACCACATAAACGCTGATATAATGAATTGGGATATTCAGATTATTTAAAATAACATACAAACCCACTTACCTGGGCAAAATATGAACGATCGTTATAAATTTACATTTTCGTTTGCTTTAACCAAGTGTGCAACCATTTCAAGTCCTGTCGTCCTGTTGAATGTAGTAATAATAAAATAAAGCTATCAAATATAAAATTGTTGCTACGTAATTTTAGTTTGAATTATGATTACAGATATTTACCGAGGAGCCTCGTTTTGGGAGACGAAGATTTTTGTTGTTGCTAAGAGGTATTGCTGTATTTCTAAAGAGGTTAAATTTACTGTGCAGTGATTCTGTTGTTATAAATAGGTTATTTCTCTGTAGAATCAACAGTATATTTGCTGACGTAAAATATTTGTAATACAGTAATGGACGCTTTCCTTTAAAATTTAGTGCTCGCCAATTTTTTTAAGCCAATCACCGACGAGGATTTTTCAAATTTTCAGGTTTCAAATCTTAATAGAACAGATTTTATATAAACTGGACGTTTTATATCATAAAACGCAAGTGGGCGGAGCTAAGTTTCGAAGAGCGCTAAAGTGAAATATACGCATGTGCAGAGATCTTGAAGTTTACTCCTACTAATCAATATTTATGCATCATTTTTTTCCGTACACGCACATGTATATCGTCACTACCGCATAGAATTAAAAAAAGAGGTTCATTGAAATGAAAACAGGCAAAATAACAGTAAAAATGTTTTATTACTTTCAGAACCAGTATCATTTTATAATTTCCAAATAAAAAGTTCACTTATTCCAACAAAGTATGTACTTTTTATGTAAATATTACAGCCCGTGCCGCCGCAAAACCGAAAGTAGGGTGTTTTTATTAATTTTACATTTATTTTTGACAATATACTGCCATTTGTCCGAAGATGATATGTATATGAACATAATTAATATGTATGATGCATATATGTAATAGTTATAGTTCAGATTTTAAAAAATATGGAATTTATTGCAAGCGTAGCGTAGCGGAGCGCAGCAATAAGTTCTATATTTTTTAAAATATGAACTATAACTGGCTTACCGTTTGACCCACTTTCGTGGAATAAGTCACGTACGAAGTGTCGGTTCTGCGTTTGATGCAATACGAGTCCCGCCCTTACTAGTATAGATTGACAGGCAAACACATGGTCGGAGTGTTACAAAGCCTTGCGGTTTTATGTATTTTACATCAGTAGTCATCATGGAGCAGGTTCACAAGCAACAAAAGACAATAGCTCAGGTAAATATTTTATAAAAAAATATTCTCGAATTCTTGCAATACACTGTATCTAACTTCATCATTATCTGAATGAAAATACAAATTGTAACATGACCAGCGCGCAGCTTTTCTACGCTGTATCGAACCTCAATGTAGATGACATAGCATGGTTAATTTGCCTTAAATGCCGTTGCAATCATTAAAACAAACTTTGAAAATCATATTTAAGTGATTTCTTTGATATTTGCATTTTGCAGGCCGATTTGAAAAGCTTTTGTCATCTGATGACATTAAGAAGAAACAGAAATACAATGCCCAATAATACAACGAAAAACAACAACTGGGCAGTGCACGTCTGGAGGGAGTTTGCTGAAAATCCCAACCTACATCCGGAGACTAAGCAAGAGCCTGGTTATCCTATTCCCGTTCAAATAGAGCAGTTCCGTTCATGTGCAGAAATGGATTTTTGGTTGCAACAATTCATCTGTGAAATCGAAAGGAAAAATGGAGAATTTTATCCTCCAACAACTTTACTAAACATTGCTGCAAGGCTAAAGGGTATCTTCGAAATGAAAAATCCATGCACGTGAACTTTGTTAAAATTGAAGATCCTTTTTTTCTTAAATTCGCAGAATATTGGATCAACGCATGCGCGAGTTGACTATACGAGGGTATATGGGTCGAAGTCAACTGTTAAAAAAGTGGAGTTTTTAACAAAATGTGGAAAAAAAAGTTTGTTATGTTATTATGAAAAATGTTTTTTCTGTATGTTTTTTTAAGACATGTGTTAGTTTCAAACTTTGAGATTTCTCTTATTGAATCATTACATGTCTATGATTTTCAGTCTGTTTAATATAACCATGACGGTATAGGGAATGTACTGTTTCAATAATATTTTTATACATGTAAAAGCTTGGATTTATAAATAACCGTATGAGAAATGCTTTCTTATTTGTTTACTTTATTTGCATGCCATATTCATTGTTTAATCTAAAACTCCGCCCATATTCATAACGTCATATTTCACTACATTACACTAATAGCAAGTTTTCTTTACATTGTACATGGAATCAAAGTAGCCTTGTTTGGAACCAGGTGTACTTATATGAAACTGAATTATCATTATAATTATTTTATTATATATTTATAAATGAAATATTGACAAATATTGATGAAATAAAATTCGTATTTTTATTTTTCTTATTTTCACTGTAAAATTCATATTTCACTGCAGTGAAATATATTTTCCGTATTTTCACTAGTATCTTGCCGGATAACTTTCTTGTTAAATCAGCTAATGCACAAAAATTTAAAGGGAATTCTTCCTATTCATAATGTTTAAAAAGAGAAAAAGTATATAATAAACAGGAAATTCAAGTTTTTTTTTCCTATTAAAACATGATTGATTTTCATCTTGCGGTATGAAAATTATCATATTTCACTTGTGGCCATTGCCACTAGTGAAATATTTATTTTTTATATCACTCGATGAAAATAAAGTTAATTAACCCTGTATTTATAGAAGAAACTTGAATATCATCTATATATTAATTCAATTACAATTTACGAAAGCATTAAATCAATGTATTGAATCAAAGTAGCAGAATATTAGTTGATTTCTACATTATATGATAGAAATGTTTATTATATGGAACCAAAGTAACCAGATGTCCTTATATGAAGCCGAATTATCAATAATATTAATTCATTTTCACAACATATATGATATGAGCCGCGTCATGACAAAACCAACATAATGTGTTTGCGACCAGCATGGATCCAGACCAGCCTGCGCATCCGCGCAGTCTGATCAGGATCCATGCTGTTCGCTTACAAACCGTATAACAAATAGAGAAACTGATAGCGAACAGCATGGATCCTGATAAGACTGCGCGGATGCGCAGGCTGGTCTGGATCTATGCTGGTCGCAAACCCACTATGTTGGTTTTGTCATGACGCGGCTCATATCATTTTATCAATGTTTGGAACCGAACAGTTAATATAATCAATGTATGGAACCAAACAGTTAATATATACAAACATGTTGATTTTCATATTATAGAAATCATATGTCCTTTTATAAACTACTTATCATATAATGTGATAATCAACTCGTATATTGCTTCTTTGGTTTCATACATAGATTAAATGGTTCATATATTGTAGAAATGAAATTTTATATGTAATAAGGATATCTATATATAATAAGGTATAACAAGGACATCTGGTTCCTTACATGGCTACCATATATTGAAGGATTGGTATCATATAATGCCAAAATCAACTTAGATATTGATACTTGATTTCATACACTGACAACTTGACTTTATATATTGAAAAAATGAATTAATATATTGATAATTCGGGTTCCATATATGACTACTTTGGTATCTTATAGTAGTATATAGAATAATTGGCATCATATTTTGAGAAAATCAACTTATATAAAGCTACCTCGGTTTCATAAACTAATTGCATGAATGGTTTCGCATATTATAACTGTAGATTTATATATTGGTTTCCGGTTTGATAAGAAAGTGTTTTCAATTCATATATTATCGAAGTGAATAATTCACATTGAAAAGAACAATATAAGACAGGTATGGCTTTCCATAAACAAGTACTGGTTTATGAAACTTGCGTACTTGCCAAAGATTGGTATAAAGAAAATACATGCTTAACCTTCTTCTTAGAAAACTATGGTAATCCAAGGTATCGTCAATTATTGCTCCAAACCGGATTCCTTCAGATACTGGGATGTTCAACGTATCTCAAACAAGAACCGTATATCTCCTAATATAAGCCCCTTCCCATCGCACTGTTCTATATGTTTTATTTTAATTTATTTTTTTCAGATTCCGTAAGATACTGGGATGTTCAACGTATCTCAAACAAGAACCGTATATCTCCTAATATAAGCCCCTTTCCATCGCACTGTTCTATATGTTTTATTTTATTTTATTTATTTAGATGATACAGATACTTGGCTCCTCTTCTTGATCCAAGCTAGTATACACCATGGCTATTTTTTTTTTTGCAAACCGTACGTCAAAATATTTTTGCATATTATAACGACCTGCATGGTCACGTGTCTTAAACATAAAACTTCTTTTCCGCAATTTTGACAAATTTTAAAAAAGCTCCATAAAGTATCATAATTTTAAAAGGTTATGAAATTCTGTACAAACTTGTCTACACTCCAAGTGTTTTTGGTAGATGACAACGACTTTGGTAAATATATGTCCAGAATAAAATTTAGACGTTTTCTTATTGTCTAAATCATGCAGTTGTACGCATACAACAAATGCAAAATTACTTTCATCAATTTACTGTATGTTTATTTTTTGCCATTGTAAAACATGTTAGTTTTAAATGAATATTAAGTTTCAAATAAATAAAACATGGCGGGTATTGTCCTGACCTGGTAGGGGTTGGGGGATTTTAAGGAGAAATACGGTATGCTGTAATGTTGCCAGGATATATGTCTAAAAAACCAGATAGTATCAAACATTGCTAAACTGCGAACGCTAACTAATAGTTGATTTCTTCTCAAAAGTATATTTGATAGTTTACAACAAGCTGTTATTCTAAGACTAAACGTTTCATTATACTTTAGTATTTTCAAGACTTTTATCTGAAAGTAAACATAAAGAAAACGATGTATAATGTAATGGGAAATACAGTGAAATGCCTCTTATTTTTATCAGGTGTTTTGAAAATAGATGCAAAATCTTTAAGAGGAAGACTTGATATCGTTGAGAAAAGAATGAGCGTTGTTGAATCACGAGTAAGTGCTGACAACGAACTGGCAAAAGAAATGTTTGTGTCATTGCAACAAAATTTCGATGAATTTAACAATTCTATGTTAAATTTCAAGGATCAAATGTGTCCCATAATGAATAAACAGACAGGAAAAAAGGAGCAAAGCAATTCTGCAAAACGTGTTGAACATCTAAAGTCAAGCCAGGTGCTGGTACTATTAGGACTTAAAAGAGAGAAACAATGGACAAGAAATCAAATGAAAAATCTTACTATTCAGTTAACAGAGCATTCAGCTCAGTTAGAAAAACACTTTGAAAACCTAACCGATCAGATTCATTTACAAAATGACCAGTTAACTAAAAGTTACTCGAAGTTCAAAATTGAGATGACAGGCAAAAGTGAAATGGAGAAAAAATGGACAAGAAATCAAGTGGAAAAACTTACGGGTCTAGTGAATGAACAAACTGATCTGCTAGATCAGAACTTCTCAGAGCTTAAAAATGAACTCAAAAATGACAAAGAAGAAATCGAAAGCAATCTAGAAGTGATCAATGCAAAAATTGATGACAAAATCCAAACAAAACTGAGCAAACTGGACGAAATAATCACAAATAATGTTAAAGATATCAAGGAAGTGTCTGCAAAAATTGATGACAAATTCCAAACAAAACTGAGCAAACTGGACGAAATAATCACAAATAATGTTAAAGATATGAACGAAGTGTCTCTAAAGAGTGACACCACAGAGAAGTTGATAAGTAGACAGCAGAGAGAAATAGAAGCTTTAAAAGAAACTCAAGCTAAACTTTTAAATGTTTTAATAAACTATAAATGTCCATCGGACTGGACAAAATATTCATCGTATTGTTATTTGTTTGTTGACGAGGAGAAAACGTTCAGTGAAGCTCGTGCCCATTGTAAGCGTCTAGGAGCAACCTTGCCAGACATTGAAAATGAAGCAGAGAATACTTTTATCCACGGGTTAATAGGACATCGTTCTCGGGGTATTTGGATCGGTTATTCTGACGAGAAGGAAGAAGGTACTTGGATATCAGAAAGAACTGGTCAACCTGCATCATTCACGTACGTATATTTGACAACAATCTAGAGAAAGATTGATCCCTCGCAAGCATTAATCACAATATAATTACATGAAAATTGCAAACTCGGTTTGATTGAGACTGAACATTAGGGATAATAATAAAAAATGTGCAATATCCCTCACGACCCTTTACACCGACTTGAGCGGTACTCAATAATTGATCATCATTTTACTAGTAAAAGTTTACCTTGTACTGTTTTACTTTGTTTCCCCTAGTAATGATTTTTATAGATACAATTACATGTGTAACAAAAAATATCTACGATATGATTGATGATATTAAACAGTCATGCGATAGACTGGGTACTTATAATAAAATTTCTTGCGGTCAGTCATAGACACGGTATATAAAGGTGACCGCTTATTACAGCTAAGACGTCCGCAGTTTCTGACTCATTTCCGATGACGGTTGCCTTGGAAACATGTCGACATCATTTTGTAGATTTTTACATAATGGACATTATGCTCATGTTTTTTAACAGACTGAAAATATCTAAATACTTTTGCATCCATTCTAGTGATGACATGTTTATCAAAACAATTTAGCATTAAATGTTAAACTGAATATTATGGAACGCCGTGACTGTCTTATGTAATCAATGTTTTTGTTATCTTGTGAAACGATGATATTATTTTGTCGTTTGAGCGTGTTAACATGTGCAATTTACATCATGTCTTGTCAAAGGAACATGCTGACTTGTGCAGACAACATGCTAACTTGTCAAAGTATCGTGATGACTTGTGCAAACAACATGTTAACTTTTCAAAGTATAATGATGACTTGTGCAAATGACATGCTAACTTGTCAAAATGTAATGATGACTTGTGCAAACGACATGTTAACTTGTCGAATTATTGTTATGACATGTGCAAACATCATGTTAACTTGTCAAAGTGTCATGATGACTTGTGCAAATGTCATGTTAACTTGTCAAAGTATAATGATGACTTGTGCAAACGACATGTTAACTTGTCGAATTATCGTGATGACATGTGCAAACAGCATGTTAACTTGTCAAAGTATCATGATGAATTGCGCAAACAACATGTTAACATGTCAAATTACCATGATGACAACATGTGAACTTGTCAAATAATCGTAATGACTTGTGCAAATGACATGTTATCTTGTATCATACTGACATGTGAAAATGTACTGTTAACTTGTCAAAGTATTATTATAACTTGTGCAAATGCCATGCTAACATGTCAAAATTCCATGATGACAAGTGTAAATAGCATGTTAACTTGTCGAACTATCGTTATAACATGTGCAACAGCATGTTAACTTGTCCAAGTATCATGATGACTTGTGTAAACGACATGTTAACTTGTCCAAGTATAATGATGACTTGTGCAAATGCCATGCTAACTTGTCAAAATTTCATGATGACATGTGCAAACAGTATGTTAACTTGTCAAATCAACGTCATAACATGTGCAAACAACATGCTAACTTGTCGAAGTATCATGGTGATACGGAAGCTTGTATGTACCCCCGCTATGAAGTCATGAAGTCGTCTCCCTCGACTTGTAGAGCACAACAAGTCGTCAAAATTACGACGACAAGTTTATATATACCATGTCATTTTGACAAAATATATGTCATCATGTCGAGATACGATATCCCGACTTTCATACGTTAATATTTTTGTCGACTAGAAATAACATGGATGTCGACATACATGTTACTTCAAGTCGACAAATTTATTTATGTAAGAAAGTCGGGATGCCGTATCTTGACATGATGACATATATTTTGTCAAAATGACATGGTATATATAAACTTGTCGTCGTAATTTTGACGACTTGTTGTGTTTTATAAGTCGAGGGAGACGACTTCATGTCTTCATAGCGGGGGTACATACAAGCTTCCGTATGGTGACTTGTGAAAGCGACATGTTATCTTGTCAAAATTTCATGATGACATGTGCAGACATCATGTGAACTTGTCAAGGTATCGTGATGACTTGTGCAAACTCCATTCTAACTTGTCAATGTATCATGATGACTTGTGCAAATGCCATGTCAATTAACTTGCCAAATTATTATGATGACTTCTGCAAACAACATGTTAATTTGTCAAAGAATCGTGATGACTTGTGCACAACACATTTTAACTTGTTAAGGTATAATGAGCATGTCATCACGATAATTCGACAAGTTAACATGCTGTTTGCACATATCATCAAGAAATTCTGACAAGTTAACATGTCGTTTGCACATATCATCATGAAATTCTGACAAGTTAACATGTCGTTTGCACAAGCCATCATGATATTTTGACAAGTTAACATGTTGTCTGCACATGTCATAATGATTATTTGACAAGTTAACATGCTGTTTGAACAAGTCAGCATTGTCTGTAGACAAGATATGATGTACATTGCACATGTTAATATGCTAAAATGACAAAATAATAGCATCACTTCAGAAGATAGCAAAAATCTTGATAGCATAAGACAGTCACGGCGTTCCATAGAATATGAACTTATTTTTGTCATTTTATACGTATTCACCTTTATTTTCTCAACTATGCGAAACCATGTGGTAAAGAAATCACTTGTCATGTAGAAAATGTTGCCATGTATTAGTAGAAGGAAGCGACGATAGCTTCTAAGTTAAAAGTTCTGATCCATTTCCAGACTGTATGTAATTGATTAGTCTACGTTTATTCCATTGTGTGTATGTTCTGAAAAAAAAGTTTAAACTTAGTTGTGAATACCAATATAAAACCTATATACAAGGATTACTCTTCTTTAAACTTACATACGCGCTAGTCTGTTTGTGAATTTCATGATCAGTATATAACATCAAACATGAAAATAAGAAAGAAAATTTATTTAGCAAAAGTAAATATTGTTTATATTTTCAGAAACTTTCATACCGGTCAACCCAATGGAGGTACTCGTGAGAATTGTGCTTATATGGAAACGTTTTACCCCAGCAGTCTATGGGGTGACGGTATATGTGACTTTAACGGCACTTTTGTTTGTAAAAAAGATGCCAAGATGGATATTAAGTTTTGAACATCAGTACATATGTTTGTTTCAAGGCTAAGGCTTATTGAACCTTTTTGGTCATTAAAAAGCTTTTTTAGTTTAACTTATTGTACAGTTATAACATGTATGACTTTACAATCTTGCTAGTCTGAATCAACGTAAAAATATAACTTGTATGTTTAAATTATAATACCAGTTTCAATCATTGTACAACTTTTAGCACTGAATTATATAATCTTAGTCTGTAACATTGTGCAATAATAACTTGTATGACTAAATTATAATGCTAGTTTATATCGATGTACATTTATTACCCGTATAAATAAATTATAATACCATTTTGAATCATTGTGCAACTTTTAGCACTGAATTTTATAATGTTAGTCTGTAACATCGTGCAATAATAACTTGTATGACTAAATTATAATACCAGTTTATATCGATGTACAATTATAAGCTGTATGACTAAATTATAATGTTAGTTTGTATCATTGTACAATATAAGCTGTATGACTAAATTATAATGCTAGTTTATATCGATGTACATTTATAAGATGTATGACTAAATTATAATGTTAGTTTGTATCATTGTACAATTATAAGCTGTATGACTAAATTATAATGTTAGTTTATATCAATGTAAAATTATCAGCTGTATGACTAAATTATAATGTTAGTTTATATCATTGTAAAATTTTAACTTGTGTGACCGAGTCTTTGTTCATTCATTTTCAGTCATTACATGTATATGTCTCTTTGACTTGTAATGAGAAAACTTTTTCATTTTCTACCGTTGGTATCATTAAAACAGCTCAATTATTTAAAGACATGTACATGTATAGGTTTTATCAATAAATGAATCCGGATTGTGAAAAAGTCAAAATTTCATTCGACAAGGCCTGTGTTCGCGGGCAGCTTATTGTACTTTTCTCAGTGCTTAATATTTAAAGATCCTGTAACACAATTTTTTCATGGTTTTATTTTATAAATATGATGCTCAAATTAAGATTTGTCAATATTGTAAGTTCCAATAAGCATTATTTATAAAGATGTTACCGAATTTAACATTTCATATAAGTAAAGAGAGGTAATTAGAAATTGATTTTCTATAAATTCTAAGTCAAATTTTCCAATAAGAAATTAATGCATATAACTTATTAATTAAATATAATGTGCACAAATATTTGGAGTACAAATTTTACATATTCTTCAATGTTTGACAATTGTTTTATTTGCATAATTATTTACATATTTAATTTTTTGCAAGTGTGGTACACACACAGTAGCAAGATCAATCGCAAAACATACAGGATCTTTAAGTAAAAGGAACGTAGCAAAGGGGCATAATTCTGCAATGTGTGAATGCATTTAATTTTTGTATAGATATTGTCAAGTTCGAAAAAACACCTCATTTGTAACACGCTTTATGGAAATAAAGATATAAAATGAGGGTTTAGTTTTGTGTTGTTATTAAAGTATAGTATGAAATACACTCATAATTTTTGGTAAATTTTTAACAACATATTTATTGGCTTTATTCTAAATTGAAATAGTTAATTATAAGGCTTGCTTACTGCATAATAAAAAAGTAATAATTATAATTTAGAAATTTGTATGGTTTGTGAAAGAAAACGGAAGTTGAGATATGACTCTCTCTTCTGTTAAGTCCACGGCAAACTTGGTATAAGTTTTCATTATCACGATGTGACGGAGATTATCCTAAAAAATTATTTTATGAAAATTTACGCTCCATTTTGTATTGGATTTTGTTTTTACCCCCGTGAACCTTTTAGTTAAGGTCCATTTATTTAGTGTTTTACCTCGCAACACTGTAAAAGTAATAGCCTAATTAAGGCGCGAACTGCTTGTTTTTTCTCTCTCCATAATGCCACACCTTTACGCCTTGGAAAAAGACATCGTCCTTCAAGTTTTCTCGAGGTCTCTTTGAAAAGTTTATTATTTGGGTATAAAGTTAAAGAAGACGATGTCCAGTTTTACCTTGGTGCTCTTAACATTTTTAAAGAACAAATGGAACCTTAATTTAGTAATCCCCGATTTCCGAAAAGCTAGTTAAAAACAGTTTCCTCAGAATTCAAAGTCCCAGGCGGACTTAAACCGGCAGTGCTGGAAGTAAATGGCATTTTCCACTCGGCCATGGACGCCCCTTCATTTAGGTCCAGTTTTCAAACTAGAACTACGCGAGTCAGATTTGTCGCCTTGTAAACAGTATAGCTGTAAATAGGCATTTTCTTCTTAAATAAAGGTCTTTCAAAGTACATGTACCTTTAACTTTAGTGGCATTTGAACTGATAGTAACAATATTACATCAGGATTAATAAACTGTTATATTATAACAAATAAAAATACCATGGAAAAATGTTACACTGACAGATCAAATGGAGGACTCTGTATTGGATTCTTAAGCACTACACTTCAGGTCAAGTAAAAAAGCTTACATACCAAATTTGGAGTCAAACTTAAAGTGACCAAGTTATGCTCTGGACAAGATATTAAGTAAGAAAATTAACAAAGGGCAATAACTCGAAAATCATGAAGTGCAGAGAAAAAGTTCTTGTGCACTGCACTTCTTCTCAATGAGATCTATCATCCTATGAAGTTTCAAGTCAATAGCTTTTATTGTGTAGGAGAATTGGCCCGAACAAAAGTAAAGTATCATAATTAACAAAGGGCACTAACTCTAAAGTCATGAAGACTAAAGAACAGAGTACAAGTTCTTGTGCACCGCACTTCTTCTCAATGACATCTAACATCTTATGAAGTTTCAAGTCTATAGCTTTTATACTTTAGGAGAAATGGCCCGCACAAAAATAAAGTATGAATATTAACAAAGGACAATAACTCAAACAAGAGGGTCATGATGGCCCTGGGGTCGCTCACCTGTACATAGACCCCAGGGCGGGGCCAGTTTAAACCAAAGGGCTTTTATTTGAACAAACTTGGAAGACACCCATTAGAAAATGTTTCATGATGTTAAGTTTTTACTATACACAAATAATGAAAAACAATGACTTTTGCCACCCTCCTCTCTCCCCCTGGCAGGGCCAATTTTAACCCAAGGGCTTTTATTTGAACAAACTTGGTAGACACCCATTAGAACATGTTTCATGCTAAATATCTTAGCTCTAGCTCTTTGGGTTCTTTAAAAGAAGATTTTAAAGTTTTTAATTACTATATGCAATATAGGGAAAATCAATGACCCCCTGGGGCGGGGCCAATTTTGACCCCAGCGCTTTTATTTGAACAATCTTGGTAGACACTCACTAGAAGATGTTTCATGCCAAATATCTAAGCTCTAGCTCTTTGGGTTCTTTAGAAGAGGATGTTTAAAGTTTTTTCTTTTGGTTGCCATGGCAACCAGAGTTCTGCATGGAATGGAATTCTTTGAACATCTTTGTTAAGGTTTCACACAAGGAACATCCCTGTGAAGTTTCATTATGATCTGCCTTATGGTTTCAGAGGAGATGTCGTTTGAAAAGTGTGAACGGACAACGGACGACGTACGACAGACGAAGAGTGATCCTAATAGCTCACCCTGAGCATATGCTCAGGTGAACTAAAAATAAGAAATGTATTGGTTCTTGTGCACTGCACTTCTTCTTAATGAGATCTATCATCCAATGAAGTTTCATGTCCATAGCTTTCATAGTTTAATGGCCCGGACAAAAATAAAGTAAGAAATTTAACAAAGGGCAATAACTCAAAAATCATGGCGTACCGGTTTTTGTGCACTGCCCTTCATATCAATGAGATCTGTCATCCTATGAAGTTTCATGTCCATAGTTTATGAGAAATGGCCTGGACAAAAATGAAAGATGAAAATTAACAAAGGGCAATAACTCAAAAAATAAGAAATGTAGAGTAGCAGTCTTTGTGCACTGCACTTCTTCTTAATGAGATCTATCATCCTATGAAGTTGCAAATCCATAGCTTTTTTAGTTTAGGAGAAATGGCCCTGACAAAAATAAAGTATGAAAATTAACAAAGGGCAGTAACTAAAAAATTAAGAAGTGCAGAGTACAGATTCTTGTGCACTGCACATCAGGTCATTAAAAGAAGCATGCATACCAAGTTTGGAGTCAATCAATTTTTTGCTTTTCTTAAAAGCCTGTAACTTGCAATACATGTTCTTGTTTACTATCAAGGACAGGTAAGTCTGCCAAGCACTTTTGTTGAGTTATCCCCCCTTTTCATATTTACTTTAATTATTCAACACTGGCCATAGCTTTCGCAGAAGCGGTGGGCCAATTGCAGTGGCAGTGTCGCAGATGCCATGGATAAACAGGAGCTGTCACAAGAGACAACATTTTTAAGTTCCAATAGTTAAATACTAGAGACAGTTTAGGAAGTCAAAACTATGAAAGAAAAATCATTTATGATATAAATATCTCTCTGTATCAGTATCAAGAAAACACTCAAATGTTCTATATTTTTACACAACATAATACGCATATGACCTTTTCAATAAATGTTAAAAAAATATTTCTATGCTTTCATGGAAAAGAAAAAAAGAAAAGCAAATTGAAATCTGAAGTACAAAATAATAAGAGCAAAAAGAATTTGAAGTTTTTTTTAAGAAATATTATAAGTTCAAAAAGGAAATAGCTCTCGAAAAAAGATGCTAGAGTTATAAATCTTGTCATGCATGATGTGAGTAATGACAAAGAAAAATTAATTATCTTCAGTCTAGAGTAGATACCATAAATTTTTTTATAACAACAAAGCTAATACTAAAAAAAATTCAATTTACAAATAAGATAATCTTTCAAAAAAGAAATGGAGATAATTCTGGGAATACAGGAGCTTGGCCTTTATAACTCTTATCCATATGATAAGAAGTTATAGTAAAACAAGAACCGGTTGAACCGGGTGATGCTCCCCGAGAAGGTTCTGGACACAGGAAAGTATAAAAAAAATGAACAAAGGGCAATAACTCCAAAATTAGACCAGGCTTTGTTTAGGTTCTTGAAGCGTTGCAGTTCTATCCAATTATATCTAGCTACCTACAAAGTTTCATGTTGATATCTCTAATAAGTTTTTAAAAGTAATGTCCAGGAACAAAAGTCAAAAAGTAAAAATAAACAAAGGGCAATTACTTCAAAATAAGGCAAGGCAGAGTAAATGATTCTTAAGCACTGCACTTCCACCCAATGAGACCTATCTATCTACAAAGTTTCATGTTGATATCTCTTATAATTTTAGAGTAAATGTCCCACACAAAGTTCAAAGTGTCAAAATGAACAAAGGGCAATAACTACAAAAGTAGGCAAGACAGTGTTACAGTTCTTGTGCACTGCAAACTTACTCAATGAGATCTATCTACCTACAAAGTTTTATGTTGATATCTCTTATACATTAAGAAATATGTCCCGGACAAAGTTCAAAGTGTAAAAATAAACAAAGGGGGATAATTAAAAAATTAGGCAAGGCAGAGTTAAGGTTCTTGTTCACTGCACACCTACTCAATGAGATCTATCTACCTACAAAGTTTCATGTTGATACCTCTTATACTTTTAGAGTTATGTCCCGGACAAAGTTCAAAGTGTAAAATAAACAAAGGGGGATAATTCAAAAATTAGACAAGGCAGAGTAACGGTTCTTGTGCAGTGCACACCTACTCAATGAGATCTATCTACCTACAAAGTTTCATGTTGATACCTCTTATACTTTTAAGAGTTATGTCCCGGACAAATTTCAAAGCGTAAAATAAACAAAGGGGGATAATTCAAAAATTAGGCAAGGCAGAGTTACGGTTCTTGTGCACTGCACACCTACTCAATGAGATCTATCTACCTACAAAGTTTCATGTTGATACCTCTTATACTTTTAGAGTTATGTCCCGGACAAAGTTCAAAGTGTAAAATAAACAAAGGGGGATAATTCAAAAATTAGGCAAGGCAGAGTAACGGTTCTTGCGCACTGCACTTCTACTCAATGAGATCTATCTACCTACAAAGTTTCATGTTGATACCTCTTATACTTTTAGAGTTATGTCCCGGACAAATTTCAAAGTGTAAAATAAACAAAGGGGGATAATTCAAAAATTAGGCATGGCAGAGTTACGGTTCTTTGTGCACTGCACTTCTACTCAATGAGATCTATCTACCTACAAAGTTTCATGTTGATACCTCTTATACTTTTAGAGTTATGTCCCGGACAAAGTTCAAAGTGTAAAATAAACAAAGGGGGATAATTCAAAAATTAGGCAAGGAAGAGTTATGGTTCTTGTGCACTGCACTTCTACTCAATGAGATCTATCTACCTACAAAGTTTCATGTTGATACCTCTTATACTTTTAGAGTTATGTCCCGGACAAAGTTCAAAGTGTAAAAATAAACAAAGGGAAATAATTCAAAAATTAGGCAAGGCAGAGTAACGGTTCTTGTGCACTGCACTTCTACTCAATGAGATCTATCTACCTACAAAGTTTCATGTTGATACCTCTTGTTGTTTCAAAGTTATGTCCCGGACAAGAAAAGGGGACGGACGGACGGACGGACGGACGGAAAGACGGACGGACGGACGGATGGACGGACGGACGGACAAGGCGGCGACTATATGCTCCCCCGAAATTTTTTCGGGGAGCATAAAAAATACATTTGTTAATATAAATTCCAAGTTCAAGGGGGAATAATTCTGGAAATAGTCACGCTAGAGTTATGAACCTTGTCACATATGATGTGAGTTGTGATAAGAAATATATATTTGAACTTATATGTTCTATCTATAGTAAGTTATATGAAACTAGTTGTATTTTACTGTACAAAAACTTTACACCAACGGTATGCAGAATATGTCAATAAGTACTTGGTGTAGTAAAGGTAAAAAAAAGCAGAGATGCAAATAAAATAGGGCAACAAATTCTAACTCCATGATACAGTAGGGCTGTCATTGATGTGCCCACAGTTACACGCTTAAACATATTCATTTCGATTTTCATTTGTAAATGTCTGCGATACTTTTTACCATTAAAAGATCCTGTATGTTTAATTTATAAGGATGTGTTCAACAACATTTAAGATCCTGTAACACAACTTTTTTTTGGTTTTATTTCATTAATATAATGCTCATATTAAGATTTGTCAATATTGTAAGTTCCAATAAGCATTATTTGTAAAGATATTACAGAATTTATCATTTCATGTAAATAAAGGGAGGTAATTAGAAATTTATTTTCTATAAATTTAAAGTCAAATTTTCCAATAAGAAACTAGAACTGCCACTATCATGGCGTGAATACCCCAGCATACCACTTTGTCAGAATCAACAGTGGCCATTTAGAGCTCAAGGACAACCTCCCTGCCAAATCTGAGGTTACTAAGCCAGTGCATTGCTAAGTTATGTATTCTACATGCTTCAAATGTGAAAATGTCAAAATCAATACATTGCGGACAGGACATTCTTTAGCAATTGAGAAGAAAAGCTTTTTTTTGTCAAGGTCCCTGTGACCTTGACCTTTGACCCAGTGACCTCAAAATCAATAGGGGTCACCTTATAGTCATGATCAACATCCATGCCAAATATGAAGACTGTTGGTCAAAAGAATCTTAAGTTAATGGGTGGACAAACTTTTTGAAGTCAAAGTCCCTATGACCTTGACCTTTGATCCAGTGACCTCAAAATCAAAAGGGGTCATCTACTAATCATGATCAACATCCATGCCAAATATGAAGATTGTGGGTCAAAGGAATCTAAAGTTATTGACTTTTTGAAGTCAAAGTCCCTGTGACCTTGACCTTTGACCTCAAAATCAATAGGGGTCATTTACTAATCATGACTAACCTCCTTTTAAATATGAAGAATGTGGGTCAAATGAATCTTAAGTTATTGGGCGGACAAGCTTTTTGAAGTCAAGGCCCCTGTGACCTTGACCTTTGACCTGGTGACCTCAAAATCAATAGGGGTCATCTTCTAATCATGACTAACCTCCATGCCAAATATGAAGACTGTGGGTCAAAGGAATCTTAAGTTATAGGGCGGACAAGCTTTTTGAAGTCAATGCCCCTGTGACCTTGACCTTTGACCTGGTGACCTCAAAGTCAATAGGGTCATCTACTAATCATGACTAACCTTCATGCCAAATATGAAGACTGTGGGTCAAAGGAATCTTAAGTTATTGGGCGGACAAGCTATTTTAAGTCAAGGCCCCTGTGACCTTGATCTTTGACCTGGTGACTTCAAAGTCGATAGGGGTCATCTACTTATCATTACTAGGCTCCATGCCAAATATGAAGACTGTGGGTCAGGTGAATCTTAAGTTATTTGGGGGACAAGCTTTTTGAAGTCAACCCCTGTGACCTTGACCTGGTGACCTCAAAGTAAATAGGGGTCATCTACTAATCATGACTTACCTCCATGCCAAATATGAAGACTGTGGGTCAAAGGAATCTCAAGTTATTGGGCGGACAAGCTTTTTGAAGTCAAGGCCCCTGTGATCTTGACCTTTGACCTGGTGACCTCAAAATCAATAGGGGTCATCTACTAATCATGACTAACCTCCATGCCAAATATGACGACTGTAGGTCAAAGGAATCTTAAGTTATTGGGCGGACAAGCTTTTTGAAGTCAAGGCCCCTGTGACCTTGACCTTTGACCTCAAAATCAATAGGGGTCATCTACTAATCATGACTTACCTCCATGCCAAATATGAAGACTGTGGGACAAAGGAATCTCAAGTTATTGGGCAGACAAGCTTTTTGAAGTCAAGGCCCCTGTGACCTTGACCTTTGACCTGGTGACCTCAAAATCAATAGGGGTCATCTACTAATCATGAATAACCTCCATGGCAAATATGACGACTGTAGGTCAAAGGAATCTTAAGTTATTGGGCGGACAAGAAAAAACCGCCGGACGGCCGGATGGACAAGCTGATTCCAGTATACCCCCCTTACAACTTTGTTGTGCGGGGGTATAATAAATGCATATAACTTATTGATTACACACTTATAATGTGCACAGATATTTGCAGTACATTTTACATATTCTTCAATGTTTGAAACTTGTTTTATTTGCATAATAATATACATACAGTGTATATTAATTCTTGTAAGAGTGGTATACACACAGGTACAATATCAATTACAAAACATACAGGATCTTTCAGTGAAATTTTATATATGTATATAAATATTCTTCTAAAACAATTTCTAAACATCCAAGGATATGTTAAATATGTACTGCAATGTTTGTGCGCATAATAAGTAATCATTAAAATATATGCATTCATTTCTTATTTATGATACAAAACCATATATAAAAGTTTAGTAACGAAATGACCACGCTCCATGTACATCGTATCTTATCAGAAAATCCTGTAAATATGAATTTTATCAATTCAAACTGATTTATTCCAACTAAAAACGAGATAAGATAGAGATTTTTAGGCTATCAACAATGTAACTTATCGATTGTGACTAAATACTTTTTTGGTAAAGTTGATTTCCTTTGATCTTTCAAAAGAGCAAAATAGGGATACAGAGCAGAAAATTGGTGCCGACTCCTCTCGCGAAAAGACCTGAACATTATTTGTACCTGTATTAAAAATAGAAAGTAAGTAATCATTAAGCACCTCAAATACAGGGTATAGTACACTCAGAGGCACTTATAACCAGACATTTTTCGGTGTAAGTTGGTTATTTGTGAACGGATTTTGTTCAGTTTTTGAACATACAGAATTCAACATATCATACTTATTTCCTAGAATTTTATTTCCAATTCATTTACAAGAAAATAGAGAAAAATAACAAAACAAATAGGTTACTGCAAAATGAAAAATCACAAAATGACTGTTAATATAATAGCACAATGAAAAGTCTAAATCCAACTGATTCTGTACATGTATAATAACCAATTCTAATACTTTTTGTAGTGTAAACACCTATCTCATGGTTATGACGTAGTGAAGGCTTGTGGGATATTTCTTCATCCCTGAATAAGGGCTTCCTCGAGTTCCAGCAACTCCTGCATTCCAAGTCACCAGATCTAAACATCAAACTTGTCGATTGAATTGAACAGGCGTGTGAGAAAGCGGCCAAAAGCTCCTGGCTATTTGCTGGAACTCGAGCAAGCCCTTATTTAGGAATAGAGAACAGTGAGGCAGAGGTGTTACACTTTGTTATAGGCAACTGGGAGGACATACAAAATGATAGAACTGGTAAACATACAAATTTAATGGGATTCAGAGACTGTTCATTGTGTTACAATTTTTACAGTCATTCTGTGACTCTTCACTCTTCAGTAGCCTATTTGTTTTGCTATGTTTTCTTTTTTTGTATCGATGAATTGTAAATACAATTCCAAGTAGTAAGTATGATATGATGAATTTTGTTAAGTCCAAATTTGAACAAAATCTGTTCACAAATAACCTATTTATACAAAAAAATGTCAGTGTCGGGTGACAGTGCCTCTGAGTATATAGTACATAGAAGTACCATCGCTTGACCGGTATGGTTTTGGTTTTTAAATTTTAGCAATCGTGAACACGTTAACAAAAAATTGTAAACGTGGGAGCTCTAGCTGTCATTGATGAAAAGTTCATCAGCAGCAAAGTACATGTATTGACAAGTTATAAATACATCATGTCATCTGTGAAACATAATTGAAATGAATTGATAATATATTGATATACATTTATTGATATTGTGATAATTTCAATGACAGCTCTATATGCTGGTATGATACCAGGCCTGCCAAAAAAACATTTTAAACTGTCATTTTTGGTTTTATCACATACATTGTACAACTATGAGTGTTTTCTAAGTTTTGAGGCAGCCCAAAATGCAATTTAGTCATATTGACCTTCTGCCTCTTAATGGCCGGATGTTCTGAAACTAAAGAAAAAAACAAACACATTTTTTTCCCATTAAAAATCCTTTTAACTGTTAAAATTTGCAAAAGAATGATTTCGGAACAACTTTTATTAAAACACTAATAATGTGATAAATTTAAATTTATTTAAATGATTTGATTGTTCATGTCACTGAAACCACTTCTTAAATATTTAATGTTTTAACATTTTCTGTGTTGCTTTGTTACGCTTTAAAAGGAACATTCACTACTGGACTATGAAGCCTCTCTAGCAATTTTGCCTCCAATTTTTCAACAGCTTTCAAAGTTAGAACTAATGTATCATGCTTTAACATGCTGTACACATTTAATCCATAAACTGGCATAAGATTTACATGCTTTATGTCGCTGGCAGCAAGGGCAATGTTTTGAGGCATAATGTCTCTGTCGTCAACAAACAATGCTGAAAATCCCCAATATCTGGTGTCAAGAAGATCTAGTAGATAATCTGGTTCATCTGATGGAATTTGTAATGAATCAACAATATGGAGATCCCTTTGAGCATACTTTACGGACAGCGCTATACACAATCCATGAACACGGTCAGAATCTGCAAGCATGTAGAATTTTGACAATGGCCCCCTGGGCCCCATTGCAGCTCCACCACCTTTGTTTTGTGGCGCGCGAATACTTCCAGCACGGTGCTTTCCTGTGCGTTTTTGTTTAAAAGGCTTTCTTCCACCTCCTGGTCGTTCTGCCCTTGATTGCCTACATTCATAATTAATGTATTTATATAAATACTGCCATTTAGTATTGCTATGTAATAAATCCAGACGTGGGTGTCGACCAAATATATCTGGATGAAGGTCAATAATTCCAAGCTTTTGTGATTGGACTGTATCTAAATTTTCAAGCCATGCCTGTTTAGATTCAACGTATGGGTTAGGGAATTCTAATTGTCTTGATGTTATCATAGGTAGGGGAGGTCTTTCCTGAGGTACATACAAGTCATCGTCTTCAACAAACTCATCCGAATTTAGAGCACTTCCTCGCGAAAACCGAAGACATACGCTGCTTGATATTGTCCTTGTTTGATTACTGATATAGGGGTGCAGATTTTTCACGGAAGCAAGTTTCAAAATGTTTTTTAAACACAACATGGTTTTTTTATTCAAAAAGAATAAAAAATGCAATAAAATGTGCTTTTTCGAGTTGTTAACCTTCACCGTTTACAAAAGTTTTAAGGACGAAAAAATGAAAATGAAAATAAAAAAAAAATACGAATAAAAATATTTGAATATGAAATATTCTACAGTCAAGTATAAGGATACTCACATATTTAATTTTTAATTTTTATACTTAGTGACAAATAGTTTAAATTTTATTAGGTACCATTTGTTCAGTAAAATATTTCGTCTAAATATCATTTTTAAAGGTGAAGGTCAGCAGAAACAATTTTATCATAGTTTCGGATATTTCCAATTTAATCTTGTTTAGTATGTATATTCCCCGCTGTCTTTGAAGACAATTTATATTTCTCTTTAATTCTTTTTTGTATACACATTATTCACATGTTTGCATTGACCATTTGACAATTTCTCTTTGCTTCAACATGTGAACTGGTCAAATCCAGACTCCTGTCCAGTTTCACCTTCGGCTTCAGTCTATGCTCAGTGAGAAGACTAGTGTTAATGATTATCGTCGGGTGCCCTAAATTCGTCCCATTTTTTCATGATTGATCTGACTAGAACGATGATTGGGGACCTGAAAAGGGGTTTCAATGAGTTGTAATTTATACGAATTATGGTGGTTTCGTCGAACTACCGGTTCGGCGAACTTAAATTTTTTAGGTATAGGATATACATGTAGCCTCGAGTGCCGGAAAAGAGTCAACTCGGCCCTATACCAACTCGGCACGGGTCAACTCGGCACGGGTCAACTCGGCCCACTTTACAAAAATATATAGAGCTATAACGTATTTACTTTGCTTTGCATGTTGTTAAGGTAAATGAATAATAAGAAATATCTTATTATTATTATATAATGATGCATTGTACCTCTGCTGAAATAAAATATGTTTAGAAAAAAAAGTTATTTATTTGTCTTGCAGATTCGATAAAATTAATATAGACACAGGCACGATTATCAAACCTGGGAAGAAAAAATATGAACAGATTGATAAAATATCTTCATATATTTTCTTCCCAGGTCCGAAACTTGTGCCTGTGAATATAGATATAATAAAAATGTGTTTCCTTAGATGCATTTTGTTTGTAAAGTAATTTTCAAAAAAAATATGAAACAAAAAAGTGTTTACTTAATAGCATAAGCTTCTAATTAATTGCAGGTGGTCACTAATCAAATTTGAATGAATGAGTCAATCATAATTATCACCTAATTAATCGGTATCTTTAACATACACATTGATCAATAAAAATAGCCCGTGACAATAGGAGTCCTTTGATGTCCTTTACCCATTTTTAAAAGTGGGCCGAGTTGACCCGTGCCGAGTTGGAACAGGGCCGAGCTGACTCGGGGGCCGAGTATGTTTTAGGGCCGAGCTGACCCGGATTCTCGAGTGCCCATGTTCCGGTGATATAAGAACAGGATTGAGAATAAAACCACTTTTAAGAATGAAAAAAACAGTTGTAACAATTGCCAAATAAAAACAAATAACTTACCTTCAAAAGCCTTGGTTTTTATCAAAATAGCATAAGTAGTTCATGATTTTTTTGAAATTTTTATTTAGTTTTAATTTGATTTGATTTTCATTTGAATTGATATGCGTCATACATGTTATCTAAGAGTGCTACAGCCCTCGCGGGCCTTTGGCCCCGCTCAGACTTTCCGCGTATAAAGTAAATAAGCATACTGCTTATAATGGAAACAAGACATCTCACCTCCAGACGATTCACCCCCCCCCCCCCCCCCCCCCCCCGAAAACCAAGACAACTCATCCCTCAAGACAGTTCACCCGCCAAAATAGATAAGACAATTCACCCCTCATGTTTATTGTTACAAAAATCAAAAAGTCAGTATATTTATTTATTTATTTACAACAAAAAATTTATTTCTCTATTAAAGGGGTTGAAAAGAAGAAGAAAACAAGCAAGTCAAGTTTCAAAATTTGATATATATTAATTTGTTATGTTATATTATTTTATTCAATCACATCAAATAGAACATAGTTTATATTGAGGGAAATGCCCATAATGTATGCACTTTTCATAAACATATTATCTATCATTTATTTAATAGTCTTGATATTTTTATTGTATACATATGCAAACATGTACAACTGTCTGCAGGAATAATTTAATTATCCATTATCTTAAAGTGCTGAAAAACATATTGTTTATTCTACATCCACTCTTTCATCACAAACACTTAACACCTTGCTTTATAATCAATTAAGGATGAAAAAAAAGTGTTAAGGGATAAAGGGCTGTTAAGTGTATACAAACATCCACGCGAAATGTCATATTTCATAAGACAGCATGTTTTGAATAGCTTCTCAAAAAAATTTAATTGGTTGCGCGTGCACAAAATTTATTTGTAGATGATGTGTCATTAGCATCCATGAAAGAGATTAAAGAGCAAATGATTATCACATGTTAATATCTTTGATTTATGCATACATGCCATAATTTTTGGACAGCTTTCCGGGACACTTTTCATCGCGGCAATAATGGATGTGTAGGTAGTTGTGGAAAAGTGGGGTGGGGTGGGGTGGGGTGTCAATCGTATAACGTTATTAAATTAGGACGACTTTCTCCTGAATTTTAATGATAAACAGTTAACTTACTAGTTTTATAAGTAGTCTTTTAGGTCGACATATTTATCATTTTATAGTATTTCTTTATTTCATTAATTATTCCCTAAAAGCAAGTAAGTTGTAAGTTATAATGCCGGTGAATGGGCGCAGCCATGTTGTTCACCCGTTATATTTTAAAGTCGTGATAATTACTACATGTCACGTAATGCAATTCTTCCAGTCATAAAAACAAACACAGCAAGGTGATTTATTTGACACCTTTAATTTTCTATTTGATAGATATATTTACATTGTTTGTAATAATTAGACTTTCGGCAAGTTAGCGATTGATCTAAAAATTAATGATTATCGGGGATTAACGATAATTGTTAAGGGCCGTAAACCATTAATTAACCCGACCATTTAACGCTGCTGAATTCAACAGAGAATGTTAATTGCCGATGCATGAAGAAAGCTTAGTAGAATCGACAGTCGATAATTGGGGGGCTGTATATTGTAAACTTGTAAGTGTCAACGTTCCTGTGTATTATGTGTACCAGGTCAGAATATGTTTTACGATCGAGAGGTGAAATGTGCAAGATTTGATTTAAGAAAATTTATGAAAATTTTGCAAAATATCATGATTTTTTTTCGGGATCAAATCGATGCCCGGGACATCTCCGGGACAGACATCTGATTTCCGTGACAATCCCGGGCATCCGGGACGTTATGGCATGTATGATTTATGTCATCTTATAATAACATCAATAGCACTTAAACAAATTAAGACAAATTTATGGTGAATTTGTAATTTTTACAGTTTGTATGTAAAATAATATGTAAAAATATTAACACATAGTAACAAATATTTTTAAGTAATAAATTATAATAATTAATTTACATATGACTAAATATTTCATAAATATCAATTATGTAAAGAAACACAACAAATTTGTTTATTGCATCTTCTTATTTTAAAATAAATTTTATCAAAATTAAGATTTAAGAAATGGGGGGTGAATTGTCTGTGTCATTTTTCCAATAATGTGGGGTGAACTGTCTGGTGGGTGAATTGTCTGGAAAAAATGGCTGAGTGTGAATTGTCTGGGGGGTGACTTGTCTGTAAGCCCTTATAATAATGCTTTTTTGTTCATTTCAAATTCAATTACTTTTAGTATAATTTGATAAATAAGTTTTAATTAAATGACAATTTATAGACTTTTCTAAGAGAATACATTTGTTTCGTAAATAATTCAGAAACAAATAAAACATGTAAAAATTTATTTAACTTATTTACATATAACATGCAATAAAACATAACATTTTAGTGGTTAAAAAAAAAACACCACATTTTTATAAACGTCCATAAATTCACCCACTTTCTTCAAGAATTCCTCAGTCCTTAATTCATGATGATAGTATTGCCCACTGTTATACAAACACGCCCGGCAAACTGTCGCCCCACTTCAAAATTGTGGTGTACGGTAAAACCAGCGAACCGCATTTCCGAGATAGAGCGGAAGTAAGTATTGTTTATGTTTTTGTCTTATTATTCATTTAAGTTGTATTTTTTCGAAAAACGGAAAATGTGGTTCCGTGTAGGATTGATTTAGGCTTCCAATTATCTAAGCTGTTACAAAAAGAAAATTATTTTAAGCCCGGGAGAACTTTTCTCCCTGACGAAGCGAACGATGATTTGTAGAATATTGAACTTCCCAACCATAGAAATGCCATACCTTTCGGATTTCTTGAAAAAGTGTAAAATAGAAATTTCTACTATAACTATGTCTATTATATTATTGATAATTTTAGTCCGTACATCGACTGAGTTCTGCTTCACTTTGAGAGGAAAATAATAAACTAACAAACAATGCTAAATAAGGGAGGAAGTATCTTGAATCATAACTGGAACACGTGTTATATCCTTATAACGACTGACACCTTGTCAACCATTTTCATAGCGATTCCCCACCTTACAAATTCATGAAAACGTGACTTATTTGTGTTTTGCTCAGAACAGGTACGTTAGAGCTATTAATTACAGAAAGTCATTGTGAACTGAACTCGGTAGTAGTGATCCATTTAATTTAATGTGTTCCATGCATTGCATACTTTTGTTTCTGTTCTGCACCTTGAATATCTAACTTTTCGAAAAACATAACATTTTGGCGTAAACAATCGAGTTACACGTACCTGCTCGGAAACATTTGTTCGCGGTAGAACTAAAAATATTCGATTTTGTCGCATTTGCGCGGACACACGTTTTTAAATGTAAATAACCGTGTCAAAAATCATGATTGACCTCGAATAAGTGGCATCCTGTATTATGCCATGCATACATGTGTATGATTCAATGGTCGGGCCTCATCCAAATTTCGAACATAAATAATGGAAATAGGTGACACCTTCGCGATTACAGTTATTACGTTATAGTCGTTGAAAGGATATCACACTTTATTAGTTCTCTTTAAAAGGTATATATATATATATATCTCGGTCTTAACACTTGTTCATGTCTATTTTAACTAGTATAGCTTTTATTTATAAAAATCATTGACTATGCTCCTCCTAATACATCAAATTAATATCGCCTTGCGCTCAACATCGAACCTTTTGCTCCATCTCTCGCCCTTTTGCTCCACTACTTTCAAAAAATATCGATTTACAAATTTAAGAAATCCTTCAGGAGTAATTTATTTTGCACGAAGGACAAGTTCTTATTACGGGTTGATAATTTACTAATACACTTTTTCAAGAAATCCGAAAGGTATGGCATTTCTATGGTTGGGAAGTTCAATATTCTACAAATCATCGTTCGCTTCGTCAGGGAGAAAAGTTCTCCCGGGCTTAATATAATTTTCTTTTTGTAACAGCTTAGATCATTGGAAGCCTAAATCAATCCTACACGGAACCACATTTTCCGTTTTTCGAAAAAATACAACTTAAATAAATAACGAGACAAAAACATAAACAATACTTACAATTAGGCGTTTAAATCGGCCTTCCGCTCTATCTCGGAAATGCGGTTCGCTCGTTTTACCGTACACCACAATTTTGAAGTGGAGCGACAGTTTGCCTGGCGTGACAAAGCGCTTTTATCCATTTACTGTTTATTGCATGTCACCCTGTTTATTCAACATGTTGATTGGTTGTTTGTTCAACAGACATCTCATAATTGATTAGATAATTGGATAAAAAAGGTATTATTGTATGAAAATTAAATAAATAAATATATAAATAATATTGTATATAAAATAAATAGATAATAATATTGTATGAAAAATAAATAAATAAATAAAATGAATACAAATGAATGAATGAAATATACATAAATTATTTATCCACTTTTTGTAAATTAATAAATAAAAAAAAATTGCATTTACCTTAATTACAAAATGTTGCTAACAAATTAAGTATTTTACCAGTATCACATGCTATGTGTTGCCAGTTCCATTTGTACTCATGTTTTGCTTTCAATTCATTAAACAAGATAATGTCAATTAAAGACACAAAGGAAGTGTGAAAGAGATTATATACTTTAATATATATCAAAGAAAAATTCACAGAAGGGTTCATAAACTTCAATAGAAAGAATAATCAATTAGTTATATCACTTTCCTTTTAATTGAAATTAGTATAAAGTATATAAAAATGAAATAAAAAATTAAAAAAATTACTTACTAATAACTTTGTGATATGAGCCTTTTTGTAGGGCAAAAACAACAATATATTCATTGTCTTTGGTCAATTACATGATAAAATAATAATAAAATATGTTAAAACAATAAACATACTCAATCACTATTGAATACATTTAACATTTTCTACATAAAAATAAAATAATTGTTTAACACAAAATAAAAGAAATGGGGGGTGAAGTGTCTCATTCAAATTTCTTAAAATGAGGGATGAACTGTCTAAGGGGTGAAGTGTCTGCCAAAAAGGGCTTAGGGTGAAGTGTCTGGGGGGTGAAGTGTCTGTAAATCGTGTAAAAAAGTAATAATAGAAAAAGATATGTATAGGATATCAACCGAGTACGAGGTCTTTCTGTTTAGGAAAGACCTGGTCACGAATTTCATGTGACACCGAGAGCGCAAAGCGCTAGAGGTGTTTCATGAAATTCGTTACCAGGACTGAGGTCTTTTCTAAACAGAAAGATCGATGTTCGAGGCTGATATCCAACTTACACACCGTAAAATTATATTGGCTTGAGAAATGGCTGATCTGATGCACACATATTATTTTTAACACAACGCATATACATTTTGTTCTGCTTAAATACAATTTTAACTTAGCTTTTCATTTAAAATATTAATTAAAAAAGCTAAATGTGCAATTTGTCAATAATAAAGCGAATACGTCTGTAATGGAAGGTACATGTATGTTAAAGAATGGATAATTATGTTGATAGTATTTCGTATTCTAGGACATTTGTCCCCGGAAATTTCACCCCCTATATGTATATTGTTGGCATGTGTAAGATACATGAATGGAAACTTTATTTCTACTGCAATGCTCAAGTATAATAACTCTTCATTTTAAGTCATTGCCCTTGAGATTTTTTTCTTGCATAATTTATATCCAGACCATATAACTTATAAAAACTTTAGAGTTGAAACTTCATTGGTGGATAGATCTTAAGGAGGAATGCTGTTAACAAGAATAACTATTCGCTACATCATAATTGGAGTTATTGCCCTTAGTGTACAAATAAATAAAATATAATTCTGTTGTTGTTTTTTAAAACTTTTTTCCTGGCTGCTTTTTGTTATGAAAGATCAGATAATTTTTTTTCCCAGAAAAATGCACTGACATGATGTTATAAACTAAAGAAAGAAGAAAGATGTCATACAGAAAATTTAATAGTGTATGGAAGAAGTTGGCCTGTACTGGGCTTGCCATTGGGGGAGGGGCAGTCATCTGGACTTACGTATCACCACATAGAAATAAGGTAAGTCATTATTGTAATATTTTCTGTTACAAGATCGCAGAACTTTAATCAGAAGGATGTTACATAGAATAAAGGGAAACTTCCAGAAGGTTTTTGGAATGCAAAACAAAACAAAAAATATTATGGAATTTTACAGATTGTTTGATACCGGTAGTTTTTAAACATGAATTGGATCTTTTAAATTTTGTGACTGACAAAAAAGTTAAATATATAAATAGAACATAACTTAAGGATTTTAGAAAACATGTACATGAATAACATAATATAGACTAAAGTGTTTTAAGCTTTAATACATGAACAATGAACGGGTTCTTGACATCATATGATGTTGACGTTATTCCTGTAAATGAAGTTAAATGGAAACTGGAGATGATTTCTATATTCAAACTTACATTATTCGTGTACAATGAATGGAAAATTCTGGATTAACCTTAACTGAATGTAGTGTAACGTTTTAAGGAACACAAACCCTGTCAGTGAATAGCTAGCTCACCACCAAGAGTGGTTTGTGTCCTTATAACTGGGGAACATGCCCTTATTTTAATTCAGCAACTTTAGCTTTTGTATTTTATTATGCTCATTATCAGTATTATGACGTTCTACCAAAGTTGTTACAGTAGTTAGCCTTTGTCAGGGCCAGTCCTTGTGTGTAGTCTGCCCTGGCAGGCTCTACACTGTTGTCTGCATAATGTTAAATTTTTAATCTAGATATCCTAAAAACTGATAATGTTTTTTTCCACACAGTTTTGGGGCCGAAAAATGACCCCATTCACTTGCAAAGCCAAAAAAATATATTTCTTTCTTTTATTTTTTTTTGCCTTCAGAATTGTTTAATGTAAAGTCCCATTTATGTACTGCAGTATTGTATTCAGTGATAAAATTGTCAGTTACTTTAAAACTTCAGGAACAGAGGCATTAAACTGTGACACTTTGTTTAAGGTGTTTTATCATGATTCAAGGCATTTTCCAACACATGATTCAAACTTTTTACCCAATTGAATAACTAAATTTTGACAGTAAAAGATAGGACTATAATTATATTCACAAATAATGGCATAGCAGCACTAATTTTCACAGTTGAAAGGGGCCACAGATCCATTCCCAAAAGACGTGAACAGTCCTAAAGAGCTTGCTAAATCCATTTTGAAAATTTTGAAGGTTACGGATTAAAAGTTAATTCTAGACCATTTTATACACTGAGTATTTATGATCAAATATTTAACAAGAGAAAATTTATATCAAAAGAGTATTTGGTATTATGATGTAAAGTTAGATAGTAATTATTCACTATTCTATATAGTCAGTGCACGCGGCATTTAGGATAATTAAAAGTCTAATACCGGGTATCTTCGAACTTGTCAATATTTAAACAGAACTACCCAATATTAAGACTTCAGGTCATTCATTTTTCCTTATCCAAGTGTTTGTTGTTTTTTCCCAAACTAGTGCAAAGAAGCCTCATTAGGTTAGTTTCATTTTCAAAACATACTAGAACAGATGAGTAAATCTTTGAATAATTGTTGTGCTTTCATTTAGAAATGCTGGTCTACATATTGAAATAAATCTACAAAAACTTAACTTATTCTCAGATTTAAATCTGGTAAAATTCCCAACTGTTAGACAAAAGATCAGCTACAAATTCTATATTTCCCTTTTCTACCAGTGTTACCAAAATAATGCAAAAAAATAAGGGCCTGTTTTATGTCATTTTAGCTCATATCAGTGGTTTTTCTCCTTTAATTGGTAAATTTTAATTAAAAAATTTTTTTAAAAATTTTTTTTTAAAAAAAAATTAAAAATTATTTAAAAAATTTTGTTTTATTTTACGGGTTTTTTCACAAAAAAACATAAAAAATTATATATTTATTAGTATGGTAACTGTTGAAGCAGTTACAGGTAAAAATAAATTCAAGATTTACTACATTTGATAATACCTTTCATATCAAAGTTAAAGTAAATGTTTATACATGCATGATAAATTAGAGAGCATTATTTTTAATGTCAGCATTATGTAAGGTACATGTAGGTTTGTAAAAAGAACTGTAAGATCAACAATTTATGTGAGGGATTTATTTTTGCTAATTACATAAATTGAAGATTTTAGTGAAAATAAATGTTCACTATACATCTTTAGTACATGTACATTGTATAATATAAATGAAATCTAATAGAACTGAAAGTAGTTCAAATTTGTGAAAATTAAACCTCACCAATTAGTCTTATATGGTTTTCTTTGTTTTTCTTTGCAAAATTTTGGCCTTGCAGAGGCTTAAAATTTTAGTAAATTGTAGAAGAAAGTTTCAACTCACATGCTGCAGGACCTGGGTCTATTTCTTCTGTCATAATGTATTATAAACCTTTAATCCTCTGTGTAGGAAGTAAGGGAAATAGTTCATGTTGTATTCTCTATATTTTCATTGTTAACAATAATGAAGTTAAGGTTTATAGATATATTTATGTACATAAAATGTTAAGTGACTATTGTAAAGTGTATTTAAATTGTACAAATTTTGTAAGATGATGTACCATGTACAAGTCTTGAATAAATTTTCTCATCTTTTCTTGAAAATCAAAGTGCTTAAAGTACTGCTGGAAGGTGTTTTGTACCATTTGCTCACCCTGATTTTCCAGAATATTCTGGGTTTTTTTACAGCTGAGTCAGATTGTTAGTCCCCTACCGGTTTACCGGAGGGGACTTTAGGTTTACCCTCCGTCCGTCTGTCTGTCTGTCTGTCTGTCTGTCTGTCTGTCTGTCTGTCCGAGCAGACGAGAGCTACATTATGAGGTTTAGGTTTATGTACAGGCACTCTGTATGGGGTTCATTCCGTAGAGACATGTATTATGTGGTTAAAAATGCTCTTATGGGGTTAAAAAATTTGCTCTTGTGGGGTTAAGAGATCAAAGGAATAACCCCACAAACACGTCTGCTAAGTACGTCCGTCTGTCTGTCTGTCAGTCCGTCAGTCAGTCCGTCCGTCCACAAAACTGGATCCCGCGATAACTTGAAAAGTACTGAAAATATTTTTATGAAACTTGATATATGGATAGATGGCAGTATGGAGATTATGCACATCTTTTTCTTTTCTTCCTATGTTGAAAATTCTGGTTGCTATGGCAACAAATAGGCTTAAAATATGGCAAATTTTACACATAAACTGGATCCAGTGATAACACAAAAAATACTGGGAAATATTTTTATGAAACTTGAAATATGGGTAGATGGCAGTCTGGAGATTATGCACGTCATTTTCTTTTCTTCCTATGTTGAAAATTCTGGTTGCTATGGCAACAAATAGACTGAAAATATGGCAAATTTTACACATAAACTGGATCCTGTGTTAACGCAAAAAGTAATAGAAATATTTTTATGAAACTTGTAATATGGGTAGATGGCAGTCTGGAGATAATGCATGTCTTTTTCTTTTTTTCCTATGTTGAAAATTCTGGTTGCTATGTCAACACATAGACTGAAAATATGGCAAATTTTACACATACACTGAATCCAGTGATAACTCAAAAAGTACTGGAAATATTTTTATGAAACTTGACATATGGGTAGATGGCAGTCTTGAGATTATGCATGTCTTATCTGTTCTCCCTATTTTGAAAAAATATTGGGTGCCTTGGCAACAAATAGGCTTAAAACATGGCAAATATAACATTATTTGTGATTAGTAAAAAAGAGCTGACATTTTTTTATGAAATTGCATCTTTAATTCAAGAGTTATCTCCTCTTTAAGAATTTTGCTTTTAAAAATGTTATATTTTGGTAACAGGGATGTTTCAAATATTAACTTTAGAGTGTCCTTCAGTCCGTCTGTCTGTCTGTTCATAAAAACTGTTTCCTGTGATCACTTTTAAAGAACTTTTCCAACAAATTTACTTAAAATATAGAAAAATTGAAACATTAGTGAATGGCCAATGGCCCTTCAGAATGTTGATGGGGTTCTAACCGGTAGGGGACTTATGGATTGCTTGCAATACTATGATAATTGCTTGTTATTTCAAGTTTTGCCCCTTTTCTGATTTATCGCGCTATATTTTCCCCTTCAGAAAGCCACAGGTTGTTTTGAAAATTGAAAAAAAAAACATCACTGAATCAGACATAATCACATTGCATGTATGTTATAATTAAGATTGTTACCACTCTTATGTAAAATTTTATATATGTATATAATTATGCTTATAAAACAATTTTCAAACATCCAAGGATATGTAAAATATGTACTGCAAATATTTGTCGTCATTATTATATGTAACCATTAAAATATATGCATTCATTTCTTATTGAAAAATTTGACTTGGACTTTAAAGAAAATTAATTTCTGATTACCTCCCTTTATTAAAATAAAAATGTAAATTCGGTAATATCTTTACAAATAATGCTTTTTAGCTCGACTATTCGATAAGAATAAGTAGAGCTATTGTAGTCACCCGAGCGTCTGCGTCGGTGTCGGCGTAACCACTTATGTTGAAGTTTTTGTAATACCTCAAATTTTTTCAAAGTCCATTGACATATGACTTTGAAACTTTGCACACTTGTTGACCATCATGACCCCAACCTGTAGACAGGAGATCATGACCCCAACCTGTAGACAGGAGGAGGTAACTCTATCAAGCATTTTGACAGAACTATGCCCCTTTTTCGACTTAGAATTTAGGTTAAAGTTTTTGTAATACCTCAAATATTTTCAAAGTCCATTCATATATGGCTTTGAAACTTTGCACACTTGTTGACCATCATGACCCCAACCTGTAGACAGGAGGAGGTTACTCTATCAAGCATTTTGACAGAATTATGCCCCTTTTTCGACTGAGAATTTACATTAAAGATTTTGTAATACCTCAAATATTTTCAAAGTCCATTGACATATGGCTTTGAAACTTTGCACACTTGTTCACCATCATGTCCCCAACCTGTAGGCAAGAGGTGGTAACTCTATCAAGCATTTTAACAGAATTATGTCCCTTTTTCAACTTAGAATTTAGGTTAAAGTTTTTGTAATACCTCAAATATTTTCAAAGTCCATTCACATATGGTTTTGAAATTTTGCACACTTGTTGACCATCATGACCCAAACCTGTAGACAGGAGGAGGTAACTCTATCAAGCATTTTGACAGAATTATGCCCCTTTTTCGACTGAGAACTTACGTTAAAGTTTTTGTAATACCTCAAATATTTTCAAAGTCCATTCACATATGGTTTTGAAACTTTTCACACTTGTTGACCATTATGACCCCAACCTATAGACAGGAGAAGGTTTCTCTATCAAGCATTTTGACAGAATTATGCCCCTTTTTCGACTTACAATTTAGGTTAAAGTTTTTGTAATACCTCAAATATTTTCAAAGTTCATTGACATATGGCTTTGAAACATGTTTAAATTTTATACTCTTCTTTGAGAGCATAATAGGACTCTCTCCAAGGCCTATAGATGTGATATGGATTTAAAGAAAAAATTTGCCTTTTCTTTACTTAGAAAATAGTACCTTTTAATCAAGGCTTTTTTTACTATCAAGCACTAAGAATAGTCGAGCGTTGCTGTCCTACTGACAGCTCTTGTTAGATCTTGCAATATTTATTAATCTTCATTTGAGCATTATATTCATGACATAAAACCATAAAAAAAAATTGATAAAGGATCTTCAATAGCTACAGTAGTTTAGTTACATGTGTTATTCTGGCATTCATATGGGATAGAAACAATTACAGAAAATGTAGCAATAAAGTTTATTAAACGCCAAAAACAATACATGACTTAGTATTTGTAGTACTTTATAAAAATGCCAAAAATAATGTGAGTTTTTTTTCTGTTATTTTATTTTTGATAGTTTGTTTATTTGCTTCGTACATACTTTTGGTTTGTTTTGTTCTGATTTACTTAAATGGCAACAAACTTTATTGTTGTGACAATGGAAGTTGATAATTGTTCTAGAGTTCATGCAAAAGGAAATTAAGACATTATATTGCATAAAAAATGATACATATATATTTACAGTTCCTATCTCAGCATTGTGGAATTAGATAGTTTTAGAACTGTTTTAGTCTGATTTAGTACATGTATAATGTGGATAAGTGAGGTATCATGGCAATATGTGTTATTTCGAAGTAACTCTTTGAAGAGTCGGTTATATTGACACTGGTTAAAGTTCATTTTTTTTTACTCTGAAAAATACTTAGAAATAAATGTTAGTATACATGGACATAATTTTTTGGTCTTTTTTTTTCTTTCAGCAACTTGTTGCAGCAATAAATGATTCAGATGAGCAGAAATTTAGGTGGGCACCATTACCCACAAGAGAGCAACACTTTGAAAGTATACAGAAAACAGAATTTGATGTTCTTGTGATAGGGGGCGGGGCCACTGGTTGTGGGGTGGCCCTGGATGCTGTGAGCAGAGGTAGGCATTATGAAAATGACTTTTAACGGTTTACCGTTCTTATCTTAAATATGTGATAAATGAAATATTCATGTTTATTCAATATTAAATTTATTGACTCTTAATTCTACACTCATTCAATATCCTCTATTTATTTATCAATCTCAGGTTTGAAGACTGCAATGGTAGAAATGTATGATTTTGGATCGGGGACGTCAAGTCGTAGTACCAAATTGATTCATGGTGGAGTGCGATATCTACAGAAAGCGGTGTTTAATCTTGATATAGAACAGGTGAGATATCTACAGAAAGCAGTCTTTAATCTTGATATAGAACAGGTGAGATATCTACAGATAGCAGTGTTTAATCTTGATATAGAACAGGTGAGATATCTACAGAAAGCAGTCTTAAATCTTGATATAGAACAGGTGAGATATCTACAGAAAGCAGTGTTTAATCTTGATATAGAACAGGTGAGATATCTACAGAAAGCGGTCTTTAATCTTGATATAGAACAGGTGAGATATCTACAGAAAGCTGTCTTTAATCTTGATATAGAACAGGTGAGATATCTTCAGAAAGTGGTCTTTAATCTTGATATAGAACAGGTGAGATATCTACAGAAAGCAGTCTTTAATCTTGATAAAGAACAGGTGAGATATCTACAGAAAGCGGTCTTTAATCATGATATAGAACAGGTGAGATATCTACAGAAAGCAGTCTTTAATCTTGATATAGAACAGGTGAGATATCTACAGAAAGCTGTCTTTAATCATGATATAGAACAGGTGAGATATCTACAGAAAGCGGTCTTTAATTTTGATATAGAACAGGTGAGATATCTACAGAAAGCAGTCTTTAATCTTTATATAGAACAGGTGAGATATCTACAGAAAGCGGTCTTTAATCTTGATATAGAACAGGTGAGATATCTACAGAAAGCAGTGTTTAATCTTGATATAGAACAGGTGAGATATCTACAGAAAGCGGTCTTTAATCTTTATATAGAACAGGTGAGGAACTCATCATATTGTCTGTACGCAAGGTGTTCTGTTCACCTTTGTTAGAATAATGTCCCATTTCTCCTGTAATATATGATTTTTTTTCCCCTAAATTAAAAAAAAATATCTCTGGCATGGATTTTAAATGAAACATGCCCTTTGATCAATATCGAAGACTTGTAAATATGTTGTTAATTTTTTCAAGTGAAATCTTCCTTTATTGAAATTTCTTCATTATCCAGGCAGTTGTTTTACTGTCAAGCACAGAAAATATACATAGATAACTTATTTAGTATTTTAGTTACATTTGGTCTCTGATTTTCACTTGATTAATGAAAGTTCTCCAGCCATGAAAAAACACTGCAGTTTAGATTGTTTGGGAAAGGTTGGTGGTTATGGAGGGTTGTTGAGGGTAGTGACCAATCAACATGCCAAGCCAAACACCAGTGCTGTCAACAAAAAACTGTAACTTCCTGTCCAAATTTTCTAACAAAAAATGTTTTGAAACAATTATGCCATAATTATGTTATTTATTGTTTTAAAATGAACAAATTTTGTTATATTACAGTATCGTATGGTGATGATATATTTTGTTATATTACAGTATCGTAAGATATGGTGATGATATATTTTGTTATATTACAGTATGGTATGGTGATGATATATTTTGTTATATTACAGTATCGTATGGTGATGATATATTTTGTTATATTACAGTATCGTATGGTGATGATATATTTTGTTATATTACAGTATCGTATGGTGATGATATATTTTGTTATATTACAGTATGGTATGGTGATGATATATTTTGTTATATTACAGTATGGTATGGTGATGATATATTTTGTTATATTACAGTATCGTATGGTGATGATATATTTTGTTATATTACAGTATCGTATGGTGATAATATATTTTGTTATATTACAGTATGGTATGGTGATGATATATTTTGCTATATTACAGTATGGTATGGTGATGATATATTTTGTTATATTACAGTATCATATGGTGATGATATATTTTGTTATATTACAGTATCGAATGGTGAAGGAGGCACTAGCAGAAAGAGCAAACCTGATAGAGATAGCCCCTCATCTGGCCTACTCTTTCCCTATAATGTTACCAGTGTACAAGTATGCTCCTTTTATTTATGAATTTTCTATGCTTTATAAAAGTAGTGAGATTATTTGAGAGCAAGAAAGTCAAAGAAGTAACTGAAAATTTTGTTGGAGAGACTCCCAAGAAAAACATATCAGGAAAAAAATTGTACCAGTCCAACATTTCAGGCATAAAATTGTATCAGTCCAACATTTCAAGCATAAAATTGTACCAGTCCAATATTTCAGGCATGAAAAATGGTACCAGTCCAACATTTTGCATAAAATATGGTACTAGTCCAATATTTCAGGCATAAACTGGTACCAGTCAAACAATTACCAGTGGAACATTTCAGGCATAAATGGTAGCAGTGGAACATTTCAGGCATAAAATCGAACAAGTCAAATATTTCAGGCATAAAATTTTACCTGTCAAATATATAAACTACATAATTATAAAGTATATTGTAACAGACATTCACTTTTCTTGTAAAACTTGTTATTTTTTAATTAAATCATTGATGGATTAGTTATATAAGAAGTAAGTATCATATTTTACCTTTTCTTTCACATTTTTTTTCATAATTTCAGGTACTGGCAGGTGCCATATTATTGGGCCGGGATCAAGGCATATGATTTCGTCGCAGGGAAACAGCGGTTAAAACCCAGCTACCTTCTCTCAAAGAAAAAAGCCCTTGAAATATTCCCCATGTTAAAGAAGGAGAAACTTGTTGGGGCACTAGTATACTATGATGGTAAGACAAAAGTTTAGGATTGTTGGTTATTTAAAGTAAATTAATCTATAATGACAAGTCCGTTTAAGAAATCCAACAGGTTAAAGGTTAAGATGATGTGTGATGTTATAATATGATATTGTAAAAGAATGATCTACTGTAAATCTGGTATTATTTGCTATATTATAATTTTCGCTGTAATTCGTGAATCGGTTCCCCAGCGAATTCATGATGCCGTGTAATTTTCATAATGTAACATACATTATACACAAATTATATCCCATGACAAAATTGTCACAATATGGAAATGAACATATTTTAGACGTCATATCCTGTTATGCTGCGCAAATAAGATAAAAAATACTGCAAATCTAAATTTCTGACCATGCTGTCGCAAATTAATGAATCTGCGAAATAATTCGGTAATGGGGTTTTCCTGAAATAAAGATCACATGAATAAAAAGTGATTTACAGTAGTTACTCTTATGATGATAGTTAGATATGGAAAATGTCTTGAAGGTAATAAAAAGGACGATCAAAGTATGAATGTTGCAGATTTGGTTTGATCGAGCTTGTTCAAGTAGCAAATCTTCCAAAAATTAAGTTGTTTTTTTCTATGTTTTTTTCTCCTTTCTAGGTCAGCATGATGATGCCAGAATGAATATATCTCTGGCCGTGTCTACGGCACGTCGTGGAGGGGTTACGTTAAATTATACTCAAGTTATACAACTTCATAGAGAAAAAGATGCTAATGGCAAAGATGTGATAACTGGGGCCAGAATAAAAGACAGGCTCACAGGTATGTGATTCAATAGCGATAAAAGACCGGCTCACAGGTATGTGATTCAATAGCGATAAAAGACCGGCTCACAGGTATGTGATTCAATAGCGATAAAAGACAGGCTTACAGGTATGTGATTCAATAGCGATAACAGACCGGCTCACAGGTATGTGATTCAATAGCGATAAAAGACCGGCTCACAGGTATGTGATTCAATAGCGATAAAAGACCGGCTGACAGGTATGTGATTCAATAGCTATAAAAGACCGGCTCACAGGTATGTGATTCAATAGCGATAAAAGACAGGCTTACAGGTATGTGATTCAATAGCGATAAAAGACCAGTTCACAGGTATGTGATTCAATAACGATAAAAGACTTGTTCACAGGTATGTGATTCAATAACGATAAAAGACTTGTTCACAGGTATGTGATTCAATAACAATAAAAGACCAGCTTTTCAATTTTTTAACAGAACTTAATATCTATTGTCATGTTTAATAACTTAAATGGACTTGTTCAGTTTTAAGTCTGGACAAATCCTTTGATCATTTTACGGGAAAATTGAAAAAAGTATTTAGCGAATAGCGAACATTTCAGATTATGATCAAAAAGCATGGATGTAGTTGCACGAGATAGAATCAGTTTGAACAGCCTCTACTGGCTTAATAGGTGGCCAACTAACTATAAACAGAACATACGACAACAAAAGATGTCATTCTATAACAAAAGAATATGCGATCATGGGCATCTTTGCAACAAAAAGAAATAAAAAAATGTATGGCCCTTTAAGTTATGAACAGCTTTTTACTTTTAGATTCAAAGTTTTAAGTACAAATGTTTTTTTCAGGTATCACAGGGTTCTTTTTTGTTTTCAGGTAAAGAAATGGATGTTAAGGCAAAGTGCGTGATCAACGCAACCGGACCATATACCGATTCTATACGAACCATGGGTAGTCCTGAAACCAAGAAGATCTGTCAACCAAGTTCCGGTGTTCATGTAGTTCTACCTGACTACTATAGGTAAGTTTATTTATTAACCTTTTACTGCAATGGCATATTGTAAAAAATGGCTGTTTTCAAAAGCCTTCTATTACAAGTTCAAACTGCTATGAAACTATAAAAAATTCTTCAATAGTGATTAAACTTGGCATAAATTGATTAACCTATTGCAATAGTTATACACACTGGCTGTGTACGTATGTACTTTGAGAATTTTATTCCTTTATGTATTAAAGGCCTATGCTTCACAACATAATAATAGATATATAGGCTAAATGAAAATCATTTAATATGATGACAGAAACTTTTTTTTTAAGAAATAGAGGAGTGAGGGAGGCACCAATCTTAATTTTTAGTTATTTTCCCATTTACACAATTATAATTCATACACTATTTCACTGTTGAATTTATCTCGTTTTGTCTTGTCCAGGTTTCAATGTTGAAACTGTCCATTATCTGGAAGTTAAAGTTTTTGAACCCAACAAGACCTGGCTCTTTATTGGTGGCAAAAATCCAATTATTTTCAGCTCTAGTAAAGTATGGGCTAAAATTTAGTAGTGGTGGCATGGCCAAGTGGCTATCAAGTCAGACTAGAAATCTATGGATTGCTGGTTGTGTGGGTGAAAATCCTGTCAGGCACAAACTGTTGTTTTCTTCCTTATTTCCTTGAGCATGAAACATTACACTCATTGCTAAGTACTAATTTATTCGAGTAACGGATTTGAGAATGTGTCTATAAGTTTATAGCTTCCTACACAATCGATCTGAAAAAAAAAATATGTTTAAACTGAAATTTTGTAAACCTTTACATTTATATTTTCAGCCCTAAAAGTATGGGTTTGCTAGATCCAGCAACCAGTGATGGTAGAGTAATTTTCTTCTTGCCATGGCAAAATGTCACCTTAGCAGGTAATTTATATTATCATTATTAATGAGCCGCATCATGACAAAACCAACATAATGCGTTTGTGACCAGCATGGATCCAGACCAGCCTGCACATCCTCGCAGTCTGATCAGGATCCATGCTGTTCGCTTACAAACTAAAACAAGTAAACTGATAGCGAACAGCATGGATCCTGATCAGACTGCGCAGATGCACAGGCTGGTCTGGATCCATGCTGGTCGCAAACCCATTATGTTGGTTTTGTCATGGCGTGGCTCAATTTTCATCTTCATGTAATAATCCAGTGCCAAATGGTTTTGGTAATTGAATTGAAAATCTTTTCAAGTCTGGGCTCACCAAGTTAAAAAAAATTAAAATTCTATAAAAACATGAACATTAGTTAAATGGGGGTGTTTCAGATGGTGAAAAGTAGTAAGAAAAGAAGCTGAGCTATGAATTTTGATGTACACTTTGGGGAAAATTGGGAATATATACTTAAGAACACATCTGTTCATAATTTCTTCCTGTAAAAATGGGTAAAAGTTAAGAATTTGTCTTTTCCTCTTAAGAAGGAGCCTTCAGGTTTAATCTGTAGTAAAAAATAATAGCATGGTATGATAAGTCAGGGTTAATGTAGTGTGTCAGTAAAATTGGGGCCATTTCCTTAAATTAATATATAAATGTGGATGCAATTGAGGGGTCTCCGTGGTTATGGTTTTTCCATTTCTTGTCACTGCCCCTAACTGCTTAGAATAGAGAATTTGTATTCTTTCCTTGGAGGAAACTGAAAAGCTAATGTACAGGTAAGAGCTGGTGCATTCATGAGATTATTGGTTAACGATTTAATCTCTTATTTGAAATAACAGCATAATAGTTTATTTGGAATATTTTATTCTGTTTACATAATATATTCATGTTTGTTAAATACAGTGATCTTTTATTCAGTTCTTTAATTAAAGCAGCACGCCTCCAGATTCATGCTAATTTTCATGAAAATTGAAAAAAATTCTAAAAAGAGAAATTGGATTGAACGAAGAAAAAACCACTTAAAACAGCATTAAACCATAAAATCAAAAGAAAGAGGTCAAAATATGCAAAAATAGCCCTTACTGCATTACTAACGCAGTATAAATATGGTGAAAAATACTTCAAAATTGGTCATAAATCGCATATAACCTAGAAATTATTACTTAAATCTTGAATCTTTTTACTTTTCTTACAATCTCAGTACTATTTTCTCAGATATGATTTGGATTTTCTTAAAATATTTTGGTTCATCTGGAGGTATGCAGCTTTAAGGATGTAGATGTTGATTATGAGTGACATTGTTTATATTTTGACAGGTACCACTGATAACGCATGTGACGTCACTTTTCAACCAGCCCCTACAGAAAATGAAATACAGTTTATATTAAATGAAGTAAGAAACTACCTGCACCCTGATGTAGAAGGTATTTTGTTTTGTTTTATATTGTGGTTATCAATTGAATATGTATAAAATAATTTATCTGTAAGACACAAGCTATTATCATTTAAATTGAATACTTCTTCTTAAATGTTTTCCGTGATTTCTTTATGGCATAGAAAATAAATGTTAATAAGCTTTGGTGTGATCTATATATATTCTTTGGTGAAACTTACGATGGCACGCCATATTTTAATGGAAATTATTATTAATTTCTCTTACATTAGGATGTATCTTTGCATGGTTTTTTATACAGATGCTTTTTATGCCACCGCAGCATCTGCGATGCAGTAGCATAAAGCCATTAACATGTTTTTGTGTTCTATAGATTATAGTGAACTTGTAAAATCTTCTCCTAAATAACGGTAAGTCCAATCAATTTGGCAGGATTATTCCTTGGGTGATAGGCTTCCAAATGTGTTTGAAGAATTTGATTCCATGAAGGAATCTGGTTGTCATAGCAACCAAAAGAAATTATAAGAAAAAAAACCTTTTCTTCTAAAGACCAACAAGGCCTAGAGCTTAGATATTTTGCAAAGTCATTGTCTATTGGACCTCTACCAAGATTGTTAAAGTTAAAGCCCTGGCTTAACTTCACTAGCTGCATGGGTCCAAGCCCTGTCACGAGGCAAGCCGTTGAGCAAGAAACTTTACACCCATTGTTCAGTACAAGTTGGTTTCAGGAATTGATTCAAGAGTGTGTTTATAAACTTAAAGTTTTCAACACAATCAAGTTAATTATTTAAAGTCATAAATTCAGTAATAAACTTACAATAAAGTCAGAAAAGTTCTCATATGTCTGATTTATTTTTAATGTGACTTAAAGTGACTTTCAGCTTTTCTAAATGTATTAAGATTTTTCCTTTCATATAATTGTCAAATCAAAAGAATAAAGGTGGAAAATGAAAATTGCCATCAATAAAATACATAAACTCTAAGGAAACCCCTCGATACCTCTAATCTACAGGTCCACTCTCTATATGTAAATTAGTGAACCGGACAATTTGTTTCCCCGATATTCTATTTTTAAAAACAAACTTCACAATGCACTCTATAAATAGCTCTCGGGACACTGTTTTGAAGAAGGCTTAACAGTGATATGATGCATTTTTCAAAGATAAAAATACTGAAATAGTTTGAAACAACACAGAATTGTTTTTTGCAACAAAAAAATAAAAGTGGAAGGTCCCTTTAAATTGTAACTTCCCCTATGAATACATGCATCATTTATCATTTCAGTGCGTAGAGGTGATGTCCTGTCTGCATGGTGCGGTATACGACCATTAGTTAGCGACCCCAACAAGTCTGATACCCAATCTCTCGCCAGAAATCATATCATAGAGGTGTCACAAGATAAACTTATTACCATCGCAGGTAACAATTTTCAGTCATAATCCAGATAGGGACTTTGGATACTTTCATGTTAAGCTAAAACTCTGGAAAACTTTTTACCCCTTTTTGTGCTAGAATTTTTAACAGACAGGCTTTAACACCACAGTCATGCGGTGCTCTTGTTATACATCGACGTGGTGTTATTTTAGATATATCTACATTTATCCTGGTCATTGATCAAATGATACAACAAGAAATTTTTGTAAGGAGTCTGAAGCTGAAATAATGAACCCAAAGTCAAATTTATGAATCCCAGATGAAATAAAGAGAGCCAAAGATGAAAATTTTAAGTTATACTCACTTAACTCAAAAATGTTCATATACAGAAAAATTTATTACATAAAGACATTAAAGAGATACTCAGGCAAATAATTGACAAAAATATCCAAATTATCTTATATACTCAAATAACGCTTGGACCGCCTCCGTGGTCGAGGGGCTAGAGTTGATGACTTCTAGTCCAGTTACCTCTCTGGCATGGGTTCGATCCCTGGGAGATGCTTTGGTAGTTTAGTACGGAGGAAGGTAGTCTAGTACTGGTGTAATTCTCCAGGAACGATGGTTAGGAAACTACCCGCCTGTATGACTGAAATACTGTTGGGAAAAGGCGTAAAATGAAACAAACAAACAAAAAAACAAAACAAATAACGCTTAACATTTGTTAAATTCCCAGCATGACTTTCTGTATAAATTCTATATATTTTGGGTTTGAAGCGTTAATATATCTATATATGTTGAACGAAATTTAGACGCCTACAGGATCACCGAACAGTTTTACATCAAGCCATTTGACTTAAACAAACCCTGGAAGTTTCAATAACAGATATTGTGTATATTATATGATTGAAACAAACCTAAATCATTCATTTGACATGTTCTATAATGTTTCTAGAGTTTGCTGTGACAACTATTGTGAAATCTTAACACTCTAACCTGACACACATGGGTCAAGTCAGGAAACCACTATTTTATTCTTTATTAGGTGAAAAGTTTTGTTCCTGTGACTGTCTGTCTAGTGTACTCTTTTTGAGGACATTTACAGAATAATGTATGAAAAAATCAAAATAAAGATATTAAATTTTTTTCTGCGTCTCCCTATAAGGGTATAAAGTTATATCTAATGAAATATTTTTTATAAAATTTATTCACAGTAAAATTTAATTGTTTCAATAATCTTAATTTCTGTGTAAATTAATATACATGAATATTATATCAATGTACGTAAATTAGACTAAAATGTCCCTGGAAACAAAATATAAAGCCGCTTTTTCAAGTAGGGTGTTTACAGTTTATCGATGATTTTGTGCACAAGGTAATTCACTTAAAAACAAATATACAAACTTATTCAAACAATGATTTTTGCAGCTATTTATTGTTTTATAGTCTTATGCACTTTTAACTTTTATTATAATTTGGAAGATTATGTCATACAAAAATAATGGATTATGCTGAAATATTTGTGCTTTTAAAGAGACATAAATAAGTGTATGTAAACTAAAACCTGCTATAAATGTGTAATGGATATGCCTGGCTTTAAATTTGGAATATCCCATTCAAAGTTTTAGGGGTTTTGATATGAAGGTACAAAAATATACCTGAGTTACCACCATTATAGAGCCTGGTCAGACTACACAGATATGTAGGCTAGCCTGAGTCTCTGTAATGGTGACAAGGGAGAATCACTCTCAGGGCCCAGGTATATATATATGTATATAGACTCAGGCTATATGTGACAAAGCATTTTATTTACAATTAATCCTTCTTATAACATCTAAAAACACTTTTGAGTCATCTACAAGGTCATCAGTTATCATTTGACAAACTGTCAGCGATTTTTGTTCAGTTTTAAGCTTTTAAATCCACTTATCAGTGTCGAGTTTACTATGTAGCCTCTTTACAGCTTTTTCTGGAGGGGAATTACAACTTCCACACCATGTTATAATAATTACAAGCAAAATTTGTAACATGAAGTTTTTCTTGAAGAGAATTACAACTTCCACACCTTTCAATATTATTTTCAAGCAAAACCTGTAATTTTCAAGCTTTACTGGAGGAGAAATACAACTTCCCCACTTATAATATTGTTTCAAGCAAAACCTGTAATTTTCAAGCTTTCCTTGAGGAGAAATACCACTTCCCCACTTATAATATTATTTTCAAGCAAAACCTGTAATTTTCAAGCTTTCCTTGAGGAGAAATACCACTTCCCCACTTATAATATTATTTTCAAGCAAAACCTGTAATTTTCAAGCTTTCCTTGAGGAGAAATACCACTTCCCCACTTATAATATTATTTTCAAGCAAAACCTGTAATTTTCAAGCTTTTCTGGAGGTAAATTACAATTTCACAACCCCGTTTTGATATTCACAAACAAAATATAATATTTTCCAGGGGTTGGGGAGCTGGTGGGTATTGTATTAGCAGCATTTCTCCTTACATTTTATTATCCAGTCTTTGATGTAAAGCAAATCACTGAAATTCCGGGTTCGGGGCCAGTATGCTTTGTACCGGCAGCATATCTTTGTGGGATTTATCATACAGTCTTTGATATTAAACATCGATGAGATCTGGAGGTTGAGGGGCCGGTGGGTATTGTATTGGCAGTATTTCTCCATGCCTTTTATTGTCAAGTCTTTGATGTAAAACATCAATGAAATCCTGGGGTTGGGGCCAGTATGCTTTGTACTGGCAGCATATCTCTGTGCGATTTATCGTCCAGTTTTTGATATTAAACATCAATGAGATCTGGAGGTTGAGGGGCCGGTGGGTATTGTATTGGCAGAATTTCTCCATGCGTTATATCATCTAGTGACATCTTCCTTGGATCCTGTGAACACAAGTCTGTCGGTCTTTTCTCTGGCACTATGATTGTTATATTAAACGAGGACTTTTCCCATTCACTACTGGCTGTTTTGGTGCTGCAAACTTTGAATTCATATTTTCCGCTAATGTCTTTACATCGTTCTTTTTTCTTCTTGAAAAATTTTCGCCTTTTGGCAAATTTCCAAAGATTTGACAGACAGCACATTATTTTATGAATAACTTAAATACAATCTTTTAAACAATGCTTTTTTTTCGCTTTTTTTCACTTTGGTTTGCATTTGTTCACACTTGTGTAAAGGTCATGCATCAACTTTCAGTCTCATAGTGGTTGAAAAAAGTCTGTACCTGCTCTACAGTTTGTGTGTAGATAAATGAAAGATTGATCCAAGCTTTTGATAACTCTTTAAGAATTAGATGTAGACATACATGTTGCTAGGTAGATTAGATATTTTGGTAAATGTTTTATCACCACTGTAATTCATTTCTGTCAGTGATAATGAATAATTTATTTCAATGTCTTTTTGTATGTGTGCCTAAAATACAGAAATTGACTTCTGTAATTTTTGTCTGAATTTTGTTATATACAATGTATAATTGATTCATGTCTATACAAGTTCAGTTTTTGTCTAAACAGCCAGACTTTTATTTTATAAAATACTTTGGTTGATTTATGAAGATGTAGAAGTATTTCAGTTCCAGAATTAAAATTCAATGTATATAAACAGATGTGTACAGTTTACTAAATTCCAGCATTACATCAAAAAGAGATCACTTTTTTTATAATGACTTTAGAGTTGTACATTAGATAGCCCGTATATCCAATTCCAAACCTTTACAGACTTGTCACAATAAAGAAGTCTTAAGTTCTAGAACTGTACATCATTTTAAGTACATGTTTACAGTTAAGTAAAATTCCAGAGTTTTAGCCTACAGTAGTACACATTGAAGAAGTTTTCCAGAGTTTTAGCATACAGTAGTGCACATTGAAGAAGTTTTCCAGAGTTTTAGCATAGGTAGTACACATTGAAAAAGATTTCCAGAATTGTATCATACAGTAGTATACATTGAAAAAGTTTTACAGAGTTTTAGCATACAATAGTACACATTAAAGAAGTTTTCAAGAGTTTTAGCATACAGTGATACACATTGAAGAAGTTTTACAGAGTTTTAGCATACAGTGGTACACATTTAAGAAGTTTTCCAGAGTTTTAGCATACAGTGGTACACATTGAAGAAGTTTTCCAGAGTTTTAGCATACAGTAGTACACATTGAAGAAGTTTTCCAGAGTTTTAGCATACAGTAGTACACATTGAAGAAGTTTTCCAGAGTTTTAGCATACAGTAGTACACATTGAAGAAGTTTTCCAGAGTTTTAGCATACAGTAGTACACATTGAAGAAGAATTCCAGAGTTTTAGCATACAGTAGTACACATTGAAGAAGTTTTCCAGAGTTTTAGCATACAGAAGTACACATTAATAATATATCCCAGAAATTTAGCGTACAAAAGTACACATTTAACACAAGTTCGTGATTGCAAAATAAATGTCATTTATAGCCGTTGTGGTACACATGCCTTGGTTTATAACTTACTTTCCATACTCCGTTTATGTACATATTTTTGTACATTCCAGATAGTGTAGGATGCAGTGATTATTTTTTTGTTACTGATAAATGCCATTTTAGGCCAAACTTGAACAAAAAAATGTTTACAGGGAAACTGCATATGATAGATATAAAGTAAATTCAGGAAAAGTTTCAATTGCCCATACAGGCTGTGAGACAACCTGGGAAACACTGACAGTTAATTTTGTCACTCCTTCAGTATAATTAGTAAACAACCGACCACATACGTTCTTAACTACCCATTATCAAAATGTCTGGATGTTTAAAGTGCAAACTAATGATAGCCTTGTGGTTAATTATCAGGGAGAACGGAACAGCTGATTTTTAATGTTAAAATGTTTTTAAATGTTTTATCAATTAATTAAAACAATAAAATGTAAACAGTTACTGATAGGGTTAATTAAATGATAGGCTTACAATTAGTTTATGATTGCAATGTAAGGCATGGAGTTCAGATGCTTGATAAGAAGGACAGATGTTTGAAATTTGATTTATTTTTGTTTTAAAATGCTGGCTGTTATGATAATATGGTGTTGCTTAGCAAAGTTTGTGCTTTACTTTATTCTATACATATTTGTAAGCTATAAAGCAGTTTTTCATTGATTCAATTCAAAATTTCAGTGCCATGGTACATGTATTCTTACCAAGGTCTTTTTATCCCAGTGTATTAGGATTTGGTACATTGATTCACATGACTACATGTTATTGTTATAAATAGACTTATTCTGGAATTAAGAATATTTTGGGTTTTTTCCCAGCTGATCCGAAGGTACAAACAAACTTTTACAGTTACAGCTTCAACAATATCTGGTAAGCACAACAGGTTGACTAATCTATTGTGACAAGTAGTGCACTGTGAAGCTATAATGGTAGAAGTTTGTACCTACAAATTAGCTGGGAAAAACCCACATTTGCTGAGTTCCGGATAACATCTATTGTTAAACCTGAATTTAATTGTTCAATACCATTATTCTAATTATTACTACAGGTGGAAAGTGGACGACCTATCGTTCCATGGCTGAAGAGACTGTAGACAGAGCTGTGAAGGAATGTAATCTACAGCCGACTTCCGGTTGTCGAACCAAAGGTTTGTTGCTGGATGGAGCTCACGGCTGGTCGCCAACATTGTTTATCAGACTGGTGCAAGATTTTGGTTTAGAAAATGAGGTATGTGAGTTTTCAGGGTGTATGTTTTACCAGTCAGTTGTTCGACCTACGTTCCTTCTCGATAAATAAATAATTTAATAAGAGCTATTTTTACTCTTCCTGCACCCTGACCTCCAGTATACTAGTTTTATAGCTGAAATGTTGCCAAGAAATTTTTGTATTGCAGTATAGCAATTTCATTTCTAATAGAATTTCTTGATATATTTTATGTTAAGCTATGGGTAATTTATTATGAGGGACATCCGGTTAGCCACAGACCGGAAAAGTTGAAAACTTAGCTGAACTGGCTGGAAATTTGTTTATCAGAAAGTCATTGATTTAAAACTAAGTTATTAAACCTGGACCCGCGAAATTTCTTGGATGGACTTGTTCAGATTTTGGAATTGTCCGTGATCAGTTTACTTAAAATATTTAGATTAAATGTAAAATAAAGTCATAAGTTAATGATGAACGTAGCTAGTGTCTTTAAAATTGAAACATTATGATTTATATTTTCAGGTAGCACAACATTTAGCACGGACATATGGTGATAAAGCATTTAAAGTAGCTAAGATGGCCACACTGACCGGTAAAAGATGGCCGGTTGTTGGACGAAGACTGCATGAAGAATATCCCTACCTTGAAGCTGAGGTGAGTGGTAGTTTATGGGATTGAGAGGGTATATTTTAATTGTCTTGCCGAGCTGCTTCATTGTTAAATTTTGGAGAAATTTATTTGTCACATCTGTAATTTTTGTCACACTTCTAGGTTTACAACTTTGACTGGGCCTATATCAGTTCCATTCAATAACATATTTTTTTCTTTTGTATTTTTGTTCTCTCTGTAAAGAAGTTTGACCTTTTATAAAAATTGCAATTTAAGTAAGAATAGGCAGGCACACTGTCATACCAACAGCTGGAATTTTATAAGCAGAATGTTTTATTTACCCCTAAACCCTTGAATATGTTTAAGCTTACCATTTATCTGCAAGGTTTTTTTTAAAATGAAATTAAATTGACTGTATTACCTTATAGGTGAGATACGCTGTCCGAGAATATGCGTGCACTGCAATAGACGTCATTGGTCGACGCACTCGACTGGCGTTCTGTAATGTACACGCTGCCGAGGAGGCGTTACCTAGAGTCATTGAAATAATGTCTGAGGAACTGAAGTGGAACAAAGAACAGCAGAAAGAACAAATGGTGCGCGCCAAAAATTTCTTGAAGAGAGAGATGGGTCTAGATTTAGGTCGTGTCGAACTTGATATGCCGATCAACTTTACGAAGGATGAGATTAACGCGTATGCGAAGCGATTTAAATCGTTGGACGTGGATAACAAAGGTTACATCACGGTGAATGATCTCAGGAGGTATTTCAAGGTGAGGTTATATTATTAGTTATAAAGAATTTTGACAGGTTATATGACTTATATAAATGGTTGTTTGGACATATAACCTGAGCCGCTAGGTGATGGTTATATGCAAACAACCATTTATATAGGGCCATTTAACCTTTCAGAAATATTATTAACAAATTTATAGTACAGCATGCATCTTCTTTTAGAAAAAAAAAGTGAGATTTTTTTTATAAAATGACAGCAGCTGTGTATATAAGTCTATATAAATGTCACGATTAGCCAATTAAAAGTGACATTACAAACATGCAGTATTACAAGGTTTTTATTACAGATACTGTTACGCGAAGGTTTCATGCCACCTTGGAATATAATGAAATAAATGAATTAATGAGACTTTTAATGAAAACCGTATGGGCCAAAGAAAACAACTGTATGTCTAATCATAGTACCAATGTTGGCTATTCAATCAATGCAAATGTTTAAATTTTCCCTAACTTTGATGAATGGCTATGTCCAGATTGAAAGATGGACAAGTCTGTTGAAGATGTAAAGCATGGTAAGGAGTAGGGGAGGTTATTATCTGATCAACATTAAAAAGAGAATGTATCTTAGATTACAGAGATACATTCTGTTAAAACTACAGTGAGTAACAACAAAATGGATTTGAGAAAAATGAACATAAAAGATTTTGAAAATATGTAGTATCTCAAGCCATTTGTAATGTGACCTATAACATGCAAAATTTCCATAATGAACTTGACCAGCTTTCATTTTTGGAACACTTCATTTTCAATTTTGGGGAAAAACAAGATAAATATTTTGAAAAATTTGAATTGACCAATTGTATAGAACTTGGCCAGGTTACTCAGATTTTCAAACTGTCCTGGATGCATACTTGTAGCAAATGCTTCTTATTTTCAGTTCGAGCAGGTTTACAGGTTTATGCACTTTAAAATGCTTGCTTTTTAAGTTCCACATTTCGAGGAAAATTTTAAGCTCTGCTTATACACGCCATTTTGTTATTGGCCCATTTTGTTGGCATTGGTTAACCTTTTTGGTTGAGCTTTTGTTAATTAATTGTTATTATTAATTTCGGAAGCCTGTATCATTGAAACTTCATAATTTTGATGCAGCTTTATGAGTTCTAACTGCCACAACTATTTTCAGGTCAATAGGTCAAGGTCACTGGGATCTGTGAACTGGCCAAATAAAGCTCATTGACCTAGGAACTCTAAACTTTGCATGAAGATGTACTTTGATGAGTTCTACCTTTGCTACCTTTTCAGGTCAAAGGTCAAGGTCAATATTTCATTTCAGTCAAATTATCTGTTTATTTAGTAAACTTGCAGTACACTATCCATCCCTGAGAAAAGTGGAGTGCACTTGTGCATTGACTGCTCTTGCATGAATTTTCAGGAATTGTAATAATTGTAACTATTTTTCAATGCTAACTAAAACCTAACCATACTTTGCATATGAAATCATTTAAACAGATTCAGGCAGTTTCATTAAAGTCTATTTTTGAAATCTACATTTAGTTATTTACTATATATAATAAACAAACAAACATGAACAAACAAACAAACATGAACAATCAGTATTATTTACCGCAGATGTTTCAGCTGGATGCCTTCATTAGTGCAAGACATGATTTTTTTGGCCGGGTTGCTTGGCAAACCCGGGTTATAGTATGGTGAATGTTGGGCGGTGGGCGGGCGGCGGGTGGGCGTTGAAAAACTTTCGTAACAGTTTTCTCAGCAACTACTTATCACAGCCTTTTGATATTTGGTATACAGCATCAACACATGGTCCCATACTGTGGGATTCGATTTCAGGTCTGTCGCTCATCTACTTCCTGTTTGCCCACTTAGTAAAATTTTCTACATTAATGGTCAATAGTAGGAAATTTTCGTAACAGTTTTCTTGGCAACTACTTATCACAGCCTTTTGATATTTGGTGTACAGCATCAACACATGGTCCCATACTGTGGGATTCAATTTCAGGTCTGTCTCTCATCTACTTCCTGTTTGCTGACTTAGTTAAATTTTCAACATTAATGGTCAATAGTAGGAAATTTTCGTAACAATTTTCTCAGCAACTACTTATTACAGCCTTATGATATTTGGTATACAGCATCAACACATGGTCCCATACTGTGGGATTCGATTTCAGGTCTGTCGCTCATCTACTTCCTGTTTGCTGACTTAGTTAAATTTTCAACATTAATGGTCAACAATAGGAAATTTTCATAACAATTTTCTTGGCAACTATATATCACAGCCTTTTAATATTTGGTATACAGCATTAACACATGGTCCCATATGGTGGAATTCGATTTCAGGTCTGTCGCTCATCCACTTCCTGTTTGCCGATTTAGTTAAATTTTGACATAATTAATGATCAATAGATAGTAGGAAATTTTCTTAACAGTTTTCTCAACAACTTCTTACCACAGCCTCTTGATATGTGGTTCACAGCATTGACATGACTGTGGTCCCATATTGTGGGATTCCATTTCAGGTCTGATGCTCATTCTTTTCAGGTTTACCAACTAAGTTAAATTTTCAACATCAATGGTCAGACAGTGGTAGAAAATTTAAGTAACATCACAGCCTCATGATATTTTGTACACATATGCAACCCGGCCTTTTCTGTCTTTGACCCATTTTTTGTTACTATATATAGTAATATAAATTCCTTTTTTTTTAATCTACATTTTGTTATTATATACAGTAAGATATTGTGTAATATTAAAAAAAATTATATTTACATATAGTTACTTACCGGTAAATATTCTACTCATTTTGAAACTACATTTTGTTACCTTATTTAGTAACGTAAAATATTCTATTCTTTTTGAAACTACATTTTGTTACTATTATAGTAACATAAATATGCTATTCTTTTGGAAACCACATTTTGTTACTTTATATAGTAACATAAAATATTCTTTTCTTTTTGAATCTACATTTTGTTACTTTCTATAGTAACGTAAATATTCTATTCTATTTGAAACTTTTGTATATATATATAAATATTCTATGTTTTTTTAATCTACATCTTTTTGCTGTAAATAGTAACATAATTATTCATATGAAATATTCCATTCATTTTTAATCTACATTTTGTTACTATTCAATTATAGTTGCATCAATGTTATAAAATGATGGTGTGAATTTCAACTGTATTCTTATATTTTCAGAAAATACATGATATGGTAATTTAAAAAAATGAACACAAACTTTAATATAGTAAAGATACAGATTATAATTATATAAATTGCACATTTATATTCTGCTGCATAGTGTATATATTGTTAACAAAGCTTTTATTCTTGAGGGAAAAATAAATGTATTTGCTGAAATTAAAATATTAAATTGGTTCATTCATCACTGAAAGGTCTTTTTACCAGGGTCATCATCACTAAGAGGTCAAGGTCTTTTTACCAGGGTCAAAGGTTTAATAATAAGGACATTTCCAAAGCTCAAACTCAGAACTCGTGGTTTTGATTGGTCTGATACCAACACCAAAGAGCACTGTTCAGATTTGAGACAGACCTCAGTAAAAAAAAGTTTTATAGCCACGAGTCATTGGTCCAAGGTTATAAAAGAACTTTTCTATGCTCATACTAAGATCTCAGGCATTTGATTGGACAAAAATCAGTAAAAAATTTATGCTGACCAATGAAAATCCTGAGATTTGAGACAGATCTCAGAAAAAATAATTTTATAACCATAAGGCCTGGCCTCACGTCCCTTCACCTCTGTTGAGTTAAATCCTGCATGAAACTGAGGATACTATTACTTTTATGTAAATAAGCTAACTAGCTTACATAATATCAGTGGTTCTTCTCAATGGAATTTAGTTTATTTTAATATTTTTGCATAAAATTAATGCCCACTCATTGCCTGAAATTATGCACAGAGTGCCACTCAAGTTCTTCCTCCGCTATAAATTTTGCAAGCAATTTTATACGTCATTAACTATTGAATTTATCTACTCTAATTAACTCAGTCTTGCAGAGTTGTCATAAGGAGGCAGTTGAAGGCTAAAATGACATTTTGGGCTGTCTCATAGCTTAGACAACACTTGTTTTAATATTTGATAAAACAAAAAGTATGAGTGCCTTAGATTTAAACCGGACAGTGTCTGAAAATTTTTAATGACAACTGGACCATGTCGACAAACCTTGACTTGTTATTGAGATAATTCATGTAACTGTATATCACTGTTCAAGTACCATAACTCTAGCATGAATTTTGACTGAATTATATCCCTTTTGTGAACTTTGTAAAATTCCTGATTGTAGTTATGCTTTCGGATTTTGTCTCAACAACCGCTGGAGGTATTAATTTAACAGTACATTCATTATCTAGGTAAAAAATTGTTGGTTACAGACTAAGACCTATAACTCTAGTATTGAGTTTTACTGAATTACTCCCCTTTATGAAAAAAAACACAGATTTTCTTTTTCAAGGATCTTGTTTCAGTGTCAAGGATAGTAGAGTAAGCTGTCTGTCCGTCCGTCCGTCCGTCTGTCTGTCTGTCTGTCTGACAGCTCTTATTATAATAAATTAAACCCTTTACTCACAAAATTTCTTGAATGGACTTGTCCAGATTCAATTTTTTTTTCTTGGAAGAGTCCATTGTTTATTTTGTAGATATATAAAGTTGTTCATTTTCCGCAAAGAAAGTGGTAAATGTGTTGTTTTATTATAGGAAAAAATGATGAGAAATAGTGCAAGCTTTCTAGATCACAAATTGCTGTTAGTTAAATAGTTAAATTGTTTTCACTATAAATTTAGCTCTTTCAATATATTTTTTTACAAAATTTAAAACACTTTTTCAGAAACTTTTAGCAGAGAGAGCACTGACATATAATCTTCAATAAGGAACTGGAAACCTTTCAAGTTTTAAACAATTGGTTTATATTTATTGTAGTCAAATCACATGTTTTAACCATATAATCATCAATTTGATCATTTTATACAAACAATGTGGTGACATAGGAATGTGAAATCATAATTTTTATGCCCCCGCCATGTAATGGCCGGGGCATATAGTGTTACCCTGTTCCGTCATTCCGTCATTCCGTCCTTCCGTCATTCCGTCCTTCCGTCATTCCGTCATCATCAGTTTCCGTTCATTATCTCCCCAACGGTACAACACATTCAACTTAAATTTGACATATGGATATGTCATGAGAAAATACAGGTCAAGTTCGAATTTGGTCATGGTTCGATGATTTTTGGCAGAGTTATGCCCCTTTTACTTTGAAAATAATATGAAATTTTCAGTTTCCGTTCATTATCTCCCAAACGGTACAACACATTCAACTCAAATTTGACATATGGATATGTCATTAGAAAATACAGGTCAAGTTGGAATTTGGTCATGGTTCGATGATTTTTGGCAGAGTTATGCCCCTTTTACTTTGAAAATAATATGAAATTTTCAGTTTCCGTTCATTATCTCCCCAACGGTACAACACATTCAACTCAAATTTGACATATGGATATGTCATGAGAAAATACAGGTCAAGTTTGAATTTGGTCATGGTTGGATGATTTTTGGCAGAGTTATGCCCCTTTTACTTTGAAAATAATATGAAATTTTCAGTTTCTGTCATTATCTCCCCAACGGTACAACACATTCAACTCAAATTTGACATATGGATATGTCATGAGAAAATACAGGTCAAGTTTGAATTTGGTCATGGTTCGATGATTTTTGGCAGAGTTATGCCCCTTTTACTTTGAAAATAATGTGAAATTTTCAGTTTACGTTCATTATCTCCCAAACGGTACAACACATTCAACTCAAATTTGACATATGGATATGTCATGAGAAAATACAGGTAAAGTTCGAATTTGGTCATGGTTCGATGATTTTTGGCAGAGTTATGCCCCTTTTTCTTTGTAAATAATATGAAATTTTCAGTTTCCGTTCATTATCTCCCCAACGGTACAACACATTCAACTCAAATTTGACATATGGATATGTTTCTGGAATGCCCAGGCCAATTTCGAATTTGGTCATGGTTCAATGATTTTTGGCAGAGAAATGCCCCTTTCACTTTGAAAATAATATGAAATTTACAGTTTCTGTTCATTATCTACCCAACAGTGTTACATATTCAACTCAAATTTGACATATGGATATGTCAAAGGAATGGGCAGGTCAAGTTGGAATTTGGTCATGGTTCGATGATTTTTTGGCAGAGTTATGTCCCTTTCACTTTGAAAATAATATAGATACGTCTTAGGAATAAGCAGTTTAAGTTTGAATTTGGTCATGGTTTAATGATTTTGGACAACCTTATCTTTCTTGAATATTGGAAATTTTTTGAACTTTTTGTTTCAGCACTCATACTTTTGTGGAAATGTATGTATAGCCATTATTTTGGCTACAAATATGAAATATGCTATTTTCAAAAGGTTAAGACTGAATAATTTCAGTGCCTTGAATATTGTATGAAAATGGTTTGTGTTAACACTGAAAAGTTTAAAGGGCTTTGAACTTAAAATGAAAACAATAATTTGTGCAAACAAATTTGGAACTAAATATTATAGCATCTGAAATTTTGGCTGCATGCGGGGGCATCCGTGGCATGATGACACATTTCTAGTTTTTTTTTAAAATGCAAGAGTAAATTCAGAGAAGCATAATTGAACATAGTTTATTATTACATGTATTGCTAAAATTGGGACCAAAATTTAGATTTATAATAATGCCTCCCACCAATTAATTATGTCTCCCCCACCTCGGGGGGAGACATATTGTTTTTGCCCTGTCCGTCCGTCAGTCCGTCCGTCCGAGCAAACATTTGATATTTATGAGCTTCATTCCGTAGTTAAATAAAGAACAAAAGCTCATAAAATTCAAATTAAGAGCTATTTTTTTGATTTTATGAGCTGATTTTGCTTATGGACTTTGGTCCAGGTGTAGTTTATGAGCTGACTTACCTCTTAAATATCAAAAGTTGGTACGTCCGTCCGTCCGTCAGTCCGTCCGTCCGTCCGTCCATTCTTCGTTTCCGGACGATAACTAGAGTTCCTTTTGACCTACAGCTCTCAAACTTCATAGGATGAATGGTCTTATTGAGCAGATGATCCCTATTGTTTTTGGGGTCAGTAGTTCAAAGGTCAAGGTCACAGTGACCGTTGGTCAATTTCTCGTTTCCGGATGATAACTAGAGTTCCTTTTGACCTACAGCCCTCAAACTTCATAGGATGATTGGTCTTATAGAGCTGATGATCCCTATTGTTTTTGGGGTCAGTAGGTCAAGGTCACACTGACCGTTGGTCAATTTCTCGTTTCCGGATGATAACTAGAGTTCCTTTAGACCTACAGACCTCAAACTTCATAGGATGATTGGTCTTATTGAGCAGATGATCCCTATTGTTTTTGGGGTCAGTAGTTCAAAGGTCAAGGTCACAGTGACCGTTGGTCAATTTCTCATTTCAATAGTGTAAAAAAATCTGACAATATGAACGTTTGTTTCAAGTATCATCAAAATCCTTTAAAGGTTTGAAGAATTATGGAGCAGACACAATTTCATTTAATTTCATTTGTGAAACTATATATGATGTGACCATCAAGTGCAATTTCGTTTGACGCCCGCCTGCCATACGCTGATTGAATAACCAGGATTTTCAAAATTGAATACCTGGTTAAAAACAAACAGTTTAGGAAGCATCTTCTCATACAACCTTAACAATAGAAACCATCCATAGACAGCCTTCATTGAAGTGACTACCGGGTATTTACATTATCTTATCTCCATTTCCATTCCTGTTTCCATTCACAGTTATTCTCAGCAGTGGGGGAGACATGCGCTTTTTTACAAAAGCATCCTCTAGTTTTAATTAACCTGACAAAATAATTTGGTAAAAGCTACACACAAAATACCATATTCAAAACTACATGCCAAAGAGCAAATGTATTTTGCATGTAGCTTTTACAAATTATTTTGTCAGGTTTATTAATTAAATTTTATTGAAGCTGCTTAAGGGTTGCTATCAATGAGAGGTGCATTTCAAGTTTAGATATATGGCAATGAAGTTGGAAAATAATCTTGTTTTCAACTTAAACTACAATCATGTACTTTTTTGATAGAACATCATTTGAATTGCAAAAACAAACATTGATAAGTTTATATGTAATATAGCATCCACTCTAGTCCAATGAAAGTTTTAAACATCAACATTTGCGCAGGTATAAATTTAATGAAGAAAACATGAAATTTGTCAGAATTATAAACAGTTATTACAGTATTATAAAAATACAGGCAATTCTGCTATGTGATTTCCATTCTTTGACGTTTTTTTTAACTAAATTAAAATTATTCCATAATTTTTTTGCTCTACATTTTTTAACAAATCTGTCAGGATATGTCTGAAGTTAGATAAAGTTATAAGAATTTGTTTACAGGTTATATGGCCCACTTTAAAAAGTTTTAAGCTTATTTGACTAGGAACTGTTAAGCAAAGGTTATATTTGCAGGAACTGGTTTATACAAGGTCATGGTCAATGAAAATAAACATTACAAACATGCAGTATTATAAAGTATTTCCAGTATCTTGTCCAGGAGACAGATTATTATATAACTCTGTTGGTAACTGAATATACCCATGCTACCAGTGCAGACCAAGATCAGCTGGCACATCATTCTGTGAGGTCCAATCATGGTCCCCACTGTTTGCTATTCAGTCAGTATATTTGAAAACAATTCCCTAAAAATGATTAAATAGTTTTATCCATTTAAGATATTTAGTGTTGTAAGGGGCTAAGTTAGACAATGTTTATTCGGTCAAAAAAATTTCAGAAGTTATGTATGAAATTTTCTTTGTTTTGCAGAAAATTGGAGAAAGAGTTACAGAAGATCAACTCCATGATATACTGAATGAAGTAGATCTGAATAAGAATGCTCAAGTTGATTTAGGAGAATTCCTGCAGGTAAGTTATTGAATATGTTAGATGTATATGTATATTTTCTTGACACATGTCACAAGAAAAGTGTACTAAAACTTCTATAAGTACCTGGAAAAGGTTTGCAGGTGAATTCTTCTAGGTGAATCATTGATTATGGTATTTTGTCATAAGAAAATATTACCAACTTCTATAAAAAAACAACTGGAAATTGTTTGTAGAACTGCTACAGTATCTTTTCTTGAGCAATGTCTTAAGAAAAGGGTACCAACTTTTAATAGTTTCATGAAAAGGCTTGAAGGTGAATTCGTACAAGTGGTTCATTGATTATCGTATATTTTCTTGAGTCATTTTTCAAGAATAAGTACCAATTTCTAACATCACTTAAAATTTGTTTGTAGGAATTTCCTACAGGCTAATTCATTGACTACGTTTCATTTTTTTTGAGTCATGTCAAAAAAAAATGTACCAACTTCAACCTGTACCTGAAAATGGTTTGTAGAAAAATTCCTATGTACAGAATATTTTCTTTGAGCAATGTAACAAGAAAAGCTACCGACTTCTACAAAATGCTTTAAAAAAGGTTAAAAGGTGGGTGATTCTGTATGTCATACTGCTTTATAGGAGATGAGTAAATTTATTTTTTTCAACATTTTTCTTGTGTTGTATGATTTGAATTTTGTAGATATAATCATACAGTATTAATCATACTACTTAGATAAACAATTAAAATTGTGGTGAGTGATATAAAGCAATTATCTGATGACCCTCATGTTTGATATGGTTTAATCCCACCCTATTTATTTAACCCCACCCATTTTCTTCAAGTATTTGGATGTTTAGAGTTTGCTTGAGAATATATGATGACAAAATTGTATGTTTTCCATGTAGTGGCTGGCCAACCAAAATTACTAATCAGTCTTTTGGATGAAACTTTAAATTGTGGTCTCGTGAATGAGTGCTTAAACACTTGGCATACTAAAGAACCAGGAGAAGCTTCTGGAATTGGAGCATCTTTCTGTATCTGTGTCTTGCACTATCCTCCAAAATCTAAAATAACTAATACTCTTCTGGAGGACTCTCCCACTCATTTGGGCAACTGGTGGCGAGTATAGATAACTCAAATAAACACATAATTTCCATGTATGTTTTATTCATCCCCAGCTTATGGGAGCTCTTAGAACCCATCAAGAAGATCATACAGACTCCATATTGCCAGGAAAGAAGCACCGTAACATAGCCTCATTCCTACACAGGGGAAAATAACTAACTGTAATCCTGTTCTGCAAAAAATAGTTCCATGTACTGTTTATAAAGTAGTTCATGTTCAGTAGTACATGTAGTTCATGTTCTGTTACCTTAATTATTTTTTTATTCTTTTTAATGTTACAAAAAGTTGAAGTGTTCTGTTCAGCTTTGAATTGAAAAAAAATAAAGCAACCTTTTATATGTTAACATTTGTGTTACTTGGCTGAAAAGGAGGGAAATATACATGTAATGATACTTTAATTATGAAAAAATTATTTGAAGATTTAAAAATACATAGTTTGTTTTGATATTAAAAATGTTGAAGAAAAAAAAGATCATTTGGTGAGGATTTACAAAAGTAGTCCATAACCAGTCTGCTAGTGGCAAGGCAACTGATTCTACCCTGATGCAACCGGAACAGACCCAAGAGCAGCCAAGATCTGTACAGTCTGATTATGTTCTGCACTGTTTCCTATTCAGTCAGTACAGATTTCGAAATAATAATAAAATTCTCCCTATAAATGATGAATGGTTTTGTCCAGATTGAATGATGGATTAGTCCATTTTTGATATTTAGTAATGATAATGGTTAATTTGATAATTTATATCAAATCTATGCATCATAATTATGATGTTGATTTTTTTTTTCTTCTCTCATTATATTTGTAGGTGATATCGATGATTAAAATTATGAAGGGACCGTACCCGAGAGCAAATAAATACGTGGATACGTCAGTAACTATATGAGAATGACAGTAAATAAATCACAGTGCAATATCTATTGTAAGAGTTATGCACCCCTTATAATCTTATACTATTAACAGTTCTACGTTTTAACAGCTATTTTTCCTTTTAAATTTGCTTACTTGCTTATCAAAATGAAAATGTTAGTTTTTGACAAAAAAACGGTAGAAAAAAAAGCAACAGCAAGGAAAACTGGATGCAAAGTGCTTAATTATCAAACCACCTATCCATCACTAATGGTCTTGTTACTGGTATGTAACTAACATTTTTTAAAGAAGATAATTTTACTTCTTGTAAATTCTTCCTTTTTGGTATTTTTTTTTTATCATTTACAAGAACTGCCCTTTGATTGGTTTTATACCAGACTGCTTCTGGAGCCTGCTTGTCCCTACTGATTCTAGTCAGTGCAACCAGTACAGATCAAGATCAAGTAATATATCTGTGCCATCTGATCATGGTCTGCACTGTTGGCTATTCGGTTAGTTCTTAAATATTTTGAAATTTTCCCTTAAAAATGATGAATGGTTGCGTCCAGATAAAAGATGTTGTAAAAGTTGGAAATTATATTGTTTTGATTACAAACTTTCTTGTAAAATAAATAGCATGGAAACTTGAAATTAGTTTAAAGTTTTTAATTCACACGGCTGAGCTTCTGCAATACCTGGATGATGTAAGTGCCTTTAAATTAATACACAGTTGTCGCTCGTTACTAACATCTTCAGAGCGAGAGTTTAGACCTTTTAAAACCTATTAAAAACCATTAATAAATTATTAAACAAAAGAAATAATAAGAAAATATGTTTCAATTTAATATTCGAGAATTATTTTATCAAGATTTCAATAATTTAAACTTATGTGTCAGACTAGATTGAACTGTGGTTACATCAGTTTTCCATTTATCATTCTTCAAACTTTAAGTCTTTTGGGCATTTGTCCTCTGTAACTGTCCTCTCACCACTGATTTAGAAATCATGTAGGATAAGTAGTCAACCACTTGCGGGAAAATTAGTAATTACTGGTTAGTTATCCAGATAGAGCCGGTTAATTAGTTATCCAGGGAGGCCGCACATTATCCAGGATTAGGCTGGTTAATTAGTTATCCAGATAGAGCCATTAGTTAGTTATCCAGGAGAGCCGGTTAATTAGTTATCCAGAAAGGCTGTTTAGGGAGACCTGCCTCAGAGATATGACTCAAAATGTTTTAAATCTGCCAAAGAAAACCGACAATCAAACATACAAAACATAGAAACAAACATACAAATACCATTTCACTTATGGCTTAAGAAAACTCTGTAATGCCTGCTTGTCTTGGAAGACAATTAACAAATACAGTAGATGTAGTCAGTAGCATTTTGATGGTGGTTAAACTGATCTGCTTGCTTTAGAAGTTTTTACACACACAAAACTGTAGTCACTAGCTAAAACATTGCTTCATTCTTATAACAGTATCCACTTATTTCTTTGCTCTCTAAATGGAAAACAATAATAATAAATGTTTTACAAATACTGTAATACTTTGTATATAAGCCATTGTTTGATCCTTGGGCGAGGTGTCATTTCTCTGGGACAATTAATCTCGGATGTTGTGACTGAATTGGTCATTTGTCCCTCACGGCTGATTCAGAAATCATGATTGTGGCATTTATGTCAGTCACTTGCGAAGAAATTGGTAATTACTGGTTAGTTATCCAGGAAAACCAATGAGGTTGTTTGATAGCCAAGATTTGTAAAAAAATTAGTTAAATCAGTGTAAAAAACAAACTGTTTCATAGATACAAAGTGTCTATATAACTAGAGAATCAGAATCAGTTTTAGTGAAAAAACAAATATGAAAGAATGGTGCATAATTATAAAGTCAAAATTAATTTTCACTTATTGTCTTTAAAACTTTTGTTTTGGTTGGTAATTAATACGTGTTTACGAGATTTTTGTTTGGTAATCTTATTTCACTACCGGTAATTAAATTTTTACCATAATTACCTTCAATTGTATAGATGGACATGTATGAGGCCCCATTATTTCTTGTTTTTGATGACAGCTACAGCTAAGTTATGTGATTTTGTAATACTGTGATACTATAAACTTTTTACCAAGACCACTTTTCAGAAACATATATTGAAGAAATTATAGTTATTGAATAGTTCGATAAACTGAAGTGATGTTTTCCTTTCAGATTATTTATTTTTAATGTTTTGTTCACTTAGATTTTACATAGGTGTTAAAAGATGTATAGGTCTATTTGTACCTAATTTTGATGGGAAAATTAATAAATAAGAAATATTACACAGTATTGAGAGCCTCATAACATTGTTATAGGTGATCGATGATCAGTCAGCCTGGAAATACTTATAATGTTCAATGTTTGAGGCTGGCTGGGAGGTGACTATAATGTTTCCGGAGTAAGTCCATTGTTAAAATGTCAACTGGTATATTCTTATTATATAATATGTTAAACCTGGAGTGTTTTTTATATATTTTCATGCACATTTTATTGCATAAATTAAGATGTTGGAATAGTCTTACTCAAATTAAGAACTCTTAGAATGTTTTTGATTTTCCCAGCTTATCTAGGGGTACAAACACACAAAATAAGCGCTACAGATTGACTTATCTTTTGTGACCAATATTTCACTGTGAAGCTATAACTGTAAAAGTTTGGTTTGTACTGGGGGGATTAGCTTGGAAAAAACTCATGTTTGCCGAGTTCAAAGCTACATCTTTAAGTTACATGCTTTTATTGAAGTGGATGCTAGGGAGTTATGGGCTGTTTGTAGAATAGATACACAACACTACCATTTTGGTTTTATTATCCCCCGCTGAAAAGGCGCGGGGGATATAGAAATAGTCTCCGTCCGTCCGTCCTTCCGTCCGACATTTTTGTCCGGAGCATATCTCTAAAAGTATTTGAGTAATCAACTTGAAACTTCATAGGTGGATAGACCTCATTGAGGAGGAGTGCAGTGCACAAGAATGATAACTCTACCCTGCATAAGTTTTGAGTTATTGCCCTTTGTTATTTTTCAAAATTGATTTTTGTCCAGAGCATACCTCCAAAAGCCTATGAGATATCAACATGAAACTTCATAGGTGCATAGATCTCACTCAGGAGGTGTGCAGTGCACAAGAATGATAACTCTACCTTTCATAATTTTAGAGTTATTGCCCTTTGTTATTTTTCATACCTAATTTTTCACCCGAGTGGAGCATAAGTCAAAAAGTGTTTGAGATGTCAACATGAAATGTCATAGGTGGATAGATTTTATTGAGGAGGAATGCTGTGCACAAGAATAATAACTCTTCCCTGTACAATTTTTGAGTTATTGCCCATTGTTCTTTTTCATACTATTTTGTCCGGAGCTTATGTCAAAAAGTATTTGAGGTATCAACTTGAAACTTCAAAGGTGGATAGATGTCATTGAGGATGAGTGCAGTGCACAAGAATGATAACTCTACCCTGCATAATTGTTTAGTTATTGCCCTTCTATTATTTTTCAAAATTAATTTTTGTCCAGAGCATAACTCAAAAGGCCTTTGAGATATCATTATGAAACTTCATAGGTGCATAGATCTAACTCAGGAGGTGTGCAGTGCACAAGAATGATAACTCTACTTATATAATTTTTGAGTTATTGCCCTTTTGTTATTTTTCATACTTAATTTTCAATTCAATTTTTCTCAAAAAAAGTATTTGAGGTATCAACTTGAAACTTCATAGGTGGATAGATTTTTACTGAGGAGGGATGCAGCACACAAGAATGATAACCTACCCTGCATTATTTTTCAGTATTTGCCCTTTGTTATTTTCAGCCATCAGTATTCACACACGTTTCAAATCTGTAATCACTATAGCTATCAGTTTTCATTACCAAAAGACATCTTAAAATGGAATTATTCTGCTGTACTACATATACATTCTTCCAATGAGCAAACACATTCGGCGGGGGATGGCCATGTTGACATGGCTCTTGTTTGGTTTGGTTTTAAGTCACATTGTGAATGTCTATTGGTGACTTTCAAGCTTGAGGCTGTCACTGGTGGAGGTAGACATCTGGTGTCCCGCTGTACATTATTTCCTGCACAAGCAGGTGTACTGTTTTGTTAGATAGATGGGTAGCTTTCTCACATGAAAGAATCCAAAATCCTATGTGGCATTTGAACCCACAGCAGTGAGTGGCAAGTGGTTTGAAGTCAGCTACACTAACCACTTAGCCACTGGTGGTAGTTGTACCTCCACATGGCAGTAAGCCACATTGAATTTACCAGAGCACAGTTTAGCTGCTGCATGCTTTGGCCTCTGACTAATCTTATAGTTGACCACACCATGCAAAATTTATTTGAATCTGCAACATTTTGATTTTCATTTTTAACCTAGCCAGCTTATCTTTAAGGTTCATATTTCTATATTATTAATTTGATACTTAATAGTTTTGTCATTTAAATCTTTTTTCAGTTAATGAATCGCCTCAGACTGGGAAGTGTAACAAATTCAAGATTTGCCAAGGCTGCAGAGTTGAGCAGTGGTGAGAGAATATCTGTAGAAAGAAGTGGAGGCGGAGTCTAAATATAAAGGAGGCAGTGTTTAGATATAAATGAGGCGGAGTCTAAATATAATGGCCGCCAGGTTCTAGTTTAAAGAAAGACTGGTTACCAGTAAATATCAGTTGTGCATCTTTTCGTATCAAGTGTCCATAGAATTTTCAAGAATTCCAATATTTATAAAGTAATAATTGTTAGTTATTTAGTTTTTAGAGTTGTTAATATTCTTTTTCTGTAATTTTATTTGGATGCCTTTATTTTAAAAAATAAAGTTTAAGTAAAACTGTTTTTAAGAATGCTGCATAGCCATCGGCCCATTTTGATTTTTTTAATTAAAAAGTCAACCAATCAGAATACAGGTTACAAAATGAAATTGAGAGTATTTAATTAAATTGACCAATGATAATAGTGCTATCAAAAGAAAATTTGAATCACCATTGTTGTTGTTAATTCTCTTATGAATTATGATATTGTAGACTGTTTGAGAAAATATTGGATTGTTTAATAATTTTTATAGAGTAGATATTTTAAAGAAAAATGTTTAAAGGGACCTTACTGAGCAGTGATATACCTCCTTATGATATTTTATGAAAATAAAAAAAATTATAAAAATATGAAAAACTAATAATACATTTTTTTTCATTTTATTAAACTGATCTTATGACTTAAATACATGTGTATATATATAATTGATAGCAAAGCATGGCAATTAAGATATGCCCTTCTTTTGTTACATACAAAAACATGACTAATTCTTTGAATTAACCTCTTTTCTTCTTGTTATACAGATCAACATAAATGATATAAAAAGTTATAGTGGAATGATATATGATGTTGGCCATATAATATGATGTTTTTGTGATATATTTAAGCCACGTCACGACAAAACCAACATAGAGGGTTTGCGACCAGCATGGATCCAGACCAGCCTGCGCCTCCGCGCAGTCTGATCAGGATCCATGCTGTTCGCTATCAGTTTCTCTACTTGTAGTAGGGTTTGTAAGCGAACAGCATGGATCCTGATCAGACTGCGTGGATGCGCAGGCTGGTCTGGATCCATGCTGGTCGCAAACGCATTACGTTGGTTTTGTCATGATGCGGCTCATTTAACATTTAAGTCTAAGTGTTTGTTGATGTTCGATGAATCTTAACCTTGAATGTTTAAATGTGCTACATGTATATGTTTGAAATGTTCATATATCTAGTAACCGTGCATCATTCTGGAGTCTATGTGTTTATTTGTTGTTTTAAAACGTTCCTCCATATTTGTGAAGATAAAAATAATTGAAGTTTTATACACATTTTCTATCTTTTTTCACGAATAATTATTAAAATTATGACTTCCTGACTCGCCTCTTTTCTATGATTGGCTGATGATATTGAACACTCTGATACTCTTAACCAATGAAAATGCTTGTTACATATTTTGTAGGATCTTAACCAATGAAAATTCAACGTACATATTTTGTAGAATTTGATTCGCTCATAAGACCAAACTACATTTCTATCACACATTTTGATTGGTTGAGCATTAATTTGTATGTTTTCGTACCTTTGTATTTGAATAAATGTAGAATAGTTAATTATATATTGTAAACTTCATGTATGTTTTGCTGAAAGTAAACTAATTATTTTTATTATTGATAAATGTAGTTCCATCAAAATTGTGAACTTCTTTTTACAGTTGTAATATTTGTGCAATTTTAATGCTTGTAAGGATAAAATTATATAATTTTTAACTGCATTGTCAATATGCTGTGTCTGTTATTAAAGTCTTCATGCTTCAAGCCAAGCAGCATAAATATGAGCGGAAGCCTAAATATAGTTTTGCTTAACCCGACGCTAGCTGGCTGCAATTGATTGCACTAACATAACCAGTGCATACCAAGATCAGCCTACACTGTTCACTTCCCAGTCAGTGTTTGTATGAAAATTTTACCTTAAAATAATGAATGGTTTTACCAGATTGAAACATGGATGAGTCCATTTTAAGATATTTGGTGAGGAAAGGTTGATAAAAAAAATGGCATCTGTGGTTAAAGCAGAGTGGATAATTGTTAAAATAGGCATATGAAAAAAATATTTGTACATGATTGTATGTTTCTGTACATATATGTTTGGCTTTTGTTAAATGTTCTGTTAAAGTTATTATTGTGTGTTAATTGACGGAACAATAATTTTAAGGGCATAATGAATTTGGAAACTATCTTAAATCCAGTTGAATTTGATTTTAGACATGTGTATTATGTTTGTGCAACAGAATTTGAAATGCCAATGACTGGGAAAAAAGTTATATTATTTGTGTTATGGGAAATCACCTATATATTGTTGTTTTTTTTTTAATCATCATGGTAAACATACAAGTTATTAGAAATATGTTAATTTTATATACTTTGCAAAGCAAACAATGATTAATAATAAGTCAGCTTTAAAACACCCCTATCTTATAATATATTTATTCAAAAATTTCATAAACATGCCTTTTCATAACCAGTTGTATGAAGTTAATATAGAATATTAAATCTACACTTAACAAAAGTTCTAACCGATCACTTTTTAAATTTTGATTATTTTATAACGGGTCAATAGATCCTTATGAAATTTTGCAGAGGTAATTTTTGTGTCATTTCCTACCGATTTCTGGAAAGAAATATAATTTAATACGGTTCCACGCACTCACGCGGGAGACAGGGCGCAGTTTACACATTTTGGCACGAAATGTTCGTGCAGAGCGTGGTGAGTATTAAATTTTACATTGCATAAATCCTTGTTAACTTTATAAGTGAAAAAACATAAAACATGGCACGAATATCGATGCAGGATCGTGCCGTAGCAGTAGGAATGTTGAATGCTGGAGTCTCTATCAGACAGGTTAGTGGCTGTTCATAACAATATTTTTTTTAAATATCGATAAAGTATTATTTAAATAGAAAATGTTATAACTTTATTATTCTCAATGTGTTCATTCTCTTCGAAACAAAATAAAAATCGGATCTATTGGTTTTATTCTTTTTCATATATAAGCGAAAACTCAGGGTGATCGGTTAGAACTTTTGTTCAGTGTATGATGATAAACAAAGAAGATTTTTTGTTTTGTTTTTGAATTTGATCCTGGTCTATAAATCTTAAATAACACGGGGGCCTGATATAGAAACTGATTATAATCATTTCCATTCCTTGATATACATGTATGATGTTTTATAGTAACATTCTGCTTTGTAAATGTCTTAAAATATGATAAATAAGTTATTTTCTTGTCTATGTTTCTTTGTGTACTATCAGATATTCATTTCACAGATCTCAGTCTTAGGATAATTTGTTTTGGAACCAGTCTGTATTAAATCAAGACTCTGATTGGTTAATTCAAATCATAGATTTGAATTTGACCAATCACAGGACTCCTTTCTCAAGACTGGTTCTCTTTGTTTTCAATGGACTCCATGAAGATTGTTTGGGTTTTTTTTGACATTACAGGACTGGAAATATTATTACAATATTTTTGAATCTTTTCAAGTTTTGAATGTAGGTCTGAAAATTTAGGTGCAGCTCCTTTAAGGTTTTGTTTGAATGTTACAATTCAGTGTAGAACTTTACTTTGAAAGCATGCAAACAAATAGGTGTGACAGTCTTTGACTTCCTTTTTAATCCTGTCACCAATATAAAGGCATAAGTATTGTACATGGTTGTTCTGAAAATACTCTTTCAACTTAAAGAATGGCCTCTTTCAACATATCATTTAGAGTAAGAATTTAAAAATGGACAAAGGTGTATAAAGTTTTGATTTTTCATCTGAAAAATAAGATTAGTTGCATGTTTTTTTATGAAGATAATGAATTTAATGTTAAATATGAATTACATGTAATTGGAAAAAGACCAATAAAAAGGTCAATTTAAAAAAAACAACAACAAACTAGCTAGCTTACAGGACATCAAATTGGTTGCATACTTTACTGAGCTGTGGGTTTAAATCCCATTGGAGACTGTAAATCCTTTCAAGTGAGATACATGTAGCCATCCAGCTGGTTCAAGAAAAGTTTGTGGTTCTACTCAAGTTTAAAAAAAATGATTCAGTTAAGAAGTGAATGATTAATAAATGATAAATGTTCTATGAAAAACAAAAGTGCTAAATGAAATTAAGCTAAGTGTTATCTTATATAAATTGTGCATATTAGAACTTTTCTCTTTTGCTTTTTCTTTTGTATTATTTTTGCAAGTTTTTTTTAAACAATAAAGATTCTATCTCTGTTGAAGTCTTTGTTTTCCTTTCTTTGTACAGGATTGTTTTTTCTTGCATATCAGACAGGATTATCTACCGTTTACACCGGTGCTAGAATCATATAGTCAACATCTTTCAATCTAGAAAACTGAAATTTCCTGTGCGAAAGGGAGACAAATCAGGTCTTAATAATGCATGGTATGAACTGCCTGCAGCTAAAATCTTGAATAACTTTCAGCTCAATCATTAACAGCCTTATACCCAACCTACCTGAATTTTATGTAATGGATTTGCCCAGCTTGAATTTGGAGATTCCATTATTAAAATGCTGGAATCAGACAACCAGTGGTAACCCGGGTCAGACTGCTTTGAAATGCCAGACTTTGAAGATTTATTTGAAATTTCTCTTTTTCCAATTCGCAGTAACCATTTGATTATATTGGTAGTAACCAGTGGTGGCACGTTCGACATTCCGATTCACACACATACAATACTAATGATCTTTCGGGTGAGATCTTAAATACCTAGGTCCACTTTACTGCTCTTCACCTTGCATGGAACTACCAAGGTCGCATCTGGAACGGGGCAACTGCTGTGTCATGTACTCATTATTCTCTACAAGGTGAGTCACAATATAGACAACTGAATGCAAAAGATAGAAAATAAAGAATAAGTTTTAAGCATCCATCGGCACAATACAATATTATCATTGGCTTAGTATGATTGAGCGTGCCTAACTTTTAGCCTTTTTATTTCTCATCTGTCCCTTCACTGCAGTGTCAATGCGTTGTTACTACTGTTTTGTCGTCGAAATAATAGACTTTCATCGTATATTTTACCATACATACGATTGTCCCTGCAGGACAGACCCTTTAGCAATGGTCTGATAATTTAAGGCAAAAGTCCTTGCTATTTCCCTGATATTAGAGAACTGGGGCTATTATAATGGGGGTTATAGTGCAGAAGATTATGAGGGAGTTATGAAAGAGTTTATGACGGGGTTCATGGAGGGGGTTATGACTGTCTGGTGCATAAGCAGACATGTGTGTGATTCGTGCTACATATTAGTATTGATTGATTAAAAAAAGAGCTGAATTCCATGTTAAACAGGCATTGACAAATAGAGAAAATGTCCGTGAATAATTACACTTACAGTATATATGAAGAATAAAAGGTCGAACTGGACCCATAAGCGTTGTCCAATATTGGGGTAGATTTGTTCACTATTGGACTATTTGAGCATATTCGTATACGCGAAGGTTTGTGGCACTGTATCAAAACTTCTAATGTGGCGGTTCATTGCACACCGTCATATATTAAATATTGTTCTTTAGCGAAGTTTGAGGCCCATCGTATTGGATATGATCGGCGCTAAGAATACCCACAGATATATAAACATATTGAGCTCCATGGAATACCATTAAAAGAAACATTGTTAGTGACAACAGTCTTCCTTACCTCCCCCTCCCTGACCATCGCCCAGTAACCAGCCAAGATTTCTTAAGACTAAAATCTACCCCAAAATTAAATGTACAACGATAAATGAAACAGCCATGTTGTTATCAAAGTCAATTAAGGTAGGCATACGTTGATTTATAATAGAAATCACAGATGTTAAAATTTTGCGACATTTACTTTTTACGCAGCATCACATTTCACCAGTGCACATTGAGCATGTTTAATAAATTTGTGTTTGTTATAGAATTAAATAAATGGAATATCATACCGTGTGTCTCAACTGTATTTATTGAAAATGCCAGTATGATGTGGTAAATATTGACACACATAAGATATTTATACATGCACATTTATAAGATTTGTTTAGTCTGATTGATTGACATTCTATCGTATACCATTATCTAAATATAAAAATCAAGACATTTTCATGCCGGTTATACATTTGAGCGATTTGGTCCGAGCATTATGCACGTGCAGCTTTTACTAGGTTAAATACACAGTGTGTTTGATATGTCTGATTTTCACACCATTTAATGTATTATTTATTTTTCATATATGTGCATAAAAATAAGTGTTGCCACCGTTATTTCTACAAAATTCAAAAGACTTACATGTAGTTCGAATTTTGATTGTATAGTTATAAAATTAACGCTGTCAGATTATTACATAACATCTTTAAAAACAAAATAGTTTTAGCTCGAGTTTGTTTTCCAATTACCGGCGACGATGATCCTTTGCCGATGTATGCCGGAAACGATTGTACCCCGATTAATGACGGAAACGGCCGAAACGTTAGTATATGGTCAAAGGAATGTAACTGTCACATAGTCCATTTTTTATTAGGAAAGTCAGATTAGTATCCCTTGTTTTGAAATGAAATTTTGTATATTGCTAGACCAATGGAAAAAGTCGGTTTGGTTCCTGTTAGCTTTTGACCTTTGCGCATTATTTTGAACAATTATTTTATTGTTTTGATTGTTTTTAACTCTTTGAAAGTACGATTAGGTGATTCAAAGTGTTTTCTTTCCATTTTGATGATTCTGCCTGGATTTTGTGTCACCAGTGAGCCAGAATCTGGTTTTCAGTGAAAGTATGTATATTCGAAGGTTTTTTTTTACGGTTCAAGGAGATATAATGAACTAATATGATAAAAAGTTTGAAAATGCACTCTGTAAAAATTGAAATTCAACAATTAAAGAGCGCAAACAGGTGCACATGTTGGTAAGGAGACAGGAACCAAAATGTTTTTTCCAACTTAGCCTTGGAAAAACAAAATTTCATTTCAAATCAAGGGAAACTAATCCCGCTTGTAAATCTCAATATTGAGTTACCTCCCTCTGGTGTAAAATTTGAGATCTAGCCGTCCTGAGTGAGAACTGTGTCAGAACTGTGCTATGGTGAACTGCCATAATCCAGATAGTTAACTACCACCATAACCACCACAACAACAACTCCACTGAAAGGCCCTATGAAAGATAAATATGCTAAGAATGATTTTTTAACAAGTTTTAGTTTGACAAGCATCAGTCAAAATATGTACCCTTGCCGTAGAAAACGAGAGCAATACGCACTTTTTTCTCTTAATTTCCGTCTGTATAGAGAAAAGCCAGGAACGTAGAAGTACATTTCGGGTTTTTTTTTAATCTTTGAATTTTTTTATTTAAGTGTTTAAAATGTATAAAACTTACCATGTGTTTGACATTTTTTTCTCCTTCACATCGAGTTAAGACACACATCTGGAGCAGCGGAAATTCACATATATTTTTACCGATGCTCAATTTTGAGATCCATATGGGGTTCCACCCCGTGAGTATCAATGATGAACAAAAGTTCGAACTAGACCCCTCAGTTCTAAATTACTGGTGGTATACTATAATATAACATTAGTACAAATTCAATTGTTTAAAAATATTATTCGTTTTACTATTATCTTATAAACACAATATTAATTTGATTTGAAGTAACACCAAAAATCCGTACATAAATAACATAGATGTTATCTACATCTCTGCCAAAACCAAAAGTTAAATGTCTTGTGTGGCTTCCACATTTCAGTAATAACTTTCAAAATTCTATTTGACATGAAGAGAATGTAAAGTCTGATTGGCTGCTAGTCTATCATCACTGTTAGCCATTATCTAAATAAAATGTTCATGCCGATCATACATTAGACCAATTTGGTCCGAGCGTTCTGCACACAAAACATCGAATGGGCAACTTATATTTGATCCAATCAGAAATGTAGATAAGCTACCACCACGATCATCACCGCCGCAACTCCATTGTTGATCTCCGTGCACCGAATATGCCAGGCCGTATGAAGATATTATGCTAGGGGCTGTTATTTTACAATGTAACTGATAAAAGTAATAGTTCTTCTTCTTTTTTGACAAGCAACAGTCAAAAACTGTAGCCTTGCCCACCACAAGGCCTGGCTGGTGGGAATACGTTTAGCTCGCTGTGCGGAGCCTTGTAGCATATTTTTCCCAATCAACTGTTAAAAAAAACGACGTTACTTTTAAAATGCCTATTTTAAGGCTATATATGGCGAACGAGGTCTGGTGTTTTGAACAATGACTTTATGATTTCTTCTGGAATGGGCCGATGGAAATACCTTTATTTCCTAAATTCAAATGTTTACTGGGATACTATACAATACGTTAATGATGAAAGGGTATCCCATCTTCACGTTCAGTGAATGGACAACGACGTCTTTTAGGCATACGAGGGGTTATCCAAAAATTCGTGGACTTTCTTTGTTGCGTAAAATATATTTGAGATATTAATTTGAAATTCTTACACTGCTTAGAAGAATAAATAACAAAATAAACACAGAAAAATTCACGTGGGTAGCTTCTTATATTACAACAATATTTAATTTTACATTAACCCATGTCGGCGACAGCGGCGCACTCCAAAAAGTTATTGACGTCAACGTCATAATATTAACGTACAACTTGTGCTTCAACGTTACGCAGTCAATGACGGTTACTGCTTCTCAAAGTAATGTCCATCACTAAATTTCTTATGTCACTTTAACACTAATGATCATGAAATTTTCTTTTCTCTGTTCGTCTGCTGATTTTTATCAATGTTTTTGTAGGTGCCATTCCCAAATTACAACAAAAATTTATGATCGTATTAAGATCGCGCCATTTTCTAATTACCGCGTGTCCGTCACTTTTCCGTTGTAAACAAAAAGGCGTCTGGCGTTTCTAGCGATATCAACAAAAATAAACGGAAATGACGTCCATTATTTTACAGAATTACTAAAATGACATCTTAGAAGAAACATGCGATGTTCAGTGGGTTTTCTTCCTTAATTTTATAGTTTTTTTAGCAAGAAATATACGATGACTTACTCCGATTTTCTACCGTGCGCCGGGTGCCGTGTATGTGCTTATTTAAAAGTCATATAAAATCATTATTTATTGGTACAATTTACTGTTCCTTTCAAAATGTATTGATAATATTCTACAATGTACGCTGATAAAATTTCATTACAATACACGTTGACTTTCAAGAGATATTTCAAAAGTCCAGGAATTTTTGGATAACCCCTCGTATGTTCCCTTTTTTTACACCGTCATGACTAGTGATACAAACCTATGTAAACCCTTGTAACAATGGTATCCCATTCTTAACTAGTTGAAAAAAGAAGTATGTTTTTATGACATATATTTGAGATGTCACTGTCCGGTATTTTGGAGTGGGAATAGCTAAGCTATCCTTACTTAAAGACTATAGTGAACGCTATTCAGCACTACACTAAATCGGACCTTCTCGGTCGTTTCCGTTAAACTTAGGATAATGACTATGAATAATTGCCGAGGTGTTGTACATATCATTACAACGTGTTCCCTCTTCAACAAATTTTTGAATTATTATGGTTCTATGGTTCTGCACATACCACTTTCCAAAGGGACAAGGGATATAAGCCCAGAGGGCATTGTCCCATTTCATGGCATTCTTCTAAATAAGATCGATGTCATGCAACAATGACATCTGTAAAAATCATAAACACATATTTGTATATTTTATTTTATTTATCTGGGAAAAAAATCAGAATATATTGGTTTTCAGTTAAGTACGAATTGTGAAAGTGTTTGTTATAACTGCGGAGATAGAGATGGGCAATTGAGTGCTCCATATCTGGGAAGATGAATTAAAAAAATTCGCCTTGCTTCCTACATGTCTTTGGGGGAAATGAACGTTATTTTGTGCATGCTAGGTTATAAAACTGCACGTTTTTCACGTCGACCGTGATATTGATAACGAATATATCATAAGTCGGTGCTCTATTTCGCTAAAAAATGTTGCTGTTATCATTGCATTGTCTTTCACGCAATGCTTGGTTAAAAAAAAACAACGTATTTTCGAAAACTGTTGCAGACAACCTTATAATCCCTCAAAATAATGTCGTAATTTTGAGAGCAACTGAGTGAGGCAAAAGATAGGCTATCATGAAACTTATAAAGGCATCCATGTCTCCGTTATATTATCATAGGTTAATGATAAGACATGGGTCGCAGATTCGATTCCTTGTTCCATCATTAGCGGTGCCAATGGTACATAACCTTAAACGTACGGTGTCCTTGTCGTGCCATTTATAATAAATGTCGTGACGTCCATTGTGTTTAATGGTCGACACACGACAGTGCGTAGTGACATCGCGCCATATTGGCACTCTGTATAAATCTATATACATGTTTATATTGGTCTATCCTTTACAAAATTATTGAATGAATTTAAAAAAAATACTTCTAAAATTACCTGAAAGAAAAAAAAAATGTTTGTATATTAAAGCACGGATTGTCAATTAAAGTCCGTGATTAAAGGAAAATGGCGCATTCACAAAATCATTAAAACCCTACTTAAAGGCACATAATGTCCCCATAAAATGCTTTCATCTTTTTCTTCTGTTGCTTTTGGCAACTAGTACAGTTATAGTGATTTAGTATTTTGTATGGAATATGGAAGTCAAAATACTTCTTTGTTTACATAATACATTTTGTTACTTTTAAGACAAATACATTTAGCGCTACTTTCTTCAGGTAACAAGCCTCTAACACGCTCTTATCATTATCAACTAACCGACCTTAAGTGGGTGAAAAGAAAACAGAAAGCCTAACGTACATGTATATATTATATTCTTCATCTTCATGTGAAATATTTAAATATATGTCCCCAAGACCGCTTGGGCTTAAAAAATGCATTGAGGGGCATCCGTTGTCTTCCTCTACTTATAAGGCTGGAAGAGTCGTCATGTGATCTTTGGCGTGTGTGACGTCAAAACCATGCAACCATGCCATTATCCAATGGGCAACAACAAAAATAACAACAACAAGATGAACTTTGTACAGTTTTTATTATCGGAGTAACAATGCATCATAAAATAACGGATTACCATTGTTGTATCACAGCAGACAGAAAAATAAATGTACAATATGGGTGTTATTGCATTGTAAATATGCAATATATTATGTTATTACATGTGTGAACATGTTATAAATATGTTATTACACACTTAAAGCATGTTATTGCATGTGGTAAACATGTCATATTTATGTTATTACACATGTAAACACAAGTTTATTATATTGGAATTACATGCGTAAATATATTATAATAATCATGTTATTACAAAAAGCCAACATGTTACAAATAATGTTATTGTGTTCTGAAAAGTGAAAATAACATGAACTATGCAACAAAACATGATGTCTTTTTGTTTGGGTTTTTACATGTGCAACTTTTAACCTGTTATTTATCTTAACTAAACTTGTCCAACTTCCATTTTTTCTAAATTGTTGGACTATGTCCATTATCAATTTTGGCGATATCAAGAAGAAAATTTAAAGGTAGCCAGTCTACAGTATTGCGTTTGGTTATTTACTGGTGGCAAAGGCAAATCAAGTCTGGCTCTCAACATAGGGATCATGGGTTTGAGCCCTACCTGGGTTACGACCATGTTTCTTCATATAATACTGGTACAGGTTGGTTCCAGGAAGCGGACTCGCATGTGATTACTCGCAAGTGATTAATGTAAGTTGCAAGTACCTGTTTTGCAATCGAGCTTAAATATATATGTTTAAACTTAAGGCAAATCATTTTTGGTTCCAGCAAAGTAAAGGTTATATAATAACTTATAATTATGTTATTACAAATAGCTAACACGTTTAAAAAAGATCATGTTATTTTATGTTTTAACATATGGCTATATCATTTATATACATGTAAACATTATGTTAATATGTAATAACAGGTTACATGTATATTTAAGTTATTAGGATGGAAAACATTTAAATAACCATGGTATAAGAAGCAGTAACATTATACAATTATGTTATTACACATGTGAAAATATTTTAAAATTATGTTATTACACATGTAAATACATTCTAAAATTATGTTATTACACATGTAAATACATTCTAAAATTATGTTATTACACATGTGTATATATTCTAAAATTATGTTATTACACATGTGTATATATTCTAAAATTATGTTATTACACATGTGACATTCTGAAATTATGTTATTACACATGTGACATTCTGAAATTATGTTATTACACATGTGACATTCTGAAATTATGTTATTACACATGTGACTTTAATTTTTTTTGTTATTACACATGTGAATACATGTTATTACACATGTGAATATGCTATGTTCATGTTATTACACTTAATGTTATTAAAAGTACAAGGTAAAATTCAAACATTGTTTCACCAAAATATTGCAGATATCATAAAGACTTTTTGCTTATTTCAGTAACATTCCTTGGACAAAAACGTGAATTATTTGCATGTTACATTACAACACATCTTAACATGATGATGATCAAGTAAATATTACATAAGATGTTTATATTTGCCTATCTTGTTATCTTGTGTAAACAATTTCTGTTACATTAATCATTGAGTGACTAAACTTTTTTCCCAATATTATTATACAATGAGGGACTTTTATGCTAACATTATCCTATATTATACAATGAGGGACTTTTATGCTAACATTATCCTATATTATACAATATGGGACCTTATGCTAACATTATCCTATATTATACAATGAGGGACTTTTATGCTAACATTATCCTATATTATACAATGAGGGACTTTTATGCTCACATTATCCGATATTATACAATATGGGACCTTATGCTAACATTATCCTGTATTATACAATAAGGGATCTTATGCTCACATTATCCTATATTATACAATATGGGACCTTATGCTAACATTATCCTATATTATACAATAAAGGACCTTATGCTAACATTATCCTGTATTATACAATGAGGGACTTTTATGCTAACATTATCCTGTATTATACAATATGGGACCTTATGCTAACATTATCCTATATTATACAATATGGGACCTTATGCAAACATTATCCTGTTTTATACAATAAGGGGCCTTATGTAAACATGAGCAGGATAAAGATTAATTGACTTTCTAAAAATAGATCTGTATCTCGAAAACTGAAAAAAAAACTTAAGATTTTTTATTCATTTACATGTATATATAAAAAAGCTCCTTATAATGTTTAAAACAACTTAAATCAATATACAATTTTTATGCCCTATGTTATAACAAGCCTATGTGACAACAAACCGTATTTCCTGCAAGTAAAAATAGAGAAAAAAAGTAACATAATAATCTAAGTAAAAGGAAAAAAAGACAACATACACAATTATATAATTAAGATTTAAAAAACACCTAGGAATTTGATATGACATGTAAATATACATATGTATTGTCACAAATCTATTAATGTCTTACACTAGTCCAAAGTACTTACAAATAATATCAGAATAAAGAAAAAAAAGCATTTTACTGATAAGCCCAAATCAATGAGAAACATATATAATCATTGAAAAAATTGAGACTTGTCAACTGAACATGTACAATTATCATACTATAGAACCTCAACGTGATTTCTGACATCAGTGTGGCAAAAAAAACCAACAAATTAACCTTCATTCCGCTAAATTTGCCACCTACTTAAACTTTCGATTTTTGCTGTGATTTTAAGAAATTTAAGAATCAAAAAACCAAAAAAGAACAGTACTCATACTGGCTAAGCAAAAAGAATGGCCAATATTTTTATCCTCGAAAAATAATAGCCCTAAAATAATGCAAGCTTTTCATGACTTTATGATTAAGAACAGCGAGAAGTTCCTGGGAATTTTGACTGAACTTAACATTGATGGTATACACATGTTTTTATTGTTACTAGCATGTCAATATATTAACTCATAACCTGCCATAATTCTTGAATGCACTTGTCAAGCTCCCATTTTGATAACTCACATTATCAATTTAAGGCATATAAAGATAAAAATTTTTGCAAATGGTCAGCCAACAATATGGAGACTGGTCAGACTACAAGGATACACAGGCTGGCCTGGCTCTATTATGGTGGCCCAAGGCTAATAATCTTTTGGTACCAGCAGATTAAGAATTAACAGTTATTTTGATGTCATTAATTTGATGGAAAACAAAATATCATCAATAGCTATTTAACAGCTTACCCACTCCTTTTAAGTAGCCTCTTCAATTCTAAAAATAGCAATCAAATATAAAAATAGCATCAAATCTAAAAATAGCATATAATCTATATTCATACAATGTTTTTAAAGCATTTTCAGCATTTCAGGTAAAAAAATGTTTGTTTCCCGTCTCCACTGTGGAAGAAATTTACGATGACGAAAAACTATCATCTTTTAAACCTCTATAATTTGGGACTAGCAATAAGAGGCCATGTATAACAATTAGATTTTTGTACAAAAAAGCCGAGCTAAAAATCAAGACTGGACACACAAAAAGAGACCAAAAATGAGTAAAAACTTTACATTTTCTAATCCAAAATCAATGGATGTTACAAGAAATTAAAAAATTACACATAATGTAATAGGATATTTATATTTGAGCAACATTTATAATATTAAATGGCACATACTCCAGTTTATACCTAATATATATAATATTTGAAAATTGCGACATGGCGTCCTTTTTCAATTTTCAGAGGAGAAATATCTACACACAAAGTCGTTAAAAGACAAAAAATGACAAAATCAATGCAACATAAATCAATACATTTAGATAAAGTTTAGTGTAAACACAAACTAATGTTTAAAGGCACATTAAGTCTCAAAATCACCTCAAAAACTTTTCTATTTTTGGTTCCCCTTTATAATTTCTGACACAGTACTGATTTGCTGCATAGCTGAACCATCTTTTCTTTGTTGCAAATGGTACAGTTCTAGCTAATTAGTATTTTGTTTGAGAGTTAACATACAACTTTAATTATGTTTTGCTATGTTTTGTGCAATTTTTCACATTTAGTGATTTTTTATTCCAGTAATAAGCCTATAATGCATTCTAAATCCATTATACAAACATTATGAAACACATGTTTTTACATTCTAATGGAGAAAAACTATTAAAATATATGTTTGATTTCTGAAACTTAATGCGCATTTAAATGAAACAGAAACAAAAATTGCTCACACAGATAGTGCAACATATAAATTAACTACAAAACTTTCAAGAGAAAAATATTTTGTATTTCAAGCACAAGAAAGTATCAAAAGGGAGTAATCAACTTCTTGTCTGCAATTTTCTTTCTTTCCCCTCAATGCAACTTTGAGTTAATTTTATCCTGGAGAGGAGTCTAGAATTTATATATAGTGCAGGAAAACACAACGAGGAAACACAGTTCAAACATCGGTTTCTTTTTAATAATAAAACATTTTAAATAAAATATTCATTTTCTAAAAAACAAAAACACAGTTTTGGTATGGATAAAATGATATAATAAAAAAATATGGAGAAAAGTTGAGATAAAAAACAAAATGATGTAAAGTTTGGTAACATCTGGATTATTAAGTGGATAATATTTGTGTCAACAAAAGTCTCTGGATTATTTTTCAAAAGATGACATAAAAATGTGACAAAAACAATGGATTGTGGAATTGTAACTTTTTGGCACAAAACGAAATACGAAAAATACTTTAAGAAGTCTGTAGGGACAGTAAAGTTGTTCTAAATTTTTATTTTGAGAGCATGTCATTTGACAGCCTGAAACTTGAGAAACACATGACCTTTACACTCTTTGTTATGTTTTTTTAATGCAGATTTTAAACACATTTTTTAGACATATCTTCGCGGATGATCCGATTTACCATCACTACTGGATGGCTAGCCAGCATTTTTCTCCACAAGTGACTGACAACATGGATGTGCATGCTGACCTGGTTCTACACTGATGGCACATTATTGGCTAGTCAGGGAGAAGATGGGTGGCCTAGCAGTTAAGGTGTCTCGCTCTCAACCCAAGGATCATGGGTTCGAGCTCTACTTAGGTCACCACAATGTTTCCTCTTATGACACCAGTTCTGGTTAGTTCCAGGTTAATTTCAGGAAACTGACTCAAAAGTGATTAACATAAGTTGCAAGAACTTATTTCGCGCTCGAGCAAAACTAAATATGTTTCAACTAAGGCTAGTCACTTTTAGTTTCAGCAGTGGAAGGCTTAATCAATAACAGAGATGCTCAAAATAATTTTACACTCCTATTTAGGATTTCTATATAAAAACAATTTCAACCATATATGCTAAAATCATGGTTCATTTCTACTCCCTTTTTTTGTGTCCAAAAAGTTACAATCCCAATTTTATACAAGACAAACATGGAACAAACAATAGATAAGAATTAAGCAACTTGAAAGTGAATAATATAATGTAGCACACTTGTTGTAAACATAAAAACAACTTTTTTATTACACAAAACTAGCAGCATAAATATAAAATGACCGTGAATAAATAAAACTATATACATGTCCTAACAATGAAAATGGTTTGGTCAATTTAATAAATACAAAAATTATTTCTATGTTATTTTCTTCATAGAATACAAATTCAGTGATGTTCATCAACATAACTCCCATAATTTAAATTCAAAATAATAAATAATTTGTAAAGTATACAATTTACAGTTACAGGAGACATTTTTATTTCTTTTGATTCAGTGCAATTACTTTACACCTAATACTAGTACACCCTGATTAAGAATCCTTTTTTTGACTATGCCAGTTCAATACAAACATTACCCTAAAATTCATTATGCTTCTATTCTTTTACCCAGTATCATACTCTCATAAATTTCTATTTCTACCCAATAGTAAGACCAAAATTTACTACTCTTACCCAATAGTAAGACCAAAATTTACTATTCTTACCCAATAGTAAGACCAAAATTTACTACTCTTACCCAATAGTAAGACCAAAATTTACTACTCTTACCCAATAGTAAGACCAAAATTTACTATTCTTACCCAATAGTAAGACCAAAATTTACTATTCTTACCCAATAGTAAGACCAAAATTTACTATTCTTACCCAATAGTAAGACCAAAATTTACTATTTTTACCCAAAAGTAAGACCAAAATTTACAATTTTTACCCAATAGTAATATCAAAATTTACTATTTTTACCCAAAAGTAAGACCAAATTTTACTATTTTTACCAAAAGTAAGATAAAAATTTACTGATTTTAACCAATCATAAAACCAAAAATTTCCTATGTTTACCCAATAGTAAGACAAAAATTTACTATTTCTAAATGAAGTCCTAGGTTTTACAAATAGAAAACCCGTTATTTTCCTATTTATATGATAAGTGAGACCATCATTTTTCTTTTTTTTACCCAATAGAAAGACAAAAAAATTCATTTTTTTTCCCAACAATAAAACTAAAAATTTCTGTTCTATTTTTACCCAATAGCTAGACAACTATTGCCTTTACCAAACAGAGAAAACCAACAATTCTTATATGTATAACCAATAGGTGTTCCAATACGGAACTAATGTGGAAAATATCATCCTTTTGAAAACTAGTCTATACAAATATTACCCAGTAAATTTAAATTTTAGCACAATTAAAACCCTGAATTAATAAACATAATAAATAGAGTATGGTTTCTTGAACACACACATTTATTACTTTTATATTCCTTAGTAATAAAAAAATACATAAATATTTTACCTAAATTATTCGTTATCACAAACTCATAGTACACTCTAGCCAATACATATTTAAGTATGCCTTAAAATATCTCATTCCTAACTCTAGATATTGTCCAGAAACCATTTTTCTATTTTTAGTAACAGTGACCTTGACCCAAGGGGGTCCAAATAAAATACAATATTTTTACCTGAAACTTAACAAAAATACCATTCTTACTTTTTATCAAAAAGACAAATAATAATCAAGATTTACCTAAATATTATTTCCCTTTTCCAGAAATAACACTTTCAATAACTATAAATCACCTTTTATTACCCCATTTTTATATTTACTTACCCCAAAACAACATCTTTACTAACCCAAATATTATCTTTTACACACTGCAATATTTATTTTAAAGGAAAGTCGATACTGTGCTGTGTAGACAGCCAATTTAAAAATTACACCAAAAATTATTGCACCTAAAAAGTTCATTTCTTAGTCATAGCTAAAGCTATATATCCCACCAAATAACTTTATCAATGTAGTTATTTATTGTATTTACAGGCCCTCTGTTACAGACCAATCCACTTTAAAAATTAACTAAAAAAATAAGAACAATTAACATAATAACATGGACTATTTCTGGATTATTAAAGATATGTTGTTTGAATAACAATAAACATTCCTTGATCACAATTCTCTTTAAAAATAAATGTAAAAATTCTGGATTAACAAGTTGTATTTTTTCAATGAATAAGTTATCTCCCTTTAAACTTAACATCAAATAATTATCAGCATCATTCAGTAAAGGATTCACTATAGATAACTACACAAATAAATCTATGGATTTTTTTTCAAAGAATATAAATAATTAAAATATTAACACAAATTTTTGTTTTACACAAATTTCAGTTTTACACAAATTTTAGTTTTTACACAAATTTTTGTTTTACACAAATTAATCAGGGGATGTCAATAAATAAACCCCAAGAAAAAACAAAACAGTTCGCCCTTAGCAATAATTTTCCCTAAATACATGTATAACATTAAATAAAAACTCATACTAAATGCACAGAGACATAAAATATGTAGATTTCTGAGATAAAGCTAAACAGTGCCACATCTTTGGAGACATACCATATTTCATAGAAATAAAACATACAATTTTTTTTTTTACATAATTATATTAAAGGCCCATAATGCATTTGATTTGTATATATCGCTAAAAATGTAGATATTATTATAATTATTATATAATGTCAATTTTTTATGAGAAAATTAACCTCTGTAACCCTAAATATCTTAAATGAACTTGCCCATCTTTCAATCTGGACTAAACCATTCATATTTTGTTAAGGGAAATTTTTCAAAATATGTACTGGACTAAAAAGCAAACAGTGCAGACCATGAATCAATGGCACATATTTACCAGCTAATATTGGTCTGCACTGATTGCATGGATATAATATGTTGCTGCCAGCTAGCTAAGTGTAAAATAAAAACATTTCTGTCCTCAAATTTTCATTTTGATTGTTTGCATGATCAACTCCTTTATAAATCTTACTCATATCTCACAACTACTTATAAAGACTTACTCGCTTATAAGAGAAACACACTTTAAAGACATTTATTTTGCGTTGGGTTTTATGGCACACCAACACTGTATAGGTCATGATGGCAATGTTCCAGCTCTACTGGTGCAGGAAGACCTCAAGTGCCCTTCCGTGCATTAGTTTAAGCACCAGCAGGCACTTGTGTAGAACCATCGACGTTCCGTAAGCTAGCTGGATAGCTTCCTTACATAAAAGAATCCAAAGTCCCTGGCAGGATTCATGTTTATAAAGACATATTTATATGTAAGTTGCATATGTTTAAAAACAAATTCTCACTTTAAAGCATACACCCACTTATAACCTGTATACCTTCTCATATGATAGACATTTCTTTGGCTTACCCTCCTACAAGGCATTTTCATATTTTCTGACCAAAAGTTCAATGGAATAATCAGAATTATTATAAAAGCATTATTAATCATAATTTATCATTTTCAACACTCTTCAACACTGATCAAATGCATTATGGGCTAGTCTATAAAAATATCTCCTTCAATTGCTATCAACACACTAAGACAAAAAAATATTTGAATTTTAAAAATATGCAGAGAGCTATTTATATTGAGCAAATATAACGCTTTTATTCACAGATTATTTCAATATCAAATAGCTTATTTATATATCAACACCGAACACTAAGATTGTTAAAAACAACAACAATGCACAGTTTAAAACAATACCATTATCTTGGCAACAAGTAATTTGAAGGTTCAAGAAAGTAATAGAGTAATATTTACGTTACACAAAATTATTCTTTTAAAACAATCTATGATTTAGTATAAGTGTTATTTTTTCTAATAATGTCTCATAATAAATAAGTTATGTCACAATAAAGAACCTTCATTCAAGTAAACCAGCACTTGTAAATCAGATCTCATTTTCTAAACAAAAAGTAATAACTGATAAATTGTCCATCTTAAATGCATTTTTAATCACTCAAACTTTGTTTTTTTTAAACATTCATTATTGGAAAAAAATAACAGTAACTAAACTGGTAAGTTCACCATAAAATGTTTTTAAGGTTGGGATGAGGGCTTCCATCTATTTAATCAGCCAAGCCTTAATTTAATTAAGACTAATATTATAGTTCCAGTCAATAAAAAAAAAAAAATGAGACTGGTTTGCAAATTATCATGAAATATGTCTAAAAAATTGAAATTGTTCTCCATCCAGTTTTGTACAAATTGCAAACCAGTCAAGTTTTCTATAAATAGTGTCATTTTTTTTCTTCTTTTCGGGAATGTTCTGTATACATTTGTATTTGGATATTTCTACATAAAAAAGCATAATGTGTAATTATTTACAAATATGCAATGACAAAAATTATGCAATGCATAAACATGCTATCACTTTGTGTAAAGCCGATTTATATGTAAATTTCAATTGTGTAAATAATAAAACTTTATTTTACATTTTATTTATCTGTTGCAGGACAGCAGCAGTGTAAATAAATTAATATATATACATCTAAGATAGGTCAAAGGTCAAATACATCTTAAATAGGTCAAAGGTCAAGTTGCACCAAAAAATTAACAAACTAGCATAATAAACATGTTGAAACAGTTGGTTACCAGAGCAACATTTGTAAAAAGAGACATCAATGCCTTGGCACAATTCTGGATGTAAATCTTAAGTTTCAAGACAGTCCTTTAAAAAAATGTTGGTTTGCTGTATTTTAACATTTAAAATATAATTTATTTTTACACTTCTCATACAAATATAACAATCTCCTTTTTTGTATCTTTTTCATTTGTAATTTTACAAAATGTTTAATAAGCAAACCAACATGTCTTTCAAGAATGTCTTCAACAGCACATTTCTTTCTCACATTACCCCGCATAAAATTGGCACTTGTTAAATGGATTACAATATATTCACCTTTTCTACCATTAAAAAAAACAAACAACAAGACAAACAAATCCTAATTTTAAACTATTTTCACTGGTTTAATCTATTATTGAACTTAAAACTATGATATTTCTATTTTCTACCCTGAATAATTCCTGCAAAAGAACGATATTTAATGGTTGCTGATATCAGCAGACTGGTTACGCAACAGCCAATAAAAATTGACTGACAATAAAAATTGACTGGTTATGGACCAGCCAATAAAACTAACCGATAAAAATTTGTCAATGAAAAAATAAACCTGTTTTCCAATATTATCCAAGTTCTGTAACTGTTTTCCAATATTATCCAAGTTCTGTAAAATATCTTTTATTTTTCTTGAATAAATTCCTCACTCATACACACACACAATATAATTTCAGGGTTCTTTCCTTTTTTTTCCAATACCTTTACAGTTGTATATAAACTATGCAATATTTCCTTAAAATGGGTGCAATTGGTTAATATGTTCTTGCATAGGAAAAATTAACATATTTCATAACTGTATCACTATATCCAATAAAATATACTTTTTCTTCTCCTATTTTGTGATTACCACCTTGTTTGTAGAAATTCCCCCTGGAAGTTGGTTTTTACACACACATATACCTTAGTAAGTGAAGGAATATTAAAACATATAACTCAATATAATATAAAACACAAACTATATTATATGGTATTTCCAGACGGAGCCATATAAATACACAGCAATATTTGGGCATACAGTCCATACACAGGCATATAACACAGTTGGTACTTCCTCCAACAGGTATATAATCTAGTTGGTATTTTCTACACAAGGTATACAATCCAGTTCATATTTCCTTAAACAGGCATATAACCCAGTTCATATTTCCTTCCATAGGCATATAATCCAGTTGGTAGTTCCTTTAACAGGCATATAATCCAGTTGGTAGTTCCTTAAACAGGCATATAAGCCAGTTGGTAGTTCCTTAAACAGGCATATAATCCAGTTGGTAGTTCCTTTAACAGGCATATAATCCAGTTGGTAGTTCCTTTAACAGGCATATAAGCCAGTTGGTAGTTCCTTAAACAGGCATATAATCCTTTTGGTATTTTCTTTAACAGGCATATAATCCAGTTGGTAGTTCCATTAACAGGCATATAAGCCAGTTGGTAGTTCCTTAAACAGGCATATAATCCTGTTGGTATTTCCTTTCATAGGCATATAATCAAACTGTTTTTTTCTTATATGAATGTATTATATGATCCAGCCGATAATTCAAAATCTAATTCCTTTTTCCTTACACAGACATATAATCCAGTTGAAATTTCTTTTTCTATGCATATAAAACAACTGTCATCTCAAAGTGAAGTTGGTATAAATTCCAATGATTACATGAGTTATTTTTCATCAAACTGCATATGAAGACATCTCCCTTCTATATGAATTATCACACTAGGTAATTCCTTTTATCAGCAAATGAGCAAAGTTGATATTTCAACATTCTGGCACATAATCCAGTTAGTATTTCCTTATATGGTTGGTATTTCCATTATCATAAAAGATAATACAGTTGGTATCTCATTAATATGGGCACAAAGAGCACCTGCATACCACATTTCATACAAAATAAATTTCATAATATGGGCTTGAAATCCTCCTGGTATTTCCTTATATGGGCATAAAATTCAATTGGTATTTCCTTATATGGGCATGCATAAAATCCACTTGGTTTTTCCTTAAATGGTCATAAACTTAAGTTGAAATTTCCTTATATGGGCATAAAATCCACTTGGTATTTCCTTATATGGTCATAAACTTTAGCTGAAATTTCCTTATATGGCCATATAATCCAGTTGGTATTTCCTTATATGGGCATGTGAGCAAGTTGGTAGAAATCAGGATCATCATCTTCTTCATCTTCAGAATCTTCCTCCTCCTTGTCCAACTGAAAGAAAGAATAGAAAACTGAAAATCAGTTACTGCAAAATCTGTATTCTTTGTGGGGCACTAGTTTTTGTGGATAGGTTACTCTATGAATGTAAGATCTAACAAAAAATTTATTTCATCTTCTGTACAACAATGTTTATAACAATAATTTGCTTTTTTTGCACTGACAATCCACAAATTCAAGAACCCACAAAACTGTCCTTTTTGAAAAAGCCATGACATTTCATGCCCTTGAATTTAAAATGTATTCACATATGAATTGGAACAGAAAGTCTAAGAAGACCTATATAAATTACCTATCTAGTTAAACTGAAAAGCTCCACAGGATAGGGCACATTTATGACCCAATTATTACCAATTTGTTTCAAGGCTCACACAGCTTACACAGTTTACATTTTGCTTCTTTTATGACAAATAATTTCACATTCAACTCTACTTTCTGCCAGTGATAAGCTCTTTAACAAGAGCTGTCCGTAAGACAGCGCGCTCGACTTTTTTATTGCTTGCCAATAAAAAAAGTTTTTGCAGTAAAAGGCAATACAAGAATCTCTGTATTTTTAAAGTGAACTAGTTGTTTGATACCCTTGAATATTACAGCAATGTTTATATGACATAATTTATGGTAAAGTGAACAAGTGGATAGGAATGAATTTTTTTAGATTTTTTAAGTTTTTTAGTGCTTGCCTATAATACAAAACATTGACAGTTAAGGGCCATAATTCAAATAAAATCTTTGACAGAATTACCTTCTCCTGGACATGTTTGGGAATCATGATTGTAAACAAGTATTCCAACTTTCAAATTAATATCTCAAACAGTTCAGTCAAAAAGTGGACTGGTACTAAAAACTTAACCAAGATTCTAAGTCGATAAAAGGCCTTAATTTTTAAAACAAATCCTTGACAGAGTTACCTTCTCTTGCGTACAGATGGGGGTAATGATGTGAAATAGCATTAAAAGTTTCAAAGCAATATCTCAAAGGGTTAAGGCAATAAGTGGATTTTACCCATATTCAATGTATTTTCTAAGTCAAAAAGGGGCATAATTCTGTCAAAAACCTTGACAGAGTTATGTCCTCTTGTCTGTTGATGAAGGTCGTGATGGTAAACAAGTATGGTCAGTTTCAAAGCAATACCTCCAATGGTTTTGAAATAAAGTGAGGTGGTACAAAAAACTTAACCAAGCTCAATACACTTTCTAAGTCAAAAAAGGGCCATAATTCTGTCAAAAACCTTGACAGAGTTATGTACTCTTGTCTGTAGATGGAGGTTATGATGGTGAACAAGTATGGTAAGTTTCAAAGCCATACTTGTAATACTTCTGAAATAAAGTGGGGTGGTACGAAAAACTTAACCAAGGTGTGACGCCGACGCCGACGCCGGGGCGAGTAGGATAGCTCCCCTTTTCATAGAAAAGTCGAGCTAAAAACCATTATTTAAACATAATAAAACTCATGTTTGCCCTCCTTAAAGATGCGAAAAAATATTTGTTTCTCAGGCATAATGTGCCTTAAAATTAACTTACCACTTCCAATTCTTGGTGAGTGAAGAATTTAGGCAAGATTTTTAGACGAAGTGGCACCATCATTATTACAAACAGTGGGAAGGCGATAGCTAATAACGTAGACTTTACAATCCATAGTAAAACTACTAAAAATATCTGTATAACAGTGAAGGCATGCATCTTTAAAGTTCGTACCTGAAAAAGCAACAATAATACAATGGATAAAATAATATATTTAAAGTATTCTGCAGTCACATTTGCCCTCAGCCATGGGCCAATATCACTAAACAATGCTGCAGTGACATTTGCCCTCAGCCATGGACCAATATCACATAACAATGCTGCAGTTACATTTGCCCTCAGTCATGGACCAAAATGACTAAAATATGCTGCAGCCACATTTGCCCTAAGTCATGCATCAATATCACTAAACTATGCTGCAGTCACATTTGCCCTCAGTCATGGACCAATATCACTAAACTATGCTGCAGTCACATTTGCCCTCAGTCATGGACCAATATCACTAAACTATGCTGCAGTCACATTTGCCCTCAGTCATGGACCAATATCACTAAACTATGCTGTAGTTACATTTGCCCTCAGTCATGGACCAATATCACTAAGCTATGCTGCAGTCACATTTGCCCTCAGTCGTGGACCAATATCACTAAACTATGCTGTATTCACATTTGCCCTCAGTCATGGACCAATATCACTAAGCTATGCTGCAGTCACATTTGCCCTCAGTCGTGGACCAATATCACTAAACTATGCTGTAGTTACATTTGCCCTCAGTCGTGGACCAATATCACTAAACTATGCTGTATTCACATTTGCCCTCAGTCATGGACCAATATCACTAAGCTATGCTGCAGTCACATTTGCCCTCAGTCGTGGACCAATATCACTAAACTCTGCTGCAGCTACATTTTCCTTTAGCTATGGACCAATATCACAACCCTCAAATTGACCCTCAGCCATGGACTAATATTGTCACACTATGACCAGAATGATATCCTTTGTTTAACTGCTTTCACACTGGTCCATGAACCAGTATCACCAAGCCATAAACTGCATTAAAAATGGTTAAAACTGGTCCATGGACCAGTATCTCTAAGCCAAAAACTGCATTAAAAATGGTTAAAACTGGTCCATGGACCAGTATCACTAAACCAAAAACTGCATTAAAAATGGTTAAAACTCGTCCATGGACCAGTATCACTAAGCCAAAAACTGCATTAAAAATGGTTAAAACTCGTCCATGGACCAGTATCACTAAGCCAAAAACTGCATTAAAAATGGTTAAAACTCGTCCATGGACCAGTATCTCTAAGCCAAAAACTGCATTAAAAATGGTTAAAACTGGTCCATGGACCAGTATCTCTAAGCCAAAAACTGCATTAAAAATGGTTAAAACTCGTCCATGGACCAGTATCACTAAGCCAAAAACTGCATTAAAAATGGTTAAAACTCGTCCATGGACCAGTATCTCTAAGCCAAAAACTGCATTAAAAATGGTTATCAGTCATGGTCCAAAATCACTTCATACTGCTGTAGTCACATTGGCCATACCATCAGATACAGACTAGTATCACCACTTTATGATGATAAATTTGACAACAAAAATAAATGTTGTTATGCCAACAGTCTATTGTCAACAACTTCAAAGACCTTGGCCAAACAACTCTACCAAGGGTATAGGGGAAAAATATTTTACACTATATGTAACTTTTACTTACCCTTCTCACATAACTTTTGCCTGGATGATGTTTAACAGGCATGAACAAGAGTTTTAATCTCTTAAAAAGTTGAACACCACTAATTGCTGAGACACCTAAATATAGGAACACCCCAAATAATACTGCCATAGGTACTGCACGTAACACTGCACCCCACGCAATCGTTGAACCTGAAAGAAGTTTTACAAAATTGTAAATTCAAATGTGATCCAGCCATGAAAAATGACTTAAATCACAAGATACAAAGATATATTATTAAATTCTATTTTTAAGACCAACTTTAAACAATCTTGTCATCTGTTGCAATTATTATGTTAAAATTTTTTTAGTTAATTTACTAACCTATTAGAAGATTCATGACAATATTTGTGACACGTTGATCTTTGACCCCTAGAAGCTTTGGTTTTTCACCAGGCGCATGGGTTCTGCTCATAACAGCTAAAGCAGAAACGTGAGCAACTGACCGGACCGTTGCCGGGCACATCCATGGTAACCCAAACAATGCACAAAAGAATATCACTATGCCCAGTATAAACTGGTCTAAATGGAATCCAGAACCTTTCTTTAGTTTAAACTCATTCTTGTGAAGCAACATCCTGGAAATGAAAACAAGACTTCCTTAACAACATTCTATATATAGAAACAAGGTTTGCTAAGCAACATTCTAATATGAACCATATGAACAGGGAATTTAGATAAAAATGTTTGTTTATATTACATTTTTCATTTTACAGGTGTTATTCAGTATTTCATGCACTTCCGTTTTCAATTGAAATACCTTGATGATTATTCTTAATTGGATTAGTTGCAACAGTTATGTCATTGGAATACCTCTTCAATTATCATCGAGTTACATTAAAATAGGCGGCGCCCGATTAGAAATAACACTAATAATTTTACTTTTAGGTATAGAAATCTATTGTTGTGTTTTAAATTTGATTTCCTTTTTAATATAGACATGTAGTCTATAGCCAGGCTCTTCCCTGTATAAATCGTGTACATTTGGAGACTAAGCAATATGTTAAATAATAGAAACACAATTCATATATCAAGAACATGGAATAACAATATCTTTTCTTAAATAGTTCAAAAGTAAAACAACAAGAAGAGCAATGCCAGCACTAAATTTCTAGCCAGAGATACAGTAGTTCTAAAAATAGATACAAATGCTTACTGTGTGAGCTGAAGTTCTAAAAATAGTAACAGGAAAATAAGGAATGCTGGGATAGCTGCCACAAATATCAGCCAGACTTGTATTGGCTCTTTATCACCCAATGGGTTTACCAGCCAATTACTTAAAGTTGCATCTGAATGTTTGAATATTTGAGGAATATACAGTTTCTGAAAACAAAATATAAATAGGTCAGTAAATAATTGATTATGGAATGCACAATTTCTAAAATTATTATAAATGACATTGGAAAAAAAAATTGGTTAATTAATGAATCACCGACTTTAATTAAAGTCTGTGATCAAACCAAATAATATAAACTGTATTTATTTATAATAAATTTTAAAAGTACTCCACGTAAGGAACTAGGAATGTTTTAAATATTGCATTATTTATTTAAAAATTTAATTCTGAGTATACGTATGTATTAACTTTTGTACATTTGCCCTATCAAGAGCACTGATTGATCTATGTTAAAATTTGAAATTCTATGACTTAATGCATTTTGACCTCATGAAAAGTCTAAAATCAATTTTTAGAAAAATGAGATGAAAATTTCAGGTAGTTAGCCAACAGTATAAGGCCTTTTAAGACTGCTACGGCAGGCTGGCTTGGCTTCAAACTGGTGACAAAGGAAGGCTTATCACGTTTGATTCCTGCAGGTTTTCCAGGTTACAAGAGGCTCACAGGGAAGACTGCAAGGCATGCCCAACTGTGTTGCCTCTTTAGATAAAGTCTTTATTATCATATTTATACTCAACATCACTAATTCCGCGTCATCACTTATTTCGTGGTAATGGCATATTTTCATTTGACCAGTGTTAAAATTGGCCAGAATTGACATATTTTATTCATACACTTATACAACAAAGTTTTTGTGCAAAATATTTTAAATCCCTTGATTTTTACGTAAAACAGAACAACATTTTACAAATTTCTGCAAAAAGCATCAATAGTCCATTAAATTTGTGAGTATGTCTGAAACAATCATGGTTTTCTAATTGTTCTTGTTTGTTGAAATAATAATAGTTACAAAGTAAGGATAATTTTAATATTTTAAATCAAGCAAAATAACATGTAGAAATTTTACTGAAACATGAAAAAACTGAAATGTAACACAGTATACTATTAACGTTATTTTGCCTAGAATTAATCAACACTCTTTTACACAAGTATGGTTTTTGTAAATATAAACTACATCATGTTCTTACAAAAAAATAGGAATTAAAACTTGAAACATTTAGAAACAGACTATACCTGTGTATAAGTATCAGCACATATAAAATCAAACAGAACCATCAATACTATTGCTGTAAATATACCAAAATCTCCAAGTGCTCTACGTGCCTGAAATAAACAAGAAATAGAATAACTTTCAGCTTGAGATATTTAAGAACAGACTATACTATTGCTGTAAATATACCAAAATCTCTAACTGCACAATATGCCTTAAATAAACAAGGAAAAAAAGTTTGTAGCTGCAATTATTTGCATCTAAAAAAAATTTAGAAACAGACTATAACTGCTATAAATGTATGAAAATCTCACAAACACAGAATAATAAACTTACTCGGGAATTAAGAATATATCTGGGGTTTTTTCCCCCAGCTAATACGGGGGGACAAACAAACTCTTACAATTACAGCTTGGAAAATAAGTGCAAATAAAACTTTTTGATGGTATACTCACACTTCTTCCAAGAAATCGGCTATTTCTAAAAATCCTGAGAAAATAGGCGATCAGGAATGTCCCGAAGATAAGAATCGTTGATAATAGGGCCGTGTTTGGCTCGTTCAAATTTTTACTATAATGAGTTTTCCCATGTTCGTAGTGGTTCTTTTCCTCCGCATATGCAGTTTTCGTGCTATACATACTGGTTGATAAAATACTTTTTGAACCGTTACTTAATATTTGTATCAGTGGAACAACTGTAGTCACACTCAAATTTTGTACAACTTTTGTCACATTTTCTAAATCCGAAGTTTTGTTATCTCCATTATCACAGTAATATGCTTTTCCCCTGAGTGGGTGCTCCTCGTATATCTAAAAATAGAACAAATATCTAAATATAGAACAAGCATCTAAAAATAAAACAATATTTTTTTTAAAAATACGAGGGGTGTTCCAAAATTACGTGGACTTTTGCTATAACTTTTTTATTTTTTATTGCATTTTTTAGCAAATTTGTACACAATCCCTTTAACATATCCTTAATGAATTTGTCCATTATTTTTAAATTTCTAACATTGCTTCTCTATATTTTACGTCGCTATAGTAACGCAGTATGCGCAGGGCTGGGGAGTCCAATATTTTGTATTAATAAGTTGTCTTTACTTTCGTATATCTTGCGTATTTATACTTAAAAAATGGCGCGACGTCGTAAGCATATGCAGTGACGTCATATAAAAGTTTGTTTGAAATTTTGACGTCATAGCTGTTTCCGTTATTGTTTACCAGCGGACAACTGACAACCGTTGCTCTTGGATATTTAACAAAAAATGACGTCCACGGATTACGCGGAACATCGGACTATCATCAAGTGTTGTGTTAATTTTGGGAAGACGCCAACACAGACGCAGGACATGTTGGAGACTGCAAAAGTGAGACCTCCTGTTTGTCGATCACTTGTTTTCAAGTGGCATAAGCGTTTTTGAGACGGCCGGGAGGACATTGAAGACGACAAGGGTCGTGGGAGAAAGTCAACGTTGACTGCGGCGTCAATTAAGGAAGTCAAGGACGTCATAGATCAGGACAGGCGTTACAATGCTGAGTACTATTCAAGGGTAAGCAATAGTTTTGTGTTTAAAAAAATGATTTTTAAAAATTAAGCTAATCACAATTTATTATTTTAAATGCAATTTATCCGCTTCAGCTTTTAAGAAAGTGAACTCAAACTGCTATAGTAAGCAGTGCGAATGATAGGTTATTTCCCTTGTTAACGCATATTGTCTATGCGTACAAAATAAACTCCACAATAATAATAATAATAATAATAAAAAGAATAATAATAATAAAAATAATAATGATAAATAATAACAAGAGCTGTCGGTAGGACAGCACGCTCGACTATTCTTAGTGCTTGATAGTAAAAGAGCCTTGATAACGTAAAATTTAGAGCTTTGATAATGTTAAATTTTCTAAGTTCACAAGAGGGCTAATTTTTTTTTTATAAATTCATGTTATAGGCCTTAGAGACAGTCTAATTATACAGTATTTGCTTGACTATTCGGAAGGTAATGTCACAAGGGTGTTTTATTGAGTATAATAATACTAATTACCTATTAATACATAAAATTGACAGAAAAGGTACAAAGGCTTGTTATTAAGATGTTTTATCAAGTAAATCACTGCTTTATTATTATGAATGCATATAATTGTCCCAAAAAAGGCACAAACCCTTCAGTAGTTATGGAGATAACAGCTTACAAGCAAAACTTTACCATGAATTTCTAAGTTGAAACTAGAACTCCGCGAGTCGGATGTGTCGCCTTGTGAACAATGTAGTTTAGGGGAAATGGCCAGGACAAAAATGAAATATGAAAAATAACAAAGGGCAATAACTAAAAAAATAATAAGTGCAGAGCAGCAGTTTCTGTACACTGCACTTCTTATCAATAAGATCTATCATTCTATGATGTTTCAAGTCCATAGCTTTCATACTAGAGGAGAAATGACTATGAGGACAAAAATAAAGTAAGAAAATCAACAAAGGGCAATAACTCAAAAATAAGAAATGCAGAGTATCAGTTCTTATGCACTGCACTTCTTTTTAATGAGATCTATCATCCTATGAAGTTTCAAGTCCATAACTTTTATACTTTCGGAGAAATGGCCTGGACAAAAACTAAGTATGAAAATTAACAAAGGGCCATAACTCAAAAATTAAGAAATGCAGAGTACCGATTCTTGTGCACTGCACTTCTTAATAATGAGATCTATCATCCTATGAAGTTTCAAGTCCATAGCTTTTATACTTAAGGAGAAATGGCCCGGACAAAATTAAAGTATGAAAATAAACAAAGGGCAATAACTCAAAAAATAAGAAATGCAGAGTACCAGTTCTTGTGCACTGCACTTCTTCTTAATGAGACCTATCATCCTATGAAGTTTCAAGTCCATGGCTTTTATACATTAGGAGAAATGGCCCGGACAAAAATAAAGTATGAAAATTAACAAAGGGCAATAACTCAAAAATTAGGAAGTGCAGAGTACTGGTTCTTGTGCACTGCACTTCTTAATAATGAGATCTATCATCCTATGAAGTTTCAAGTCCATAGCTTTTTTAGTTGAAGAGAAATGGCCCGGACAAAATTAAAGTATGAAAATAAACAAAGGGCAATAACTCAAAAAATAAGAAATGCAGAGTACCAGTTCTTGTGCACTGCACTTCTTCTTAATGAGACCTATCATCCTATGAAGTTTCAAGTCCATGGCTTTTATACATTAGGAGAAATGGCCCGGACAAAAATAAAGTATGAAAATTAACAAAGGGCAATAACTCAAAAATTAGGAACTGCAGAGTACCGGTCCTTGTGCACTGCACTTCGGGTTATTGAAAGAAGCATGCATACCAAGTTTGAAGTCAATCAGACTTATAGTGACTGAGTTATGCTCCGGACAAGCTTTAGGGGACGCCGACAACGACACCGACGCCGACACAGACGCCGCCGACACCGCCGACAAAAGTAACCCCTATATGTCACCTTTTCAAGGCGACACAACAAGAGCCATGTCAACATGGCCATCCCCCGCCGAATGTGTTTGCTCGTTGGAAGAATGTATATGTAGTAGAGCAGAATAATTCCATTTTAAGAGGTCTTTTGGTAATGAAAACTGATGGCTATAGTGATTACAGATTTGAAACCTATGTGAATACTGATGGCTGAAAATAACAAAGGGCAATAACTAAAATAATGCAGGGTAGGTTATCATCCTTGTGTGCTGCATCCCTCCTCAGTAAAATCTATCCACCTATGAAGTTTCAAGTTGATACCTCAAATACTTTTTGAGAAAAAAATTGAATTGAAAAATTAAGTATGAAAAATAACAAAGGGCAATAACTCAAAAATTATAAAAAGTACAGTTATCATTCTTGTGCAGTGCACACCTCCTGAGTGAGATCTATGCACCTGTGAAGTTTCATTTTGATATCTCAAAGGCTTTTTGAGTTATGCTCTGGACAAAAATTAATTTTGAAAAATAACAAAGGGCAATAACTCAAAAATAATGCAGGGCAGAGTTATCATTCTTTAGCACTGCACTCCTCCTCAATGAGATCCATCCACCTATGAAGTTTCAAGATGATACCTCAAATACTTTTTCAGATAAGCTCTGGACAAAATAGCATGAAAAAAACAACAAAGGGCAATAACTCAAAAATTGTATAGGGAAGAGTTATCATTCTTGCACACAACATTTCTCCTCAATAAGATCTATCCACCTATGACATTTCATGTTGATATCTCAAAAACTTTTTGAGTTATGCTCCACTCAGGTGAAAAATTAGGTATGAAAAATAACAAAGGGCAATAACTCAAAAATTATGAAAGGAAGAGTTATCATTCTTGTGCACTGCACACCTCCTGAGTGAGATCTATGCACCTATGAAGTTTCATGTTAATATCTCATAGGCTTTTGGAGTTATGCTCTGGACAAAAATCAATTTTGAAAAATAACAAAGGGCAATAACTCAAAAATCATGCAAGGTAGAGTTATCATTCTTGTGCACTGCACTCCTCCTCAATGAGGTCTATCCACCTATGAAGTTTCAAGTTGATAACTCAAATACTTTTAGAGATATGCTCCGGACAAAAATTTCGGACGGAAGGACAGACGGACGGAAGGACGGAAGGTCGGACGGACGGAGACTATTACTATATCCTCCGCCGAAAATTTTCGGCGGGGGATAAAAAGGGGAGAAAAATCAGCCTAAATGCAAGATAGAATTATGGATCTTTGTCAGTGACCTACAATTATGACCCTAAATGCATATGTGAAGTTTTAAATAAATATCTTTAATAGTTATTGAGATATGTAAAACTTGCATGTAAACATTAACCAAGAGACTAAGTAGAAAAGGGGATATGAATCAGCCTTAATGCAGGATAGAGTTATGGAACTTGGTCAGTGACATACAATTATGACCCTCAAATTATGACCCTAAGTACATGTGTAAAGTTTCAAGTAAATATCTTTGAAGACCTTTAACCTTTAACCAAAATTTTCTAAGTTTCAAATTTAAGGGGCAAATAGTTCTGCAAATATTGCAAGCAGAGTTATGCAATTTTGCAAACTGATGTACATTGTTACTATAAAAAAGTATTTTAAATTTCAATTGAATATCTCAAGCAATAATTGAGATATTTGACTTTACAAAAAAAAAAAGTTAAAAAGGGGCATAATTCTGTCAATATTGTAGGCAGAGTTATCCAACTTGTCAATCTGATGTACCTTGTTACTATAAATAAGTATTGTAAGTTTCAATTGAATATCTCAAGAAATAATTGAGATATTTGACTTTACAAAAAATTTTAACCAAAATTTCTAAGTTAAAAAGGGGCATAATTCTGTCAATATTGTAGGCAGAGTTATCCAACTTGTCAATCTGATGTACCTTGTTACTATAAATAAGTATTGTAAGTTTCAATTGAACATCTCAAGAAATAATTGAGATATTTGACTTTACAAAAAACTTTAACCAAAATTTCTAAGTTAAAAAGGGGCATAATTCTGTCAATATTGTAGGCAGAGTTATCCAACTTGTCAATCTGATGTACCTTGTTACTATAAATAAGTATTGTAAGTTTCAATTGAATATCTCAAGCAATAATTGAGATATTTGATTTACAAAAAACTTTAACCAACGCCGACGCGGACGCTGACGCCGACGCCAGGGCGACTACAATAGCTCTCATATTCTTCGAATAGTTGAGCTAATAATAATGATAATAATATGGCGTCAGCATTATCACCGTTGTCTTTAACACTATTATCGTAACAAAAGTTAATAGTATGCTTTATTATTATTATTATTACAGTGCAAGACCAGTGGATATATCGACACCATAGGTGTATTGAGTTAGGCGGCGTCTATGTTAAGAAAAACTGACATTCGACGCCACGCATTTATTGACAACTAGCGACGCCACAGGAATGACGTCGTAACGTTGGAATGGACTGCCCCACACCCGCTACCCCTTGTCTCATTACCCTGTCCACAGACACTGATCCAGTTGCCGGACAACTTTGAAATTTTTTGTACTAATGCAATAAAGTTGCATTTTGTTCATGTTCATTTTGTTTGTTTTTATTTTCAGTAGTTTTTGAGTTACAGCAAAAGTCCACGTAATTCTGGGACACCCCTCGTATACAATCAAATATTGAAAAACATTGTCCTGTGACTTTAACTTAGCGGTACATGGACATGGAAAACTCCAAGAAAGTGTAAATCAGCATTACTGTTCAATATTGGAAGTGTCAAAAACTATACTTAGTTTACTTCTATAAATGTATGTGTATCATTGTTGGTTTATCACTGTCAATGTACTTTTAAATGATTTGCACTCATAGGTTCGAACCCTAAGCTCTGACATATTAGATTGTTTTTCTTTTTTTTTTCTTATTTGCTTTTTCATTCAAATGGTCAGATGAATAATTTTCTTCTTCTAGGTTTCCATGTCTATTTTCATTGTTTTTTTTGGGGTTTTTTTTGTGTACCAATCTTTATAAACAAGAAGGCCCAGAGGGCCCTGGATCGCTCACCTGAGAAATAGCTTAAAGTGGAGCCCCTTTTCACCCCACAAACAACGAAATTACAGTACATATAAGAAAAATCAATGACCCCCCGGGTCAGGGCCAATTTTGACCCTGGAGGTTTTATTTCAACAAACATAGCAGATATGCACTAGAACATGTTTCATGCCAAATATCAAAGCTCTTACTCTTTTTGATTTTTACAAGAAGATTTTTTAAGTTTCTACTATTTACATGTATATATATAAGAGAGTAAAAGCTGCATGACTCCAGATGAGCCAAAATATTTCAAGAAAATAAAACTTGAGAAAAATGTATTGAGGTTTTATGAAAAGTAAAAAGACTAAAGATAACAGTAATAATTTTCATGTTATTTGCGATTGATGGCCAATTTTTCAGTAATTTTCACCATATTTCTACTGCGTTACTAACACAGTAAGGGTTAATTTTGCATATTTTGACCTCTTGTTTTTGTGATTTACATTGGTTGTAAGTCCCGTTTGAGATGTGCATATCATTTTCTCTGTCAGCTTAATAATATTTTACTTTTGAATACATTTTTAAAATTTTCATGAACATTAGCAGGAATCTGGAGGCGTGCTGCTTTAAATGACCCCCCTGGGGCGGGGCCAATTTGAACCCTAGGGCTTTTATTTGAACACACTTGGTAGACATCCACTAAAAGATATTTGATGCCAAAAATCTAAGCTCTAGCACTTTTGGATTTTCACAAAAAGACTTTATTTAGTTTTAACTATATACATATAAGGAAAATCAATGGCCCCCAGAGGCAGGGTCAATTTTGACCCTAGGGCTTTTATTTGAACAAACATGGTAGACATCCACTAGAACATATTGTATGCCAAATATCTAAGCTCTACCTCTTGGATTTTCACAAGGAGATTTTTAAGTTTTTAATATACACATATAAAGAAAATCAATGACCCCTGGGGTGGGGCCAATTTGATGTAAAAAAATCGTTTGGTTGCCATGGCAACCAGAGTTTTATATGGAATATAATTCTTTGAACAACTTTGTTAGAGCTTCATGCAAGGAAAATCCTTGCAAAGTTTCATCAAATTTGTCCAAGTGGTTTAGGAGGAGAAATTGTTTAAAGAAATTGTTGACACACGCATGCACAGACAATGGACAATGGGCCCCTTGAGGACATTGTCCTCAGTTGAGCTAAAAAAGCACATTTTGCCTACGGAGGCAATGGTGTATCACTAACCCTTATTTTAAATTAAAAGAAATTTTATCGTAAAACTCTCGATATTAACACATCACTTACCTCTATAAGTTTCTGTATAACTTCATTTATGAAAATAAGTGAGATCAAAATGGCAAAGACTTCCTCTGTAAAACGTGTAATATATCGTACAATAAAGCTACCCTCGGCTGCCAACACCAGCAACGTTATTACAAATACCCAAAATCCAATCCATACACGCCATGTTAGAAAATCTATATGATAATCTTTACAAAACTGAAAATAAAAACAAAACAAAAATCTTATCTGAATATCTATAAAACAGCATGCTTCTACATGTATTTAGATTTGTAATAATTTTCATGAAAATGTTTATTTTGTTGTTGTTGTTGTTGTTTTTTTGTACTTCTTTCTTAATCTTATCAATACCTACATGTATAAAACAGCATGCTTCCAGATTCATAATAATTTTCATGAAAATTGCTGAAGAGTTTAAAAACATTTAATAAATTATGAGTTTAAACATATTCATAAATTACTGTCAAGTAAAAACAAATAAAATGATTTGAGCTGGTCTACAGGACTTTCTGTCCCCTCAAAAATTGTTTACATGACTAAGTGATAAATTCAAAGTTTTTGATGTTTCTTTTTTGACAATTCTGAATCAATGTCAGAGTTCAATTGTCACGAGAAATATTCACTCAAATAATAAAGATGTTTTTTTGAAAATTTAAACATTAAACATGTCCTTTTACATTATACAATATAAAAATATTAAGAAATAATGAAGCAAACCAATTAGAATTCCTATAATAGAAAACAAACAATAATAAATAAATTAAAAAAAAACAACAACAAAACACACAACCAGTCAGGGGCGATCTGTTGATTCCTTGAGCAAGAAACTTTACACTTATTGCTCAGTACTCGTTGGTTACTGTGAGGAACAGATTCAAGAGTGTGTCTATAAGCTTATAGCTTCCTACACAATTGAACTATAAATAAACTAGAAGGGTTTTGTCACAAAAACATGTCCCTAAAAACAAGGTATGGTACTGATCACTCCTGTGAATTTGGGCAAAATCCCACCAGCAGTCTGACCTTTGAAAGCCGGACAAGATTTTTCTATTTATAGCTCTGGCGGTCATTTTGTGCAGCCAAGCAGAATATGCACAGGCGATGTACACAACTAGGGATGGTTATGATCACTCCTGTAAAGTTTCATTGAAATGCGGCCAGGAGTTAAACATAAGAAAGCCGGACAAGCTAAATGCAGACGGTTGGACAGACAGCGAAGACAATATACATGTAATTCTGTATAAACCAAACACACAATTATCAATGAACTTACACTATAAAGATGTTTTTCGAAGACTAAAACGGGTCCTGTTGCACCATATAATATCAGAGGTTGACCAGAGAACAGTCCAAATATCACGTTAGTTACCGAAGTTGCTATAATAGTTTCTACAACACCTATCTTCCCATATGTCTTCTCACCTGAAACATATAATTAACACTTGTAACATATAATTTACACCTGTATCATAAATCTGGAGAACTTTCTAATAAAATTTAATCATAAGTAAAATGGTTTACCTATAAATGCACAGTGCATTGACTGGAGCACAGGTATTAGTTACCCCAGCACACGAGTTACCACATACAAATAAAGAATGCTTGTTGATTGGCTACATTTTTTCTGGGATTTACTTATTGTGACAATAAGGTACAACTTACTTTCTATCACCATCTATATGCTCCACACGGTCACAAGATGAATTAAGAAGTTTTTATTATACATTAAACAGACCACCATTAATCATATAAACCACTCAAGGATTTTTACTTAAGATCAAACAGTGATACACAGAAAAGGCTTTACACAGAACTAAACAGTGTGTCCACTTACTGAATTAACCATGGAAGGCTATAAATGGATATACACTGTCAACAGTTGCGCTCATATGCATGTGCCGTTAAATGGTGCCAAAGTATGTGTGATGTTAGAGTCACTTCCTATGTTTTGTATTATAAACGTAAGTAGTTTTGAATAGGCGTATAAACCAGACACAACGTGTTGTACATTATTATCGTAGTATAGTACCGTATAAGATATATATGTGACCACTTACTGTATAACCAGGGAAGGCTATAAACGAACATATACAGTAAGACCACTTACACAGCAAAAGTGACCACTTACCATATAAACCACCGAAGGCTATACACGGACAGAGACAGGCAAAGAAAATAAATATCAACGCCATCATGCACTGCAGATTAATGCCGTCTTTAAAATCACTGGCGTAATGTTGGTATCTTCGTCGTACGTCGTTAATTAAACCACCAAATGGTCGTCCAGTGCGCTTTAATGGATCCATAGGTATCTTGTATATCTCCTCTTTCTTTATCAGAGCTGTAATTGAATAAGAGGGTATTGAATGAGTGTAAGTTCAATATGGAATTTATCAAAGAAGTAAAATAAATCATATTCTAACACGCTTCACAATATTCCCCTATGAAACAGATAGGGCAGAAAAGTATGTCATTACGCAATATATGCACAGCATAAAAAACCAATGCTTACATGTCATATTACGTCAGACATTACGTCAATAAACCAAATGACGTCAGGAAAAATTACTTCTACTATAAATGTGGTTCACCATATTTTTATCAATTCTCTTCATTGTTAGCAATTTAGAATGGAAGAAGATGTTAATTTTTTGTGCGTTATGGTATAATAATGCATGGTTTATCATTTGAATGCTTTGTAATTAATTACAAGGCCTATTGGCCGTCATGATTATATACTTCTACATATGGACTTAAATTGTGCATTATACACTCAATACTGATATTTATTTCCTAATTATGCAAGCCTCTGGTGAGCATAAAATTATTTTACTAAATGAGTTCAATAAATTTAGTATAGAATCTAGATAAATATACAATTCCTTTTATCACATAATATTATCCAAAATAAGAACATTTTGCAGTTAAGGAGTTATTTTTTTATTGACCCGCTGATAGTGTAATGATAACATAAGCGCGCTTAAATGCTACATGTATGTTTGTATATAAGGCAAATGATGTCACGTAATATTGTTATTACACTAGTGTAATATGTTTTTTTTATTAAATGGCTTTATTACAACCCTGTGCGATGGTTTATGTGACAAAAGTATTTAATCAACAAATGATTTAACAAAATATGGTTAACTGTTTATTCTATGATTTAGACTACTGATTTTTAATTATGATTGTTTATCATAATTATGTGGTTATAATGCACCATGCATCAAGACTCGCACTAATTTTTCCTATAAAAATTTTAGAACACATTCAAAATACCTAAATTTTTATCAAAAGAACAAATTCAATGACCACAACTGACTGAAGGCTACAGAATCTATCTAATTTTTTTTTTTGGCGTTTAAGTTGAAATAGTATTAATTAAAAGCCAACAGAAGAATCTTGTCTGTTTATACAATTACAAACCTTCTAACTCTTCTTTCTTTTTCTGCTTTTTTCTACGTATTTTGGCCCTTTTTCTTGCCATATCCATCACCGGCAGTAATGTCTTCTGGTCCCAGTCACCAGGGGGCAGCACTATTGATTCATTTAAGAACTCGTTAATGGCATGTAAAATCTCTGACCTGGACTCTGCTTTGTATGCGATGTCATGGAAGTGCTGAAAATAATTCAATGATCAATTATGTCAATTTCTTTTTCTATTTTAGAGGGATTGGGGGTGGAATTGTGGTGGGGGATCTGCTTTGGGCTAAGGTATAAGTAAATGTATGCTACCAGTCAATTACCATCATATTGTCTGTATATTATATAAGCTTATATTAGGTTAAAGAAGAATCAACAGCAATGATCTATTATGAAAAATCATCACTAAAAACATGAAATAATTTTGCAGTGTAAAAGTTTGATGGAAAATAAAAAATATTTGCAGATAACTGAACTACTTTGTGGAGACACTAAGCGTTTTACGTGCACAGGGACGGCCATGATACAAAGTATCTAGCGTCTTTATAAAAATTCTTATCCAAAAGTCTAATAGCATTGTTAGAGATAAATGAAACTTGCGACTCTTGAACTACTAGTCCGGTGTGTTACCACTAGTCCATGGATCGGGTCCAAACATTTTAAGAAAGGAAAGTACATACCTGGTTAGACATCAGAGTAGATATAGAACGACCAACTTCATGATAATCCATGCTAGAGTCCTCAGGTCCCAGTAATATAAACACAAATCTCACTGGTAACGGTACCTCGGTCAAGTTGTCTAAAACCTAAAAATTAATCATTTAGTCATTTAGTTAATTGCAAACCTTAAAAAATATTACATGTTTGTTTGTTTGTTTCATTGGGTTTTACATCACACCGACACAGTATACGTTATATGGCGACGTTCCAGCTTTACTGGTGGAGGAAGACCTCAGATGCCCTTTCGTACATTATTTCAGGCACGAATGGGTACCCGGGTAGAACCACCGACATTCCGTAAGATTACATATATATAAACTTTTCAGTTGTCTTATACCTAGGAACGATCATTCAGATACCTAGAACCTTATTTTATCAATAATAACATGTTATATAACAGCAGGTCAATAAATTGGAATAAAAAAACTTTGTTATTAAATAATTATAACTATCAACCTACCTGCTTAATCATAATAAAAACAATTTCACTTCTAAATCTAATCAGCAATCAACCTTATTTTCTAAATTAAAATTACAGTCCCAGGCTTCTTAAAACTTTATAATAATCAAATTCTTTGTAGGCCTGTATGGCCAAGGTTGCCCGAATCTTACCACTTGCCTCTCCCCCCTGTTGGTTCGAACCCAACCAGGGACTTTGGATTTATGTGAGGAAGCTATGTGGCAAGTTATGGAAAATCACTAGTTTCAATCATGTGCCTGTGAAATGCATGATGGGGCACCTAAGTCTGCTTCCACAAGTTAAAGCTGTCTGTGAGCGTATAAACCCAACAATCATAACAACAACCAAACTTTAAAGTTACTACTCAATCAAACTATAATAACAATACAATGTACCTGTTTTTCAGCCAATCTCACAAACGCCATAGCTGGTTTCTCAAGGTAATCAACACAACCAACGAGTACAGTACAGGCCTCGGCATCACGTGGAATTCTCCTCATTAAACTCATCTTCTGGTCCGATTTCGTGTCCTTGGGATCTTCTTTGTATGCGTCCTTTGGTATGAGCCCGATATGAACACCATCTTCTACCTTCTACAATAAACATGTTTTTTATGGTTGTAACATTTAAAACTCTTTATTAAAGAGTATAATTCTATTTTACAGAAGATATTCGACACTATTTCATAGCTTGAGGACCAGTAGAATTTTGTTTGATACTGGTCGTTTTAAATAAATATAAAAAAGTGTCTTTCTTCTTGCATCCTAGCACTTTGAACATGTCTATAACATGGCCCTGAAGTTAGTTTGATAGAAAAAGTTCAAGTTTAATGTTGTTTTTTTTTTATCTTCTGCAAAGATATAATAATAACTAGAAATGTGTCATCATGCCACGGATGCCCCCGCATGCAGCCAAAATTTCAGAAGTGAAAGGGGCATAACTCTGCCAAAAATCATTGAACCATGACCAAATTTGAACTTGACCTGCGCATTCTTTTGACGCATCCATATGTCAAGTTTGAGTTGAATGTGTTGTACCGTTGGGGAGATAATGAACGGAAACTGAAAATTTCATATTATTTTCAAAGTAAAAGGGGCATAACTCTGCCAAAAATCATCAAACCATGACCAAATTTGAACTTGACCTGTATTTTCTCATGACATATCCATATGTCAAGTTTGAGTTGAATGTGTTGTACCGTTGGGGAGATAATGAACGGAAACTGAAAATTTCATATTATTTTCAAAGTAAAAGGGGCATAACTCTGCCAAAAATTATCGAACCATGACCAAATTCGAACTTGACCTGTATTTTGTCATGACATATCCATATGTCAAGTTTGAGTTGAATGTGTTGTACTGTTGGGGAGATAATGAACGGAAACTGAAATTTCATATTATTTTCAAAGTAAAAGGGGCAAACCTCTGTCAAAAATCATCGCACCATGACCAAATTCGAACTTGACCTGTATTTTGTCATGACATATCCATATGTCAAATTTGAGTTGAATGTGTGCAACCGTTCTTAAGATAATGAACAGAAACTGATGATGACGGAATGACAGAAGGACGGAAGGACGAAATGACGGAACAGGGTAACACTATATGCCCCGGCCATTACATGGCGGGGGCATAAAAAACCAATTGCTGCCTTTGAGGTTATCAAAACAATTTGATGAAATATATAATTCTAGCTTTATCTCATGATAACAGAGTACCTTGGTTTATAATTAAAGACCAGGTGTAAGCTTTTATCTAGTTCAACAACTGGGTGCTGTAGTACTTAGCCCAACAAACTAGTTACAATACTTGTCTGGAAATAAACTGGTAATTTAATGTCTGTCACCTCACATTTAACAAGGACATCATTGTGTCACAAAACAGACTTACCATGTTATTATCAATATCCATTTTCACCAATTCAAGTTTTCCGGGCTCGCCAACACTTTGTTGAGTTTTCTTCTTCTTGTCTTTCTTCGCTGCATGTTGACTGCTTTCACTGAGCCGATGGTTGCTTATTCGATGATTACTGCCGGTCTCGTTGGGCACCGAGAGCGATCGAGAATAACTCCCGTTTGATGGTAACGAATTTCGGTTGTTCGTTGTGTGGCTGTTGTGAGACAGCGCGGGTATATTTGTTGCCGAGGCAACCTGGGCGAAGCTCGCCTGGGAAAACGTCTTCATTAACGACGACTGCTCACGCTGATGTCTGTGAAAAAGAAAAAAGTTGCAAAAAATGAATAAAATTTGAAAATAAAAATAATAACATCTTTTTCAGCAAAAATTGAAAAATAAAAATCAATAGTAACAATTACTGTTATTATCTTAAAATAAATGCATGGTAATTTTTTTTAAAAATTGATCAGTACTAAGAAAACAGTATCTGTCATGCATTTTGTTTCCTTGACCTGAAAATATAAAGGAAAGGAAATTCTGTTTATATCTACATGGGATTTTTAAACAAGAGACAAAATTATTTTTTTTTACCACTTCAATAAATGTTTCTATAATTATTATCTTTATCAATCTACTAAATTGCATCGGAACTTTAGTGTGTAAACAATATTTCTAACGGAAAGCTTGAAAACTATATAAATATATAACAACACAACATCTAAACAAATTTAAGTGAAATGATATAATTTTAAATTTTAAATGCCCAAACCTGAAACTTTCACATTAATGATAATGATGGCCCAACATAAAACTACACCAAAGGAACTTAAATTAAACTCACGGAAAGGTATGACAAGTTATGACCCTTCAAATAAATATCTGACATATAAATTCATGTCTGAATGAAAGCCTTAAGTCTTAAATTCTGTAACATAATAACTTAAAACATAATGTAGCCTGAATAAGACCTTGCAGTCCTTAAATCATGCTTGAATAAGATCCTATAGCTTAGACCATAGCACTAAAGCTAAATTTTGCTTGAATAAGACCTTGCAGTCCTTAAATCCTGCTTGAATAAGATCTTATAGCTTAGAGTCCTTAGCTTTTAAGCTTGATTTCTTTGCATAAGACCTTGCAGTCCTTAAATCCTGCTTGAATAAGACCCTATTGATTGAACCAAAAGCTTTAAAGCTTAATTTTGCTTTAATAAGACCTTGCAACCCTTAAATCCTGCTTGAATATTAGACCCTATAACTTAAACAAATAGCTTTAAAGCTTAATTTTGTTTGAATAAGACATTGCAGTCCTTAAATTCTGCTTGAATAAGATCCTATAGCTTAAACCAATGGCTTTAAAGCTTTATTTCGCTTTAACAAGACTTTGCAATCCTTAAATTCTGCTTGAATAAGATCCTATAGCTTACACCAATAGCTTTAAAGCTAAATTTTGCTTGAATAAGACCTTGCAGTCCTTAAATTCTGCTTGAATAAGATCCTATAGCTTAGTAGACCCATAGCTTTAAAAGCTTAATGTTATCTCAACAAACATCTTGGTCTATCAATACTTGTTTTGAATAAGACTTAAAAAGTTGTGGCATATGATGGCTTAAATAATTAATTGGAATGAATGACATTATATGGACTACAGCTTGAATAAATGCTTGAAACAGCTTGATTACTTCCAGGCATGATATGTTGTCTTTTAAAATAAAAAGAACACAGACATAAATGTTTCTATTTATAGCCACTAAAGCATCAGACACTTCTGTTTCTATTTATAGCCACTGAGGCAACAGACACTTCTATTTCTAAATATAGCCACTAAAAGTGTCATTTCTATTTATAGTCATTGCAATGAGTATGATAATTATTCAATGAAGCAGATTATAGATGTATTAATTGTTATACAACTGCACTGAAAGATGGAGAAGTGAAATGAGAATGAGTCTGAGTAAGTTTAATAGCTTAGTATAATACTTATAAGTTAGTATAAATGAAGCTTGAATAAAAATATTAAAGCCTGAAAGAGAAACAAGCTTTGCTGAGCTGAAATTTGAAGATTTAATATTTGCTGTTCTTTTTCTTTATAGCTTTTTAAAAGCTGAAAAAAAATCTGTAACACACATGCATAACTGTCTGATTAAACCTGTTTTTTTCTTTGTCTTTTCATGCATAATTTTAATAATTGATAAATGTTTCATGCTCTTTTACCAAATATATTAGTAAGACACTCTATTCTAATTGTTCTATTAAGTACCTACATGCATAATCTATTAGTACTCTTTTCATCTTTTTCAATATATTAAACCTCTGCATAATTGCCATTTTGCTATTTCAATTGTTTTTTGTTCTTTTGTTCCATTTCCATTGCACCCCTTCTTTTCCATTGCTTTTAAATTCCTTCTAAATTGCCCCCCCCCCCCACAACCCTTTACTTTTGTTTTGTAAAATCTTTTTTTACCTGTGTTTTGAGACCATATCCCTTTATATTTCAAATCCCCTTTCCTTAGCGTTCCAAATTTATTTTGCACCCTTTGCTTTCTCAATCCCTTTGCTTTCTAATTGTTTTTAAAGTCCCTTTGTTTTTTATTAATCAAATTCCCTTTGCTTTCCCCTTGTTTTCTTAATCCATTTCCTATACCTTTTCAAATCCCTTCCATTTGCTTTTTAAATTCTTTTCCTTTTGTTTTCTAAATCGTGTTCCCTTTGCTTCTGAAATCTCATCCCCTTTACTTTCTAAATCCATTTCCCTGTTTTTCTAACCCCATTCCCTTACTTAGTTTCTAAATCCATTTACTGTTGCTTTTCAAATCTCCTTGCTTTCTTAATTCATTTTCCTTTACTTCCCAATTATTTTTCTCTTCACCAATCTTATATTACACATTTTAACCACATTCTAAAACCATTTCTATTATAATTTTTGCTCTCTAAGTCCCTTTCCTTTTGCTTTACCTTACCATTCTCAAATCCAGTTCCCTATAAATTCTCAAATCCATTTCCCCTTGCTTTCTGAATCCACTTCCCTTTGCTTTCTAAATCCATTTCCCTTTGCTTTCTGAACCCATTTCCCTTTGCTTTCTGAATCCATTTCCCTTTGCTTTCTAAATCCATTTCCCTTTGCCTTCCAAGTCCATTTCCCTTTTAGTTTTAAAGAATCCTTACCTTACTTTTTCAAAATATTAATCAAAAAGGGTCATTTATGCAGGGGCATACAGTGTACACACTCTGTAAAGATTTATATTTGACATTTATTGAGAGAAATTCTTGTTATAGGTAACTATGTAAGATTCTATAAAACATGCATTTCACTCAAACCTGAAGCTGCCATAGTTTCACTCTAATGAATGATATTAGATGAATAAAAAAAAGCAAAAAAATTTCATGCTAAAAAATTAAATATTTTTTTAAGCTTTTCAAAGCTTAGCTTAATTTTTGATGCCATTCCATGTGTTAAAAGTGTTTATGAATTTAGCAAGGGGTACAGGTAAATAATGGACCAAATGAAAAGCATGTTGTGAAAAGTTGAAGCGAAAAAAAAAAATTAAGAGGCAACATGATTCTAAATGTACATGTATAACATTGCAACATAATTAATGTATGTCTATATCAAATACAACAATGTATATGTAAACTCAATCACGTGCATTGTACTTTCATGAGCACAAATTAACAGATTATCTGAACTTTGTTGAGTTGAAATAAACACATCAGTTATTTATATTATCATGACATTTGTGAAGAGTGGCTATTAAAATATTTACAGATTAGTGTTCTTTTTTGTAACCATAAACACTTGCACAGATAAATATTTTTGTGAAAAAGGTCATAAAACATTTTTACATATACATGTTATTTTTGTTGAGTAACCAAGAACACACACAAAGATTCACATTTTTGTGTAATGGTCATAAACACATTAACAGATATGTGTTTTCTTTTCTTCATAACAGTGAACACTTGCACAGATGAATATGTGTTGAAATGGCCATAAACACAAATAAATAAAATTTGTAATTATGAACACTGTGTCTTGCACAGATGAATATTTTGGGGAAAATGTCATAAACCAAATTACAGATAAGTGTTTGTTTGTATGTGGACCATGAACACCTCACATCACAGATGAATATTTCGTGAAATGGCCATTAACACATTAACAGAATATTAAGTGTCTTTTAGCTGTGTAACCATAAACTATTGCACAGATAAATATTTTGTGAAACACCAAAAATACATTTGCCTATGATTTAAACTGATTATGAGTGTCATGTGACTGACGTGGATCATTCCCCTGAACACCAGCACATGCAAAAACTGTAACAATGACATTTTACGTCATCAAAACAGCTGTAAAGTGAAAGTAGGTATTAAGCACAGATCGCTTGCTTTTATGATGAGAACTTTAGTGCACAGTTTTATTGAAATACTGTATATAAAAAAAATAGGTCTATTTCTTCTGAGAAATTATAAAACTTGCTTCTTGAGTCTAGTGGACTTTGCATACAAGGGCCACAACTCTGTATAAGTTACTGTACAGAGACTGAGGTGTATTAATAAAGGTATTACTTGTGGTTAAATAAGCACACTTTCTGCTTAGGCAAAATAAGAAGTACACATTTAGTGATGTGGTGTATAAACAGAACACATTTAGTGCTGTGGTTAATAATGGGTATATTTAGTGCTGTGGTACAGAAATGAGAGCTTATTTAATTAAGAGTGCACATTTAGTGCTTGTGATGAGTTAAGATAAATTATTTTTGTCGTTGATGGTTTAAGGGAGCGTGATGAGTTAAGAGAGCACATTTAATGCTGTGAAGTAATTAAATGAGAACACATTTTATATTGTGGAAGAGTAGAGGGAGCACATTTAGTGCTGTTGATGAGTAAAGAGAGCACATTTAGTGCTGTAAAGGAGTAATAAGCTCTTTTAGTTCTGTGGTGAAGTTAAGAAAGCACATTTAAGGCTGTGGTATGATAATGAGCCAATTAAGTGCTGTCATTTAATTAAGAGTGCACATTTATGTTTGTGGCAGTTAAGAGTGCACATTTAGTGCTGTTTATGTGTTAAGAGAGAAAATTTAGTCCAGTGGAGGAGTTTTTTTAGTGCTGTTGATGAGTTAGTAGAGCAGATTTAGTGCTGTAATGGAGTAATGGGCACTTTGAATGCTGTGATGGATTAAAGAAAGCAAGTGGAGTAATGAACACTTTTAGTTCTATGGTGAAGTTAAGGGGCCACATTTAAGGCTGTGGTGGAATAATGAGCCAATTATGTGCTGTCAGGGAGTTAAAGGAGCACATTCAGTGATGTAATTAA